TTTATTATTTTGCTAAAAACCTTTTACTACTCAAGGTTTTACTAAGCGCCTCTGTCAGCATGTGTTCACTCTTGCAGTATCTCAAAAAAAAAATCACTTCATCAGCCATATGATCCTTTAGAATAAGGAATTTCACGTCTGCAAGTCATATCATCTTCAATATTCATAGCGGGTTGTTATCAATTTTAACTGTTTGCTGACCACAATAAAAAAAAGCGAGAAATTCCGCTTTCGCAGAAGACGGAGCAGTAACTGAGCTTTTCGAGTTCAGAGGAAACAGGATACTCGTTTAAGGATATTAAAATTCCACTACTAATTTTTATGTCACTCTCAGATGCAAAGTATATTTAAAAAGTTAACTCTCATTTTTAATTCATTACAGCACAACCTTTACTATATTCTCACAAGAATATTTAATAAAGAAAGACTTCTTATGCGTTACTTGGTAAATATTCTTCAACCACCTTTAAAGCTAGAGATTTCAATATCTAAATTACATATTCTCCCATCATCAAACGTTACTTTATATCTGTCTCCTTTAACTTCCGAAAAGGTACCTTGTACTATAGCGGTTTTCTGTTAATAAATTTTCAATTCTATTTTAACTAGCTGATCTGTCGCAAATCGCATGTTTAGGTTATTAGTGCCAATTGAGGTAGGTCTGCATATAATTGGTTGAAATAGTGTACTTTACACCCTTTCCGTTTCAGGTTCTGTACCCAACTTTTCATCAACCCCCGACCTTTTATTATACCACCCAACTTTCCAAGTTTGCCATTATATTGGTTTTTTTAATTTTGTTATAAAGAATTTATTTTAAGAATTTTGTCTAATAAGAACTCCCGGCTGACTAATAAAATTGCAGTTTTGCACCGAAACCTGCTGTGCGTCACTTAAAAAAGTAACGGGTAATCCTGATAATATTTTTTTACTTAGTTGAAGTTTTTGTTTAATGAGGTAATTTTCACTACATTGTCAACTACTTTTTAATATGCATTGACAGCGTAGGAATGTTGTCAAGCAACCTTTTTTATTGTAGTTATGTAGAAAAAATTACTCTTAAGTGGTTGTTTTTTTATTATCCGTCAGTTTATAATTTTTTATATTTTAAGAATAATGTCCTTTCTTTTTGGAAAAATAAATTTTTATTTTAACATACATTTAGCCGACTTAGTGCAGAAGCTCTATGAGCATAAGCCTTGAGAAATATAGATTATTTTTAACAAAAAGATAATGGAGGAGAGCCAATAAAAGCATCTTATTGCAAGCTTACTTACCGTAAAAAACAATATTTAAGGTTTTTAAACAAGCCAAATTAGTGCACTTTTCATGCTTTTATTCGGTATAAACATATTGAAAGATTCTATCATTAGTTATGCAGTAAATCTATTTTTATGTATTCAGTTTTCTTATAAGTTATATATAACGATTCGTTAAGTCAGTGATGGAAGTACGCGTTATAATTGTTAAGACTAACGCAAAATTATAGTTATAAGACAAACTCCTAATATCTGCGCATCAAGATTTATTAAGTCTACTGAGATAGAGAATATGGAGATTATTTGTATATTATAGATAATATAAGTTTTTTATTCATAATATAATTATAGTAATAATAGCAAAAGATTGGGTGTTTTGGTTTTGGTTTTCATAATTATTATAAGTTGAGGTAAGATTATACAATTAAGGGCATATTTATTTCATTACATAAATAAAAGGTCACTTATTTATCACCATTAATTAAAAGTTTGAAAAAGACGAGAAGCTTTGACTTTAAACTCTTTTAATAAAAAGTAAAAATTTATTAGAATTTTTCCGTTATTCAACTATCCTCTTTGTTTTTTATTTGACTTGGTAATCATGTTGTACGCTTCAAAAATGGAGAGCCCTATTTATATGATTTTTAAAAAATGTAAGTAATATAAAAAGATGCTTATTTGTTGAGAGTTAGTGTGGCTATCAGTCAAACCACTTTAACGCTCAATAATAACTACAAATTAAGTGGACACTCAAAATATTTTATTAAAGATAAAAGGAAACATCGACTCAACCTTATTGAAATTATACTCTCCTTAAATTTTAATTGCTATAAAGCCTTAAAAAGACTTTTAAGCCCATAGGCGCCATAGAAAACATACCCGTTCCTACAATTAGCAGCGCATAAACCGCTCTGTTTATGTAAACATCTCTGTCGAGAAGCAAATAAGTAGGTCGTGTACCGGCGTGTTTCTATAAAATTAAAATAAGTTTTTTTAAAATAATTTGGAAAAGAAGTTTTCTATATAAAAGTATACTTGCAATAATGCTTGATTGCGGCGGACTTTAGGCTCTCGACGCATCCACGCCGGCATAGAACTAATATCTGCTTCATAGGAAGCAGTAGATGGGCCGGAAGTTGGTCTGGAAGTTTTATCAATAACCTCGAATTAAAAGTGTTATTTGAAACATATTGCAATAACATTAGTAGCAAAAGTTGAACAAATATATGTAAATACAAGTTTATAGAAATAAAGCACAATATATAAAAAATAAACTTGTGCTTTATATAAAATTCGTCTGGCAGCGTTTCCTGACATTATTACGGAAAAGTAACTAATTAAAGTGTTTTTATTACAAATTTTAAAGTTTATGGGCCAAAATAGAGACAACTAAAAGCAAAAAGAAACGACAAGTAAAGTGAGGAAAGACCTTCCAAGTAACCCAGCAGAGGAAATTTATTTGATAGGGCAATCAACTGCTAAATATGCAAAATTTATACTTGGCCTACTAATTGTATTTTTAACATTTCTTTTTCATTCTTAAGGCCAGGAAAGTAGCTTATTTAGTTAAGGTGACTCCAGCAAGCTCTCAATGCGGTTGAATACTATACTTATCATATAAAGCATTTTTTTACAACCCTAAGAAAGTAACATCATGTAGTGTTAAGAAATTGCCTTTAAAAAAATTACACCAGAACAAATTATTTTTGATAAATTAACGTCAGATAAGCAAGACGGTTACTCAAATATATGTAAGTTTCATTAAATATTTAAAAGAAATTATTACCGAAACAATGAATATGTCTGGTTTGAAAAATTAAAAAAATTAGTTGCCTAACAGGGTCAAATATGTCAATCCATCATTTCGGTCTGGAGATTAGTCGTCACCAGCATTTAAGGCATAAACGTTGGTGAGACACTCTTTTCGATCTTTGATGGTTGGGTTATTAATCTCACCCCCATAAATACTGAGTGAGTTTACTCCGCAAAGATAAAATCCCAAAAAAAAAGACGAGAAAGGTAAATTTTCGTCTGCTGCTGTGAACCGTAAAATTGTAGCGTCCCTAACATTGGAGCGATACCGCGTGCTGGAAGGTCTCACTCCTTGTTAGAACTTAAGGCCTTTATATTTTCCTGCCACTTTAAGTGAGCGTGCACTATATATGGCGTGGTGAAATCTAATCTTTCTTCCCGTCAAGTGACTATTAACAAATTACCACCCTCCAAAGAATTAAGAATAGGCAGCCTCTGCGTTACTTTATGTTGTCTGCTGGAAGTTATGAACAGGAACTGCCTAATGTGTCACCGTTGCCTGCGCTGACACGTTCCACGCTGCGTCGAGTGCGATGATCACTAGACTATACATTGCCAAAAGCTTTGAGGAGTTTGCTAATAACTGCGAGAGGGCCAAAGCATAGTGACATCGGCGTTTTGTCTTCTACAGCCACGTGAAGGAAGCTTTGCGTCGAAAAAACCTTGACATATTGTGTAGTAGAAACGCCAAAATCGTGAGCAGCGAGGTCGCTTGGTATTTTTTTGGATGTTAGATTATTATGAAGGTATAGACGCTATCCACGTTTGGACGATGCAATTATCGCCCGATCATAGCTAAGTTTTACTGTTCATTTACCCTGGCCTGTTACTTCGATACTTTAAAAAAAAAATTGATTAAGTACATTGACTTGTCGAATATCGCTTTTGTAAGAAGGCCTAGTTTATATCCTGAGGTTTTACTTTACGCTAAAAGTGTTACATTTCAGGTTTTAAGTGATGCCAGCAAACTGAACTGGTATAGCTCTTTTTAGTCTACCTTTCAAGCTTGAATCTTTATGTTTACTTTTTAACAGTTTAAACCTATTTGCCAATATTAGACCTTGAAGTGTATCCAGTTTATCATATAATTTACTTGAGTCCTTTGTTTGCCGTGGTAGTTTAGGTACAACGGACTTAATTGTGTCCATCCAGGAGTTTAATAAAATTCGGTGCTAACGGGAGATCCTGTTTCCTAGTATTTTTAATCGAATTGATTACAGAACTAAAAGTTGCGCAAAGGCAAGTTGACTAGCTTAAGTGAAGTGAATAACATAAAGTGCTCTGTGGAGTAGATATAAGGACTTCTGTTTTTTTAATTTTGCATTTCCTAGGAGGAGACAATTATTGTATTTTTTATTCTTATTCCCTCCCTACTTTGAAGTTCTCGTACAAACTGTATCCGCTGTAGTCATATAAGTAAAAGTGTCTTGAAATCCTATGAGTCCTCTATTTTATAAAAAAAACTTCCAGATATCTAATAAAAAGTTACCAGTGGTCACTGAATCTTTTCACTTTTTATTTCCTTCGCATTGATGTAAAACAGAATTTACTTAATCTTTCAGAAGGGAGTTTCTCCCAGTAAGCGAGATACTAACATATGCTTGAGCTACAATCAATTAAAATATATTTTTTGTATTTAAGCCATAAGCGCTTTAGCGCATGAGTTCTGGGATTGACACAATCATTTCCAGTGCTCTATACAAATTCTGTTTGAAAAGGTCTCAAGTGGAAACGGAAATGGCTGCTGCATGCCTATTAAAAGATTCGTTACAGTATTTATAAGAACTGCGAGAGTAGATACTTTGGCCGCGTCATTCTAAAATAGCTCGGAATTTAAAGCAAGAACTTGAGAAAAACTCGGTATTTGACTTTTACAGGTTGAAACGACACTCTTAAGCATCAAACCAATTGGAGATTCCTGTTTGTGTGTGAGTCTCTATGCCAATACAATAAATAATTTCTAGACGTGATTGAGAGTTACTTAAGTAAAGCAATACACTTTATTAGTGTCTATTCTAAGAAGTTTTTAGTAGTGGATTAAAGGAAGCAACACAGAAATTTAGTTGAACTCTAATAAACCAAATCTAACTAAGAAGGCCTAATTACGTTTATGCTCACTTATTAAGGGCAATGAAGTTAAGCTTTACTAAAAAAAATTGGACCTCAGCACAAAAGACAGTTTATATCGTTTTATTTATTTTAAGTAGCAGATAGAAATTTAACAACAGTAAGTTTTGAGGGAATTCAACCAAACAAGTTTGCAGGTATAAGCTGGTGTAGCTGACGAGCGCTCTAATTAAATATTTTACGGCTCCCGTTCAAGTCCCCGAAGATGAATCAGCTGAAGACCCGAAGCTCTCCGTCAAAATCTCCGTGGCTTCATTGAGAGCGCTGTAACTACCAGCTGGCCCGAGCGAAACGGGTCTGCATGCAATGTACCTGAAGAATGTGAAAAAGCGCCAGTTCAAATTCGAGTTATGAAGCTCGCTTACAAAATGCATCCAAAGTATACAACTGTAGCAAGCCCACTGAGTAAAGACGCTAAAAAATGGGCAATGGGAGTACATAAAGTTTCTTAATTAACTCGAAAAAAATATACCTTTCAAAGAAACGATAACTGAAGAGTAGATCATTGCAAAGTTAGCAAACAGCACGATACCCGCAAGGACAACGCATGTGATTTTCATCTAAATTAATTACAGGTGGCAACGGTTAATTTGAATAGTAGAATTTTTCTTGTAGCTAAAAAAAGTTACCGCTTTGGAGTTCTTGTGCACGTTCATAATCTTTTCGCTCGAAGTAAACTTTAGTAAAGGAATCAGAGCAAACGGTAACTGGAACGACAACACTACCTGTTACAGTTTCTTCATTGATTTTTGCTGCGAATTTTATTATAACGAAAAAAAAAAAGTACGGAAGAGGCAATGATTAGTCTGTTTGCGCCGTCTTTTCCATTAAGAAGACAGATGGTCTGTTTACGCAAGAAGTGGGATTCAGCACGGCGACTACGATTTAGCTACGCACCAAAAAACCAAGCTCGGGATGACAGTCAGGCACCGAGTAAGAATGTTGCGAAGCCACGCAGTAATTTTAATATCGATGAATCCCTTTGACATAAAGAATTTTAAATGTCAAAATACAAAAATTAACTAAATTAAAAACCTCCATAACGAATTGTCCGGCGTACGTCCCCGTAACAGTTGAGCTTTGGCCTTATAAATAATTATTTTTAGAGGAAAGAAGGACAAAGATCCTCATAAAGGAGACCTGACGCTAGGAGGGCAACCCCAAACAAGACGGGAGCAATTTTTCTAAGCATCTTAAGAAAAAAATCGAAAGACATGAAATGAAAAGTGGACCTTCCCAGCGCCGACTGTAGCAAAGAGCCCGCCTCCAAAAAACCGATTTCCCCCAGATTCGGCGGCACGCGATAGCCGTTGCTCTTGCTCGGATAGTATACGGAGGCGGCCACTATTATCCAACGCAAGTACTGGGAAAAGCTGCGTGAGAGGGACAAACACCGCGGGATTACCCATAGTGACCGCAAGATTAATAAAACATGAAATCCCAATAGCTAAAGAGCATTCCAGCATGCTGTAGAAATCGGCCCAACCAACCTCCTCAGGGTTTCTTCTGTTCTTGTGAAAAATCAATAAAGAAATTAATTTAGTTTTTCTTAGAAAAGAAATGCCTATCGATTTTTCGACTGAGAACCAGCGCTGAGTGGAGAAACAAATTGTGCGGCATCACTACAGCTCCTTTTAAAAAGTGGTAACGAAGCCTTATAAAAGTCACGTATAACACACACCAATCAAAGAGGTTGCTATGAAAAGCATTTGCTGATCAATAAAAAAACGGGGGATAAAGCCACCCCAAAGCGATCCGCTTTTAAAAAATAGCCATCACGTTTATAAATTTATCTAGAATCTTGTAAAAAGTACCAGTAATTCGGGGGGCAAAGCGTGGAGTTAGTACAGTTTAAAAGGGATTTCCATTCGCTTTCTGAAGGACACTCTGCTATTCCTAGTGACACGGGATGTTCTCATAAAGGCCTACGCAGGAGTGTTTGTAACTTTACCGTATTCGATGGGCGATATCAAAGCTTCAAAGCAAAAGCAGCCTGCAATGATACTGATCTAAAAACAAAAAGTCCGCGTGTAAGACAAACGCAGAAGCTTAAAAGATTTATACCAAAAAGGAAATAAGATATTCGAGCTTTCGTATGCCAAAATATTGGATCCCGAGAAAAACAAAAGTGTTTAAGCTTACCACCAGCACCCCTAAAAAATAAGAAAAACTTTAGTAAGCATATCATGAGCTTAGCAAACACGCAACACCAAGCCAAAGGGGCGTCCCGAGCAAGAGCATCAACCCAAATGCACTTCCCACAACCTTCATATTATACCAAACTTAAATATAAAGTTTAGATAAAAGTAAGTTTACCTCCGGGATGTCAGAGGCAATCACTGCAATCTAATAAAACAATAGCAAGATGAATTAAATAATAAATTAAGGTGTTTGAAAATAGCAGGGAACCTCTGACACAAGCCACAAACAGATCGTCAGGAAAGTGCGATCGCCATACTCTTCTCTGCACACCAAAGCTAAATGCTTTCCTTGAGAAAGTAGATTTTATATTAGTAATGCATTTTACTTTTTGAAAAAAGTGGTAAACCAGTAACAATTCCCAGCCGTGCTGATAATATTTGCAATAAGAAACCTAGAAATGTTGAACAGAAGAGAACCTAATAAGCCCATAAAGTGTTAAAAAGAATTTTTAAAAAACTTTAACTATAAAAATTTATATATTATCTAGAGTATTTTTTATCGAATTTATTTTACTATAAAGATTTATAAAAGCAATAGGTTTTGACTAATAAGTAAAATTTTCACGATACTACCCAGATTAAGCTATAATTGAAAGAAGCTCCGGCTTGAATATCCGCTAATACTACGTGCATATTGTACAATCACAGGAGAACAAATAATCTTTTTATATTACAATTTCCTGGATCCAAGTAAGCTATAGATATTAGCAATCCCGGGCCTATGAAATTAAACAAAGCTCTGAAGCTAAAGTGGCTTGGAATATATACAGAAACCTGAAAGAAAGGATTAGAAGATTAAAAAAATTTTTAATAATTAACGAACTATACTTTAACTTTAAAAAGCTGCGAGGGGTTTAAATAATTTATACATACGAAAGAACAGTAAATAATTGTAGCAATGAAATATAAATGAGCTCAATTCTCTGCTAAAGTTTTAGTTTTAGATGCAATTAAGTTAATACAAATATTCTAATTTTGCAGATTTTCATAAAAATTAACACACCCCTTTAGTTGACCGATCATTTTTTCTCCATTCTTTAAACCAATATTTAAGGCTTTCCATATTATATTTTACCATTTTAACAATATTGATCGTATCTAATTATAGAATAAATATTCTTTATTATGAAAACACCAAATGTTAACTATTATAAGCTTTAGCGGAAACCTAAAAAGTATACACTTCTTTATAAATTAGCTACCAGAACCTCGGCAACCTCAAGCTGAAGTTTTTTTTATCTATACAGAGTTAAACTTTTCACCACGCCATAAAGTAATTGCCCACTTTAGGGGGCAGAAAGGTATTGAGTTTTAGCGGACAGCTAACGATAAAAAGTCATATATCGCAACCGATTAGCCCAGGCAAAGGTTAGCGTGCAGTAACTGTTAGTCGACTGAGTTACTAGCTATTGTTTAAATGTAAGATGTTTTAAAAATATATGTCATCTAATTGAAAACTTTGTCGTATAAAGTTTTTTAGGCTTTATTTATAATAAAAACAATATCTTTGACTTTCCTGACGCCTTCAACATATAGTATAATTTGTTGTAATCTTTTTAAAATTTTTTTAAAATATTTATAGTAACAATGAGTGGACGGGCGAGGGGAAAACTAAGTTTATAAATAGTAACTTAGCCTCTGATATTTAAACTAAAAGCGATTACCACCCTTTAGGGGCTTACTTAGTTAATATAAAGTTAACCAGAGTGACAATATAGTTTATTGGTAACATTCTTTTAACTAGAAAGCAGAACAGGTAGAAGTGCAAGCAAGACAACACAAACCTTAGTAAGCAACATCCCCTTCAGCGACCATAATGGCGAATTCCCTTTTTTGGAATTACTTTGCAGTTCAATGTAAACCAAGACTTTTTTCTCAATTATAGAGTATAAAGCCAGGTATTGAGCCTCTTGAAAATAACCTTCACTACTTTTTACAATTATGTCTCCGTCTCTTTCAACATTTTTTATACCATCAGTTATCTTAAAATCATTTTTACTCCAGTCAAGCACGTTTTTTTCTAATACTTTAGAGGAGTTAGTAAGGATCCAGTGAACAGAGGGGTCTAAGGTGCCCTCAACGTGAAAGTCTTCTATTACAATTCTGTTCTTGTTGATTAGTGTCACAAATCCAATTTTAAAAACGGTGCTGTTACTTACAGCAAATCCTTCCAGCTTTCGAGGTTGGAGTTCGCTAGGTTCGAAATTCACGGATTTACCTTTTAGGGAAAGGTAAGCAAAATCACTTTTCTTCTCAGATTCACAGATGAAAATTAGGTATTGATAAGTGGTAAATAGCGAATTTCGGCTTCTTATGGTAACGTCGTTATCATGTCGACCGCTTACTGGGTTTCTAAGCTCTTTCACCCGTGGAGCTGATATACTAGAAACTTTAAAGGTGTCGCTTAAAGCCCATCTGGCAACACTGTCCCCTCTATTATATCTAAGATCTTGGATTAAAACGGTCTTCCCGCTGACTAAGGTAACCAGGCCTGTTGTAAGACCACAACCAGCATCTCCCGTGAAGGTCCCTAGATTCCGGGGGATAGCTCTTTCCTCTGTTGCGAGCGCTATTTGAAAAATGGCAAGGAGGCACGGAAGAACTAAAAGTAATCTGTATAAACAAAGAGTAAAACATTTCATTACCGAAATAAATTTATTTACCTCATTACAAAAAAATGCTTAAACAAAAGGCGCCTTAATGACACTCGAAAACCACAAAAACCCAAGCCAAAGGAAAAGTTAAACGAAGCAACAAACAGAACACTAAAGAGGGCAAAATGACCCAAGGCGTAAGCGAGCACACAGGGAGCCAACGGATTCAATTACGATTCACGGCAGACTTCAGACGTAACATATATATACGAATTTCCCGTGTATTTCTGTGGTTTTCCTAAAAAAGTATCTGCTAATTAAGATACAATACAAAGCAAAACGTAAACCACTAGTAAGGTTTAAACCTTTATACACTGCATGTCCCAATGACAGAGCTGGTTGTAAAAGTTTAATAAAGGCGCAGTTCTATTTTCTTTATAGTACTTATATTAAACAAAGGATATAAGTTAAGCATTATTACAAAGAAAAATAAATGTCCTGAAATCTGTCTAACAAAAAACTAATTTTATTGGAGGAATAGGTTGATGGAGTTACGGCCACTGACTCAGGCCCACGGTCATTCGCGACGTTTGGGAGGTTTGGATGTCGCTACTATCGACCACAAACTAACAATAACAGTACGCTTTGGAAACTTTTTATAGAGTTTTCCAAAGTACTATTTTGACCAATTATCTTAGTTAGTTTAAAAACCTTTTTTATTATTATTTTTTGTTTTTTCTTGAAGTTTCTCTTTGGGAAAGCTTGGGGTTTTATGCTTTTAGTTAAGGGGGGAAGAGGTGACAGCTCTAAAGGTTGTAAAGCTTATTAATAAAATATTTGCAAATGGTATTTTGTAAGCGGGCGTTTATATTTAAAGATATATATTTAAGCGTGTACTATATTTAGTTATACGAACAATAACCCGTTTAACAATATTCTTCCTAAATATCACTATAGTTTTGCCAAAAAAAGTGGTAAAATAATTTTTTATAAAGCGATATAATAAAGTGATTTACGCAATTAAAAGATTTAATACTCAAAAGTGAAATTGATTGAGCTTGTCAAGGATTTACGATAGCACTTCGGTTATTTTATAGACAGAGCCTAGAAATTAGAAACTTGGTAAGTGATTTACCCGAGCATATATAAGACCAGCACAGTCTTTCCTTAGATTTTAAAACTAAATTTAATAAAGACTTTAGAACGTTAATTTTTACTATTGCGGCCATTATATTCAGACTAGAAGGAACTGATAAAAATCGGAAACACGAGCTATTTGTGTCACTTTAAAGTTAAAGCGAAGAACCGTTACGCTTATTGCAACCCCCATTTCCCTCACTGATTAGTACTACTACAAAGTTGTAACAAAAACTATATTTTTCTTTGCAGTTTTAAGTTAAGGGGTGCGGGCGATATTACCTTTTTATTTGAGGATAATTTATAAAGAGGGCTAATTTTTTTTTTAATAGAACATATATTCTTTCTGGTTCTGTTATAATTTCTCACCTCCTTTAACCGCATGTTTAGTCTCAAAAAAATCTTTTTTTAAATAATAGGGGTTGTAAAGCAAAAACTAGATGGGAGATTTTTCTAAACTTTTAAGGTGCATTACTGATTGTTTGCTAATGAACAAGATCGCATTTTGTTGACGTCTTAGGACCGTTATTAACAATACCACCATCGGTCTACTTTACATACTTTATAAAAGCTGAGGCATACTTTCTTATAATTCCTACTCTCACTATATGTGTACGTTCATAGCTGCAGCCCTGTATGTCTATCCCATTTTACTGTTTAAAGTGGTTCCTCCTAGTTTTAGTGACCTTCTTTCTATTTATTATTATCACTTAATTAAGTTGTTTAAAAAAACAACTTCAATTTTTTTAGGTTTAATGGCGTATACATATAAATAAACCTTTTGAAAAATTAAACAATATTTTTTAATTAACTCTTTGTCTTATAAGTTGTTAAGTATATATTAAACTGTAGCATGTATTACACCATCTTTTATACGTGTTTCTTTTTCAAAGTTCTGTAATATTAATTCATAGCAAAGGAAAATATGTTTACTTACCAATTAAGTACAATCCTGGTTTACTTTATAAAATTTTGCCTTATGAAAAACTAAAGAGCGCTAAAGCTTTGCTTGAATCTTCTCTTTTTATGATTTTAAATAATTGTGAACGCAGTTTTTTTTAACTGCTTCTTAGGGCAGACTTTATGATTTACAGGAAGAGCAGATTAATAGCCTAGGGGTAGCACCAGGCTGGGAATTTTTGCATGGGCCTTTGTCAAGGTCCATAGGAGTGACCATTATTAACCAATTTTTGGCGGCCAGGGGTGACTTTTTAATGAAATAATAGGTAGATTTAAAATTAATTAAGAATTTAAAGTTATTCAGGTTCTTTGACCACGACAAATTCACTATTATTACAAAAAAATTAAGAGTGAATTAAGATTGCACTTAAACTAACTACGTTCTCTATGAGTCCTTGACAGGGAGGGTTAACGATAACTTTATAAGCTAAAACTCAATTTCAAGTTAATAATTTTTGTGATAACAAAGTTGTCTTCCACAATTATTTGGGGCTTAGCAGAGAATGGTCTTAAATTAAACTATTTCTGTCCAACAGGAAAAAGCGTGTAAGGTCAAAAAATATATACAACTGTGCTGACCTGCACTTGATTAATCGTTTGTGTACTTAGAAAATAACTTTATGCCGGAAAATAGTATTTTTAATTTTAGTACATATTCGAATTAAATAAGTTTCGCGTTATACTTTACAACGTTGTGTCCGAAATACTACTGCAATATGAAAACGGTGGTGAAAGAATTGTAACATTCCTTGAAGATGGATGATAAAGGATCGTTAAAAACACTCATGGCTATGCTTGGCGTCAAAATTGTAAGAAAGATTTATTCTTTTTGTGGTAAAAGGTTACTCGCATTACCAACTAAGTTTATCATATCATCTGCCCTTGCCATAGCGGGGAGTAAACACGTGAATCTCTAAAGATTCTTGCCAGAAAGATAAGTTTCTTGTACTGTTGCAAAACTATTTTAAAAAAAATTATACGCTGTTTGGTAAAGACCAACGGTATTGACACTTTCTACTAAAGTAAAAACTTTTGACCAGCCGGTTTAATATTTAATAGAAAAGACAATGATTTCGACATAGTAAAATAAATAGACAAGGGACCACTGTGACTAAAATAACTCGAAAAACACTGTTTATGATCTTGAAGGGTTCATAAGTATAATACTTAAGCAGTTACTGTTAACCATGGTTCCTCTTGAAATGTTTTGTGAAATTTACAAGTCATATGTTTATCAAAGCTGGTTAACTTCCATAGAACAGAAATACAGAGCGTTAACACTAAATAGAGAGTTTCATTATTACACTTTTAAAGTTTAATTTTTGTTTTATAAATAAAGTTGACTACCTGCACAAGTATGTAACTTTAACTTTTAAATAAAATTAAATAAAAAGAACTTTGTTAAAAACGAATACAGTTAAGGTAAGACAGAATTTCGTATTTGCTATCAAACTGCTGTCTTAAAAAGTTGCACTAAATTACGTGATAACGTAAAAAAGTTGTGTATTAATGGATAAAACAACTCCCCTAAGTTACTGCAACCTGTAGTTATTTTTGTAAATCTAAGTTAAATATTATCATATGAAGAAGAATATCGCCTTTTTATACCCACTCTTGTTAAATCAACTACGGAGGCCAACACTGGGCAAAAATTTTCTTACAACAGCTCGTCACAAACAGTTATTAAAAGTAGCGGTGAACCTAAGTTTTAAAGAAATTTCAAAGGTGCACCCCCGTCTTTTTATTAAGTCACTAAAATTCTTAGTAGATTTTAAAGTTCCATCATTACTACTTTTTAATTGCTCAATGCACATTCTCTAATTCAACTTTTAAAATGTAAAAACAGCGAATAGCTTTATTTGTAAAACTTAAGTCAAGTACAATTTTTGTAAGATTTACCTACAAAACTTTGAATGCATAGAAGTAAAGATTTATATAGTTTCAAGTCTTCGGCTCTGTAAGTCACTCGAAAAAGCGGTACTTGAGCGTCTCTTAAAGCTATCAGTTGGTTTAAGCAAATATGGTCCAATTCACAGATAATAGTTTTATCTAGTTCACAAAGCTCTCTATCCAGAGAAGATTTTAATTTATCAAGCTGTGAATCGATACAAAAAAAAAAAATTATAGTTTAATCTTCAAAAGCTTATAGAATGTAGCGTAAAACTGAAAAAAAATTAATTTAACACCCAAGTTTAGTTATAAATATTTTTACTTAAACCGCTTAATATGTTAAATTTCCACTGTTAAAAAAAAAGGTTTTATTAATTTATATAAACAAAAATTTAAAATTTAGAAACAGATAACTGTAAAAATAATTTAAAATTTTTTTGATAAGTGCTCGAGTCAAAGAAAAGTAGTAAGTATAACTTCCTCCTCAGTTATACTTGGATTAGATTCCTTCAGATCTTCGACTTGTTGGCGATTCTCATCAACTCGTATTTGTCTTATATTAAACAAGTCCCTTTCTTTTTCGTGCTGTTCTTCCTCTAACTTTATAAGTAATTTTTGAATCTATAAGTTTGTTTTTAATTAATATTTACATCTTCAAATTTCGTTTAAAAGATTTAAATTTATTAAAGTAACCTGGTTAAAACGAGTTGCAACGAACAGCGAAAGAATATATAAGTCTTGTTCATTTAAGCTTTGGTGAAGTGTCGGCTCTAAACTATTATACCATCTTTTAAAATGATTAAAAGTTATTGTAAGTTCTTGCTTTTTTGAGAAAGGGAGGTTGCTTTCAAGAAAACTTTTATTTTGAAACCCATTAGAGTCAAATATTGCTTCTTCTGAAAGATAACGCTTACTTTCTGAATATTTTGATTTATTACTGTCAAGATAGTAATTTTTAAGGCTTCTATTCAAAAAAGTATTATGGTGCATAAATCTTAGATACCAGGAACCATTAAGCTAAAGTCCCCTCACGTTATTGAACAGAATTGATTGCTTTCTCGAGTGCTGTGAGTCCAGGCGCATAGTATCTCTTTTTTTTTCCTTACCAAGAGGGTCAAGGAAATAATTAATTTGCATTTTTTTATTACTTTGCGTTTATTATTTCTCTCCTTATACTATTGTAAAGAAAAGTTTATCCCCAATTCAGTCGTATATAAAAATAAGACTACGCAATATGGTAAAGAGACACTAATTAAAGAAAATATATCTGAATTCTTTAGCGGTTCTTGTGTAAACAATGAGACAGTCTCTCTTTATAGGAAAAGGAATGAAAGAGCAAGGATTTTACATTGCTAAGTTAAATTGGGGGTCAAAACGCTCTTATCTTATCTATTGTATTGTAACTTAAAAATGACCTAACCAAAATATTACAAATAATTTTACGTTAAGAAAATTGTTATTCTTTTTTACTTTGCCATAATCAAAGTAGCAGTGATTTGAGTAGTATATTTTCCTAATAACGTAGGAATGAACAATACAATAAGTTTTGAGCTTTGTTTTATCTAAAGACAGTCAATGTTTTACAATTTAAATAAATCTAAAAATAATAAGGTATTAAACTATGATGTTTACCTTCTTTATGCGCATTCTAACAGAAAGGCAGCATTATAATAAAGTGGATAACAGCAAACTTTTCTGAAATTTAACTTTAGATTAAACCTGCAAACCTTTTTCGGAGGACAAAGACGGTTATATAATATTGTAAAGACAAGCGCTAAATAAAGCCTTAATTAACAGAAAGTTTCCGTCATATAACTCGGGAGCTTTAGTTAAAAAATAATATAATTAATTATTTATGTAAACTTTGTATAAACCATAGAAAATTACCTTAGGTGTAAGCTTAAGCTAAAAAAAATATTACATACAACTTTGTATAATTAATCTGAAAATGTATGGTTAAAAGTTTACGTTCTAGAGAAAACTATTTTGATCCCAAACTAATACTTATGTAAAGTTTGTGAATTTAGTTTAGCGGCAGATATATAAGAAAGGGTCCAAAAAAGTTATTTAAAAACTCTTGGTGAGTATTAACTTAGGTTTTCTTGTTAGCAACGAGAACGTTTAACAAACTACAAAAATTTATAATTGCTTTTATTTATTACTATTTACGATATCCCCTGGTGCTCGATCGGGTAGTAAAAGAGACACCGAATTTACGAGCTCCCGACGGGGTGATAGCGCACACACTAGCTTTAAGCTTGTGCTAAAGCAATCTCATATATATCTAATGTAAAGATAATCCTCCCGCTAAACCATATCATATATTAAAAGTCCATTGCGCTGTCAGCGATGTTTGTGCCGTCCAAGATTTTTCCTCATCTGTCAGTAATCGATTGGTGTGCTGATTGAGCCGATCGTAGATGGCGATAGCATAGCGTCGAAAGACGTTACCAGGAGGTTCAATCTGAAGGTCTTTGTTGTAAGGCATCGTTGCGAACAAACCACGGCGGCCCTTCATAAGGCGTAGTATATTCTTTTGTATCACTTAAAGTCAAGAGACTATTGACTGTGAGCCGTAGGCCCAGGTAGTAGGCGCGTCTGTCATGATCAGTCGGGGGCACAACAAATACAATCCTCGTTTGTTGTGCTACGAGAGTTTTCTTCGGCACAAAGGGTAAAGAATTCGAACCACCGCCTTGACCTTCGCCGAGATATAGTTAAGAGTCCCCGCCACGAGAACTTATTGTCGTTAATAACCAACAGATATTTCGCCTCAGGACACCAAGGAGTTACCTAATTTTCAAAGGTTAGTGGCGGTAGTGGTATAGTGTGCTTCTTTGTGATAAGAAGGGCTATACTCTTTTCCGCATTAATAGTAATTTTCCATCCATACCAACTGGCAAGCGTCGCTAGGTAGCACTGCAGATGCTGGCTCAGTAGGACAGGTGATTTTTGACGAGGAGTCACCCACATATAAGGCAATCCGCGTGTGGGGCTCGACATGCAGTGGCACATCGCGTACATAAAGTACAATAAGTAGGGCTACTGAACAGAGAAAAGGGGAGGAGAGATCAATTTATTCTCTCGTGGATGAAGAGATTGTGCCCTAGAGGAAGAAATACAAGATGTACAAAATGTGGGAGAGAAGGTAGCCGCGTGGTACGAGCATGTTAGAATAAACACATGGTATATGTACCAAGTGGTAGAAGCACGTGATTAATGAGTTAACTCCAACAGTGAGAAGATTCCTTTTGGGACTTCGGCTGTTAGTAATCTTAGGGTTGAGCGCGCATCGCCCACGCGTACATTAAAGACGCGGTTCCTTAAGGTAAGATTTGCTCACTTTAGAAAGGAGAGCAGGAAATGCTATGGAGCGCAACTTGAGAGGCTCTTTTGCCTAACTCGGTCAAACACCTTTTCGACATTAAAAAACACGGCTCCTGTTGCTTCTTTAAAATGAAGGCACGGGTCGTCACTCTGTCAAGCGAAAAAGTCGTTGAGCTGAGTTGTGTCCTTATCGAATCCAAATTAGAATTCTGGCAGGGCGTGACTTGCGTTAACAACTGTTTCTATGCGGCGTGGTAAGCCGCCTCAGCTACTTTGCCAACGGCTGACAAGTGGCTCATAGGCCTTTAATTGCTTGGCGTATATACTGGTCATCGTACTTTGGAAGCATCACTATAGTTGACGTCTTTCAGCGCAATGGTAAGGTGCCGAGAGCCATCGTAGAGTTGATGAGACACATAGGGCGTTCTAACGCCATTATTGGTAATTGTTTTAACATAATGTTGGTGATATCGTTTGGGCCAGGTGCCTTTCGTCTCTGTAAAGCGTTAATAATTACGATTTTGAATATGGTGTATAGCTCAAGCTATTCCCCGGCATAGTCAAGGAAGTTTGATTCATAAAGTATTACCAGAACTAAATAAGCAGGGGGCATACAATGAGTAGCGAGGTGATCAGCAAAAAGCGTCTCTTTGTCAGCATCCTTTTTTAAAATTGCTGTCTCGCTTAGTAGGTAATGGTAAACGCTCTCCGTTTTTGTATATCCTAATAAACTTCCAAAAAGAAAAGCGACCGCTACCGTTCTCAATCCGATATATTACTTAACTTTGTCTCCCACAATCGGTTATGGAGCGCCAACAGCTATTTCTTAATGGCCGGCGTAGCCTATTAAGTGCTAATTTATCTTCGGGGCGTTGTGATACCGTGGTCACTCAAATAAGGCGTCGCCGCTTGCAGATAAGGGCCTTCAATTCATTAGGCAAGCGGTTAGGGCGGAACTAACTTCGCCTGTTGGCATGGTGGTGTGGTACGCCGCGGTCAAAACACCCTCGACTCCCGCGGCAGTAACGTCAAGTAAGGCGGGAGATATTAAAAAGGTTATATCAAGAACCTCCAATAATTGATCCTGTCCGTAAAAGTTTTGGTATATCTTTTCAATTCAAAAGAAGAACTGGAAGAGGACCGATGAGAGTTCTTAAGGATCTTCCCTGGTCAATGAAATAATTTGTTAAAACGGCGTAGTTTGATATCTCCATCTTCGCCATGTGGGTACTGTTGAGGGTTCGGTCCTTTGAATTATCGACACGGCTGTCCCAAGCGAGTTAAGGCTCCCACATATTGCAACTGAACTATTTATAAAAAGGGCCTCAAGATCTCAAGAAAATAGTGGCTTGCTGGGGGCTTGTAGGCTACAATTACCGACATAGGCCCCTAACTGTTTAAGAGGAGGGAAATTCCAACCGCATCAAAGCTTTACAAGCTGCGAAAGATATCATACTTTGTTGACTGTTTCGTCTGACCAAAATAGCTGCGTCTCCGCCGCCTCTATCAAGGCGGTCCAGACGGTACGTTGAAAAGTTGCAGAGATTGAATGGAGTGCTGCCAAGAAGATGAGTCCCATTACTAAAAGAGTTCAATTCTTCCGTGTTGCATCAATCCCTGCAATTTTTATTCCTATGTAGAACGCCCGTTCCAGAACGGAAGAAAGATATAACGAAGTGCTTGTGGTCTACTAACCATTGTTAACAAATTTCAGATCCTTCACCGTCTTTAGCATTGTGACAGGTTTGTTGTCAATATTGAAACGCGGCACCCATTTTGCGTAAGCTAATTCGTTCGGGTAAACATGTGTAAATATACGTACTGGTTCCTTTAAATGCTTACAATTTCTGCTATCTCTCTCATTTTCACTCTGCGGTCTATACCATTACTAGCGTGGACACTTCAATGAGCTCCTACGTGGGTCGTCATTGGTGCTTATCGGACCCTTTTTAATTAAGCAACCCATGTGCAACAGCTGTATTCGATGTATTAGAGTCTTCTAATGTTGAATTTAGCTCCTTTTTAATTTCGGTTGCAGTTTAGACTTTTAAAAAAATATATTTTCTGAGCACACGAATGTCAATCCTTTCATTGTACGGAAATTGCTTGAGGCGTTTATTTTGACGGTGTGCTATTAAGTCAATAAACGACATTTTGGCTTGGAATTTTTAAGGTAACCATAAAGGATAAAATCAAGAATGCCTTCCTGATATGGATATAATAGTCCGTATCTACTTGATACCCAAAATATATCACTTCACCCTCGTATACGGCGTAAAAGAGAGAATCTTGTCCTTCATTACAAGCTTTCAGGAAATTATGCCTGGTAGCTCAAATTACTAATAAAGTAGTACATATCAAACCTTTGAGTAATATTTATCATGTCGTTAGCAATCACAATATTTAATTAGTCTCACATGAAGTTAAACTCTCGAAAGTAACAATTATTCAAGATAGCTACTATATGCCGTTAAGTTATAATTCCGTGGTCAGGGACACCAGCATTTTTTCTAAATAGTTCATAACTGTATGCACTCTGCTAGCACTGAGGATTATATAAAGTTTCTCACCTAGAAACAAAAGTCTAAATTGTGAACTTTCATGTATAAAGCTCTGTCGCTTGGTTACTTTATGTGTTTAATCTGTTTAAAATATCAAGTAAAACAATAACTTCGTGTTTACTAAGTTGTCCTGAAAACTACTATTTATTTATCAACTTTGGCTACGATGCCCTCTATACTAAAATATTACCTTTACAATAGCAGGTCCTTTGGACCCTCGCAAAACTAAAATAACAAAGACACGGTGCACACCAAAGAAGAAAAAAGAGATAGCCACACCTATTTATTTATTTATCGTTCTGACATTCTACAGTCTTATATTAGCTATAACTTATACTGCTTAATCTAACTTCTCTCATTACGGAGAGGATCACTGAGAAGGGTGGTCTCCTTTACAGTTTAAAGCCTCTCGGGAAATTTCTTATAACATAAAGACAGCGATCTCTTTGCAATCTTAATTTCTCATCCAAGGTGTAGTTAGGGAGTTCGCACAAACCAAGGTGCCCCTGTAAACATTCTAAGGAGATTGTTGTGAAGACTCTGAAGCCTGGTTATATGCAAATTAAAACCATGAGACAGATGAGGAACTAATAATAGATATGTTAATAGATTTATACATAAAGTTTATTTCAAAGATTCTAGTAACTTCATTTTTGCATATGAGAGGGTATAAAGCAGAAGGTCGAATCTAATTTTTTTTAACAAAATAATTACTGTGAGGCTTTCCAGTTAAGTCTAGGGTCGATAATAACGCTAAGGTATTTTACTTGACTGCAGTAAGGTAGAGGTATTATCTATAACATTAAAGCATTATTTTTTTTCTTTTTTTTTCTTTTGATGATATCGCGTGGCATTTGGTAGGGTTTCTCTTAATTTACCATTTCGCAAACCTTTTTTTAAGTCTATAAAGATGGCCTCCACATATTTAATAGCTAGTGCAGTTGATTTTGGACAACACTATATGGCGATGTCGTCAGCGTATAGAACTGGGGAGAGTTAGTTGGTAGGAAAGGGAATGTCACATGTATATAGGGGAGAATGATAAAGGTGACAGCAGAGAGCCTCCGGGGCTCCAGCTTTAAGGATCCCGTAGGAAGGGGGATGGGGGAGAGGGAGAGAGAAACAATTAAAGAAGTTCACTGAAAAATTTTTTATGCTGAGATTAAAAGGAAAGTCGGCACGAAAGAAGATATTTTGAAGACGTGGATAATAGCTACATCCTGCGCCGGACCACCTATCTCCATAGATAAAAAATTGTTGTCTGATACCCGATACGATAAACACGTACCAATACAATAAATGACAGCACTGAGGCACACTAAGCCAATTTTATAAAACTTTTAGAAAAGGCTACTTATGACAATAATTTTAAGATGCTGCAATTGAGGAAGTAAGAACGGACAAGGGCAGTGAATTCATGAATAGTAAACTTACCTAAGAACTACCCAATGCAGGTTTTAGTCTCTTAACAGTACCTTAAGATAAACCGCAATACATGCTGAGTGAGAGAAGCATTTACACAATGTGTAATATGACTCATTATAAAAAGTTTTCTGAGCGAAGCTTTACGTGAACGCGGATTATATATTAAAAAATGTTCCAAAAAGGCATAAACGAAAAGCGCCTAATGAATTTTTCGGTTTTAAGTTTGGTGGACTAAATTATATCTACCTCTAGATTGTAGAATCCTGTTTTATGACCTGGATTTAAAAGAATTCTCAGTATTAGGCTCTTGAAGGCATTCTTCTTACCAAATTGACAAATTCTACTAAGGATGGATATGCTATACTTAAGTTAACAAAAGGGCAAATTGTCAGATCTCGAGATATAGTATGTTTTGGAGACATCTTTCCCTTCCGTAGTGCTAAATACCCCCTTGGATCTCTCTTAAAGTGTAACAAAGGTTTATTTTTAAGATCACAACTTTTCGGTGCTACTATTGATACTACAATGCAACATTAAGCGAACATCACAGCTAGGGAAGATGTAACACTTCATGTACAACCAACTTTTGAAAACAATATTTAAGATTAATTATAAGGCAATCTATACTTTTGATTCAAGCAGCATCAACATAAACAAATTAATTAATAACAGCGATTTTAATAAAAATTATAAAAGTAATAATAATACTGATAGTAATAAATAATAGGAATAGAAATAATAATAGTTGTAATAATAGTAAATATAGTAATAGTAATAATAATAGTAATAATAGTGAGAATGTAAATAATGTAAACGATTAAATATGCTTTACTCAACCTAATGAAACACAAACTACTAAGGATATGTCGAAATTAACCGCAAATCTAAAAGGAGCCGCTCGTCCTTTTGATAGAAGATACAGGGTCCTATTAAGAATTGCGTGAGTCCACATCCAAGTTCTTAGTTCTGAGTTCATATCACAACCTTCCCGCTTGTTTTTAATCATAGAGAGCCTTATTTAACTTTAAGCATTTATTTTTTTCTTATTTTTAAACTAAATGATATTCCGTGGGTATTTTAACTGCAAGGGGTTGCATTATATAAGAATTTTTAAATTAAATTGCAATTGTCGCCAACCATTTAATGCGCTACATTAGCAGCCTAATAGTTTTCTTGGTTGTAGTATGATTTATTTAATAAGTGGTCATAATTAATTACATTAATTTAGTAATAATCTGTAGTCTAATTGATAGTCATTAGTAGAGGATTATTAAAAAAAACCATAGAATAGATGAGTATAAAAGTAAAGGAAAGGTTGTAAGTCTTAAACGCTTTGCTGAGTGGAAATTTCAAAATGAAGATTTTTTACATAGGAAAAGTGCACTGGAAGCTCCGTACGGCCAGAGTTTAACTTTGAAAAGAAAAAGACAGTTGGGACGCATTTATAAGTGTAATGGATCCAAGCTTGCACTCAATCGTTAGGGAGGTTATTAGAGAGAAAGAAGTTGGATGAAGTTAAATGAAGTTATATTGTTATGGGACTAACTTAGGGCCAGTTTGCGAACAAACCGCTATCTTTCCTATCCTTGCGGAGCAGCATGTTGACTGATCTATATGCAACTGAAAGGTATAGTTGGTAAAAATCATCTCTTTTTAAATTGAATGGAAGAAAAGGGTAGTTCTGAAAAGAGGAAACTTTTCATTGGAGGTTCAAGAAGTTATAAAGGGCTGCCTCAAGCCACAAACTGAACTTTATGGACGACTAGGAAACTTCAGATACAAAAACGGATGATACCTCTGAATATGTAAATGGTGGCCTTGTGCGAGTAATACGACTCGCAATTGCGACAAGCTGATATGCATAATAGTTCAGTGAGTAAAGAGTCAAATGTAAGTAAAGACTTTGCTTTAAAGTACAGTAAAGTATAACTGAACAGTATTTTTACCAATTATTTTAATACTCAACTTTATAATCTCACAAATCATAAGGCGCTATGCAAGGTTAAAACAAGTGGTGAGAATCAGCTAGAAAACCTGAGATAAAGTGGGGGGACAGAACAATTAAATAAGTTCTTTGAAAAAAATTTATGCTGGGAATAAAAGGGACGTTAGTTAGAACGAAGATATTTTGATGATACATGATAATAGCTACATCATGCGTCCTTTTAAATTGATTGTACAAAGTATGAGAGACGAGTGAATATATTTTCTGGGATGGAGAAATTTTTAAGAAAGAAAAGTTTTGGTTATGAAAAATCCGCCTTAATCAGTAAGGATAATTATAAAATTGAATTTAGATTATTGAAACACTTAAAAGAACCCGAAAAAAATCCCCTGGTTATTTATAGGGTTAGCAAAGTACAGCGCTTTTTTTTCTTGTCCTTTATGTGTCATGTATCAAATGGATGGAGGGATTAATGCATGCATTTAGGAGCCTCAAATGATTGTAAACAGGAATGAAATATACAGTTAATGTATATAGCAATTGTAAAAAAAAAATTAAAATTGTTATCAAATTTATTATACCGCAATTGATAAGGTTAAAGTGAAATTTTTTAGGGAAAGTCTCTGTGTTTTATAAGAAAGAAAGATGTTTTAACCCCCTTACCAATAAAAAGGTGAGTTAACCCTATTAAAAAATTTAACGTTTTATTGGTAGTGAAAAGAAAGGAAACAGGGATTTAAAAGGTACCCCAACATAAACACAACTAATAATTAAATAGTTTCTATAAACTTTTTAATTAAAATTTTATTTATAGCACTGGGCTTACTAAAATAGTAATTTATAACCAATTGTGCGTAATCTCCTTCCCTTCCTTAACAAATAGTAACGCCACCAACTGTAACGAATGCGTTTTATCATCGCAATTACATAGTTTATATCTTTTAAGATGACATCGCACATAAAAATAGACAAAAAATATTACAGTTAATACCTTTATATTTTATGGAAAAATACGTATTAATGTTAATAAACCAGTCTCAAATTTTTGTAGCTAGCTATATATGACAAATAAGGTACGGCACAACACGTGGTTTTTAATTAGTGCCTGTTGAGTGAGTCGTTCGACTTGGGGAGTCACGATCTACTTGCTAATGACTAACAAGAAGCGATCTTGTTTAGGTCCTAAATACATATTTTTTATTATAACTTTCAATAAAATAGTTAATAAATAGGAAAATCCCTAATAAGAGACAGGTTTAGAAAATCAGAAGTACCTCGGGTAGTTCTTTACTTTCAGCTTTCTTTTACCTTTTTAATCAATTCTTTTTTAGTTACCTTTTAATGTATATGATAATGAATTAACTTTTGAGCCAAACCTTGAATCTGTCACAACTACTTCAGATATTGCTACTTTACTAGAATCAGCACAGTTACTTGCTGAAAAGTATACTGTTGGTATAAAAGTTCTTGTTTTGGCTTTTTGTATTGTTTTTTTTTAATTTATATTCAGTTTATGGTCTCCAATTTTTTTTTTCGCTTTTAATTCTAAACTTTATAAAACCTTTTATAGACGTAACATTGATATTTCCTTAGAAAATGACGGTGTTATGCTAGTTGATTCTAGCTTTGCTACTAGTTTAGAGCAAGGTGAACAGTTGCAGTGCTCTAAAAATTCTCAGTTACTTCTAACCATTCCCAGAAGGTGGTTAAAAAAAACCTTTATATATCTAAAGTAAATTACTTTTTACTTTTTTTTAAGACCAAAGTGGACAAAACAGACTAATTCTCAACTTCTATTAGAGTTAGAAAGAAAAGAATTTTTAAATTGGAGACGCCAGTTGGCTTTGTATAATTGTTACCGAATTATTTAAAAAAAAAAATTAATTTATTTTTAATGAACAAGCATTCAAAAAGATGTTCTACTTTTAACACCTTATGAGAGAAATTTAGAGGTATGGAGGCAACTGTGGCGAGTCATCGAGAAGAGCCACGTTGTGGTAAATTTTATTTTTATTATAAAAGTTGGTGGATATTTATTACCGTTATTAAATTAAATTTACTTGAGGTACAACTTGTGGATGCACGAAATCCTTTATTGTTTTATTGTGCTGATCTTTTTCGGTACGTGAAAGAAATTGATCCTTTAAAGAAAAATATATTGTTAATTAATAAAGCCGATCTACTAACTAAAGCTCAAAGGTAATCTTTTTTAACTTTTATTATTTAAGTAAATTAAATATTTTTTTTGCTGTGCTGTTTGTGTTGATTATGAAAATAGATTTTACTGGACAACCTATTTTGAAAATAACCAAGTTGAGCATGCTTTTTGGTCAGCCTTGCAGTGTACACAAGACGAAGACTTTAAAGATTCCCAGGGCATTAATATTATTATTGTTATAGCCCTTGTTGTTTCCTGAATAATTATGTTTTCAGATAGTCAGATTGATTCTTCTGGAATATTAACTCGCAGCGAATTACTTCATAAATTAAAAAATTCTTTTACTGGAAACACAGGTTTTAGCAGTTTACTTACTACTAAAAAAGATGTGCGAGTGTCTACTGATAGGTGTTGATAAGACTGGGCAGGTAAGACCCCTCACCTTCGGAATGGTTTTCTTTTGTTTTTTTTTAATTAGGATTGAAATTAATTACTTCTTGTTTAAAGGTTGGCTACCCGAACGTTGGAAAAAGTTCAACCATCAATGCTTTGTTAAAATGTAATAAAGTTTCTGTATCGGCTACGCCCGGAAAAACAAAGCATTTTCAGGTAAATTTTTATTTAGTATGTTTTTTAAAATTTTTAGTTTATTTATTTAATTTATTATTTTTATTTACTTTAAATTTTAACAGTAAATTAGTTATGAAGTTTTGTTTTTATTTAAATTAAAGACGCACTACTTGGATAGTGGGCTTCTTTTAATGGATTGTCCTGGGCTTGTTTTTCCTAATTTTGTTTCTACTAAGGTTTTATTATTATTATTACTTTTATTATTACTATCATTATTATTAGGCCGAGATGCTATGCAGTGGTATCTTACCTGTCGACCAACTGCGCGATCCTGTTCCGCCTGCTACCCTGATCGGTATTGTTTTCTACTACTTTCCTCTTCATCTACACTATTAGTACCGCGGACGCAGCCCAACGTATCCCTAGAAGTGCACTTGAGTCTACTTATGGGTTGCACATCGTGAGGCAAGTCTTTTTTTTCCGCTTTGTGTAATTATTTATGGGATGCTCTTTTTTATTATAGGCCGTGTGAAGAAGAGGATCCGGAGAGACCGGCGACGGGCTACGAACTTTTGCACGCTTTTGGAAGTGTGTATTTTTTTTAAGTTATTATTATTATTACGAATAAGCACTTCTGCTGCTGTAGATGCGCGGGGATTTATGACTTCCCATGGTCTTCCTGAAGTGCAGAAATCAGCGCGGATTCTTATTAAAGACTACATTAAGGTCGCTTGCTGTTTATTATTAAGATTATATTTTCATTTCCCTCCGTCTTGCTTAGGGAAAACTTCTCTACTGCCACCCGCCGCCGGGCGTTCCCAACGAAGTGTTTAACCCTCATCTTTTCTCCGCAGGTGCCACGTGCCTTGCGCGAGTTTAAGCAACTCGTCACGAAATTTTATTATTATAGTTTCTAGCGGGGAAAAAACTGTTCTTCCGGCAAATGAAAATACAGCTCTTCTTTTTTCAACGTCCGGCAGTATCACGAAAGACAAGTACAGCAGAGATTTTCCGGATTTTTTATAAAAGCTAATTTCCTTGTCTTTGCTTTGTAGATACAATTATCAGTCGCTAGCTAAAGCAGCAGGCTTGATGGGAGACACTCGCTTTTGGGGGGTTAATATTTTTTGGTTTACTTATTATTTTTCAAGTTTTTTTTTTGATTAACATTACTTTTAGAAAATCAAAGGAAAAACTGAGATGTTCCCAGTGGAATCTGAAGTTTTGGAGAGAGATGAGTTTGGTCGACCTGTTGGCAAACCATGGCGTTATCATAATAACAAGAATAAAAGAGGGAAATTAAGAAGGCTCTACTATAAAAACACTGCTCTGTAAGAAATAAATAATTATTCATGCGTTGCACTGATATTGCATCTTCCGTGGACGTTTCAATAAAGTCTCCTTTTATTAAAAAAAAATTGTTTTCTAAGATGTAAAGCGGGTAGGGGTGTTGTTGCTTTTATTATTAAAGAATTTTTATTTTAATTTCCCAGAGGATTACTGTTCATTCTCGCTTTCTTCAATTTCATACGAGTCTTCCTCGCTTATATCTTCTCCGCCTCCACTTTCCTCGCTTTCCTCGCTTTCCTCGCTTTCCTCCTCGTCTTCGCTTTCTTCACTTTCCGAATCAGTGCTTGAAGAGCTCGATGTAGGGACTATGAAAAATTAAAAAAAAAATTACAAGAAAGCAGAAAGGCCGATAACCTTCGACGTAAAACTCTCGGCCTTTCGCAATGATCTCCTTTTCAAACTTAAGATAACTTTCGTATAGAATATTTCCTGCAGTATTTTTAAATAAAAAGAAATCAACTATAAAAGGGTAAAGGGAACCCTTTTTCAAGGCGGCCACAACGACTTCCTGGCAGCTGGCAGTCGTGTAGGAGGCAAACAGATTTCCCTACGCCCTCAATTTGCGTACAAGTGGTGGTTACAGTAGGAGCCAAGAAGAAAACCTTAAGAATGTCGATTGCGGAGCTGCGCTGGTTGCAATCAGGCACAATCATCTTCTGCAAAACTTGCGTTGTGTGAAGAGCCCTTCGTTCGTCGCACACTTGCCTTAGTAAATTAATGGTTCTGGCTGGCGCAGTTTAAAGATAAGTTGTGTTTAATTAAATAATAATAAAAAAAGTAGAGCGCTACGCCAAAAAGAGTCTTTGGATTTTCTTCGTGGGAGATGCCCTAGGCTCAGCTCGTAAAAAGAGATCCCCAGAGACCACATATCTGCCTGCGCGGGCGTGCTTAACAAATATAATAGAGGTGGACTTTTTTTTATTAGTAAAAACCTTCTCGTCATGTTCTTCATTTTTCATTACTTCTGGGGCCATGTAGGCATTACTCCCTTGAAAGTTTTGTATATATAAAAAATCAATTAATTTTGTAAAACTGAAGAGTGCAATAAACCTCGTCGAATGCCATCGTTAACTTTTTCGTTGCCTCTTAAAATCATGGCCATTCCGAAATCCGCTATTTTTATAAGCCCTAAAAAAATTTAAAGATTCAAAATAATGACAAGCTTTGAGTCCTTAATTATTTTTTGGCTCATTACCATCATATGTGACCATCAAATTTTCACTCTTGATGTCCAGATGCGCAATTTTGAGATCATTCTCTTCGCCCGGCGTCCTTAACCCAAACTCCTAATTCCCATCCCCGAAATAAAATGATTATTAGTTATTCTTCACCAAAAATTTATAAAACAAAGGCCAGTACACTTAAGTAAGCCAGCCCGTTTAAAGCTTGAAACATGGAACACCACACAATTTCTATGTCTAAACGATCCCTTACGGTGCCCTAAATAGGCGGAAGGGGATGATCAAAGCTAGGGCAATCCCGATAGAGGCACCTTCTGAGTTCTCAAAAGCCTTAAACTTTCCAAAGACCAGGGGCAGTACTCCATGTAGATGTGCAACTTTTATATATTTAATTAAAAATAAATTAAGTAGTCAACAGCATACCCATTAGGCAGAGACTTTTTAAAAATAAAAGAAAAAACCTCCATGTTGACATTCACATGCAAATCAAAGAGAGACATGCAATTAACATTTTTAATTCGATTAAGATAAGAGCATTCTGCTCGGGCATCCTCAATATCGCAATTCTATATGCCTTTAACTAATAAAGTTATAAAATAGCCACAAACTACTAACCTTTTTGCATAGGTCTATTATTTTTAGACATAATCGCTTAGTCGTCTTTTTATGTTTCACCAAAAAACATTCCCCAAAAGAGCCTGCAGAAATTATTTTTAATAAAAATGTGAAGAGCCCGTGGAAGAGAAGCTATCATAAATTACTCGCCAGATAAAATATATTTTAACTGTAGGTAACCTTTTCCGACGCAAGCAATTTTTTCATAATATAAGTCATTATAATCAACAAAGGAGTCTACGTTAATTCATATAGTAAAAAAGTATGTGTTTCTGCTCTTAAACTTAAAAAAGCTAATTTACAACTACAACCTGTAAGCCGATGTGGGTCTTCCCTGTCTAAAGCTAGTAATTTCATCTGATTTTCCAATTCTTCTAATCCCGGCCTCTCTGGGGAAAAGATTTGCGATTTCGTCAAAATATTATTGTAACTTTTAACAACTTCTGATTCTCTTTTCAAGATGCCCCGAGATATTTCTAGACATGACGAAAGTCTAGATTCCAACTGAGTAAGATAAAAGAGATCAAGTTTCTTATATGAATTCATGACAAGAATTGGGTCTAAGTCGCAAGTAAGACTCCTATTTATTAAAGTTTAATTTATATAAAGATTTTTTGTAAACTAGAACATATGAATACCCCTGCTCTGGGTTTGTCATGGTAACTACTTAATTTATATTTTTAATCCACGGACAAACCTAGAAATCTAAACGGCATCAGAAAAAACTTATAAAGAAAAAAGTTAAACTTATTAATGAGCTTAGCTTTTAAATTTTTTTAAAAAGTTAAAGATAACCACTTTAACAGTGCCCTACGCCAAGAATACTACGGTTGAGGAGCTCATGCCGTTCTTTGTAGGGTTATTGTTGGCACAAGATATTATTAGCTGAGAATCAAAATAAGCAAGTTAGATGAAAGTTTGTTTAGTAAAAAGAAGGGAGAACCTCATTTTCTCGAAATGTAAACGCACTATTAAGAGTTGTTTTTAAAAGTACGATTATAGAGAGTAGCAATTAAAAACCCTTCCCTTTTTATTATAACTTTTTCCTATTATTTTCTTTTAATATTGCTGTAAGAATCGCTTTTATAATATTGTTAGAGCCTAATCCAGGACACGGTAATAACAGGTCATCTTTTTGAAGGTGAATTATAAGGTGTCAATTAATATATATGTCGAACGTTCAATAGATTTGTTTTTTTAAAGTTGTAAAGAGGTTAAAGGGTCGCATTCATGTAAATATAAGGGAGGGTAAATCTCTGTTAAATGCTGTACTTTTGTCAAGGGGGTAAAATCTGTATATTTCGTAAGCTTATTACGGCGTGTTTTTTCATCAGTTACTGTTAGTAACTTTAACTAATTGTCCATTAATGCAGTTGAACGTTGGAAAAACTAACTCTTTTTATTCACCCGGAAAATGATAATTTAAATAATGAACAACCCTTCTCTTGTAAGCTTACAGCAAATTATAGAAACCCTTAAAACCTTTTCGCCTATTAATTATATTAAAATACAGAGTAGTCTGTAAGAAAACAAGGCCTTCTCGCAAGTAAGGTGATTTTACTATAAGAAAAGTTACTATAAGAAAATATTTTTTTTCGTAGCCTGAACAAGCAGTCCTACTTGCAGGCTACTTGTAGCTTATACTTAATATCTAATACAGATGGCGGGTTTAATAAATATATTATTGAAAGTTTCATACGCTCACAAAAAGCTTATCTAATATGTTACTTCTAAAGATAGAGATGCTAACAGATTTCTGACGTACGCTTTAAAGATTTTTATTACACTTAATTTTTTTGTCTGGCTCAATGTAAACAGTTATAGAAATTTCAAATTATTTATAAAATAAAATTACAAATAATTTTAAGCCTTAAATAGTCAAACTTTTGCGAAACTTTATGCTAATCTTTTTTCAATAACTTTCCCAAAAACTATTTGTTTTGCTGATAATGTTACTTTGTCAAATTTCCCCCTTTACATCCTAAAAATTTTTATTCGGGGTCTGCACAGACCCCGGTCCATCTTTACAACGGTTTAAAAACTGTCAATTATATTTTGACAAAGGGAAAAATTTTCATTAGTATCTGTACTTTCCCATTGTATTTTCCTTAAAATCGTATTTAAACATTTAACATGAGTTTGGGGTTACTCAGACACATAAATTCGAAAAATCTTTTTCTTGCGCTCCGTGTTGCAGATGTGTGCGGGATAACTCGTTTTGCAACATCAGGTGTCAGTGTCGGAAGAATAGGAAAAAATAATAGGTAAAACAGCTTAAATAATTGAAGGTTTTTCTCAAATTGTAAAAAGTCTTTAAACCTAAGTGCACCTATGTGTGGATAAACAACTTATGTTCTTTTGAGAACGAGGACCTTTTAAAGTATATACATCGATGTATCATCAAGATATGGGCCCTTTCTAACTATTAAATTAATTTCCATACACAAAACATGCTGATTGACTTGGGTAAGCTTTGTTTCTAATTAAGCTAATACCTACTTTTGTTTCAGATAAACAAGGAATGCACCGGAAGAAATTTGAACTAAGGTTAGTGTTTGATATGTTGCAGCATTTGTAGCAAGATTATGGTATATTAATCGATAATTATATGCTGATGAACTGTCGAAAAGGAGCATACACTGTGTTGTACACTACCCAAAAATAAAGCGTTTACTTTGCAAGTGGTGCTAGAGGAACTTGCTACATATTCCAGTAATAAAAAAAGATCGATAAAATAAAAAAGTGCGTGAAGTGTATTAAATTTGTACTGAAACTATTTGTGGTCATACACAACTTAACAGTTTGTATAAATTTCATTTAATAAACATTAATAGTTAATATCTTTTTTAAATAAAAGCTTAGATATAAAAAATTTTAGAGGTTATAGAAATTTTAGAATTGACAACGAGAAAAAAAGAGGAAAAGGTAAACGTTAAGTATTGAGCTATCTCAAGCATTACTAATTAAATTTTTTTTTTTAAATTCCTTATAAAATTCTTTTGGGATTAACTTATGTTTAACCCTTATGAAAAGTTGAAGTGTTCCTCAACATCTTTATATATAAAATAGGAAACCTCTTAAAAGAGGGTCTGCAGACTAGCTAAGTTTTGATAGCGTCATTTGTTGAACTCTAATAAATTACAGTCATGTGTTTATGCTTGACTACTTTTTTATATTTTTTTCCTGAAAGTAATAGCCTTTTCTTCTACGGGACAATTAATTGATCACTCCTCCTTTTTTTCTCCATCATTATTTAAATTTTCTATTAGGTAATTTAATTTTTTAAAGGTTGTTGTCATTAAAGGAACACTGCATCCTTTGACTAAGAGAGAAAAACTTTATTAAAAAGAACTGACTTTAAGAGAAAAAATGAATACATAATGCTCACATATTGCTTTTACCAATGCATATATATAGATTATATTGACGAGAAACAAAAACGATACACCTTCAAATATGTTATATATAACCGAATGCTATAGCACTTTTTTTTTTTTGGAGTCAAGTTTAATTGACAATAACCTAAAAATAGTATAACAATAACAACACTAAGAGTAATGGAAATAATATTATAACAACTTTACTAGTGTAACAAGTTAACATTAAAAACATTAATAATAGTATTATTAGTAACTGGTGAGATTTGGTAATATTATTTAAGAAAGAGCATTTATTTGGAACCCAAATTTCCCTAACTTTTTTATCTTGGGGTTTCTATTTCGTTATTTTTGATGTCTGTTCTTTAAAGGTTAAATAATAGGTTTAAGGGAGTTACGCCACTAACTACCTGCATTTAGCCTCAAACCTTGCTATGCCCTCAAATTTGTATGCTATTTCCTATTACCCTAAGTTTTACAAAGGACAATAAGCACTTCATTTACATGAAAGGAATTGGCGTATGCTGCTTATTAGCATTTATAAACCGAATAAATATCATGACTCTCCCAAAGTACTTGGTATGTAATCAAGCAAGTAAACAAAGTATTTTAACATTAGGTCAAAATGTGCGATACATAATACAAACAAAATTATATTTCAAATCATACTAAGCTAGTTTTAATATAGTGCCGAAAAGAAAACTGATAAACCAGCTTGTAGTAGCCTACTTATTGGTCAAAAAATTCATAACCTTTAACAGGATTAAATACATGTCTAATATGTTTTTTTTAAAGTTAGTAGCTTATAAATCAAGAAATCTAGAGTGTCTATGTCAACATTTTAATTTTTGTTAGACAAGTTGCAAACAGATATTTGTCTTAAAATCAATTAAAAATTATACACACCCCAATTTTTAGAACCATTTTAAAGAAAACAGGCTGAATCGTCTCATTTTAAGGATAACAGGAACTTATAAGGTAGTGGTAATAATTTATTGTCGGGTACCAATAACTTGCTTTGTACATGTATAAATGCCCTAAATGGTTATTTCATTTTGTGCCTGTAAACTGCTTAATTCAGCGGTTATAGAACAAGGAACAATATTAATTATATTTTAGTGCTTATTAACAGTTTCGTTCAATGGATTATGCATCGTTTAACTCTGAACTAGAAGAGTACGGCAGAAAAGTTTTTGAGCCTTTTTATAACATGGTTTTAGAGTGCAATGATTTTTCAAGTAAGAAATTAGTAAAACTTCTCAAATTGCACAAAGAATTATATTATTCTTCCCTGCCTCAAAAAGAAAGTAAATTTACCTATAAAATTTATCATTAAGATACATTACAAGGTTACTTAATCAAAAAAAACAGGCCTTAATGAAATAATTCGGATATGCAAATACTGGTTACATAAAATTCAATCAAAAATTGTTTACAACAGGACTCGGGAAATCAGGAAGCTTTTAGCTGAAAGTACACTCGGAAAATTGGAGAATGAGATCAATCAGATTTGTTTGGGTTTTAATGGAGAGGACTTCACGGCATCTGATTTAAACTATAATAACATAAACTTAGATATAATTAGTAATAAAAAAGACCGCGATGTACAGTTAAATAGTGACAACCTGCTTCAAAATCATAGAAGTTATAATTTATTAGCATTTGAAAGAGCTGGTATGATCACACCTTTAAATTAAGTGTATTACTACTTATAATATTATTATAAACAAGATGAAACCTGTTGGAGCCCCATCATTTTATCGATGAATGATAACCAAGGAACTTCCAAAGTTGAGGTAAGGACTAAGTTACTTCAATAACTTTTCATATTTTAGTAAATAATGAAACGAAGGCGTCTTATAACAGTCTTGCCTTTGTGCCCTACACAGAGGAAAAATGGGGTATAAGTTTATTATTTTCTCGGATTGAGGAAACTCTTCAAGATTATAGGCAAGAGGTTACAGCTAAAAAACTAGCCTTTCCAGAGGATGAAGTGAGTTCACTTATTAGCAAACTGAATTTTTTTTAAAAAATAATTTACTATAGGATGAATTTTTTGCCATGTATCATCGCAAGCTGGTCATTGCTGCAAATAAAGCGGTGAGAAGGATAGTGCATATGGAACAACTTGAAAGAAAACTAAACCTCCATGATGGGGACCATATTTGCGTTCGAACTCCGCAGTCCTTTCTCTCTTCATGGCATCATGGAATTTATAACTGTGGCAAAGTTATAGAAGTTAAGAGGAACTCGACAGGATATTGTATACAAGAAGTACCCTTCACCATTTTTTGTAGAGGTTTATTACCGAGTAAAACAACTGTGTTACGGAAATTCTACAAAGAATGTTTTTCCCCTGTTGATGTAGTAAAACTTGCTCGTTCTAGAATAGGTGCTTTTTCTAATTTGTATCCAAAATATACCTCCAAAAACTTTGCTACCCAATGCAAGGTGAATTAGTTATAATAAATAACAACACTGTAATGAGATTTTATTTTCAATATTAGATGGGATTTAAAATAGAAAATACCACCCCGAAGAAAGTTGGGATAGTTTTTACTGGTATTACGACTAGTACAGCATTAGGGGTCACCACCTCGGTTTTGCTCGAAACATCAAGCGCAATTGCAGCCTCTGCAATTGTAGGAGGGGCTGCTGCTGGTGGAATGGTTCTAGGTAAAGAGAGTGACCTTCCTTTTTCTCCTAATAAACTTAAAATATTAATTAGGGGCCGCATTAGCGTTTGGAGTCGCTGCAGGAGCTTCATTCATACTCAGAAATTATTTTAACGCCCATCTAGGGAGCGGTGAATACCGCTTATGCTTGAAGTATGAAAAATATGTAAACTCTAATGCAAGAATTGCGGATAAAGATGAGATTATTTACTTTGAAATGAAAGAACTTTTGGACGTAAACAGTATAGCTATATTATGGAATCTTCTTTCAACGGAAAATTTACTGATCCTCTCCTTTAATTTAAACGGAAGTGCAAAATATTTAACAGTGCAGTCGCTGAGGAGCACCCTTCAAATTAATGATGATTTAGTGTTATACCTTTACGACCATTCCTCTAAACTTTTTCAGGAAATTAATAAAAATGATGATATGAATTTGCCACAGGCGTGTAGCTTAAGGATAAAGCATTCTTGCCTACAGTTTGCCGAGTAATAATTATATAAGAAGCGGTAATACGTTGTAGATAAATAGAGAAATAAAGTTTTAAATAATAAAATTTTGCCATTGCATTTAGATAACCGAGATATACATTAACCTACATTTTACCTGTCAAAGTAAAAGTTATTTAAATGAGGTGTACTAAGATTTAAAAAGTCAGAAGAGAAAAAGTTTTACCGACACAGCTTGTAGAATACAATAAAATACATAAATTCCTCTTAAGATTCATGAGTTATATACATTTTTTTATTAAGTAATTACCTAATAAACATACCAAGTTTTCTCTCCTCCTCTACTTCTTTTTTTTTTCTGTATATTTCTTCGACAGTTTAAATTTAAAATAATGGATTAATATTCCTGAATAGTCAGTCAATAAATTGTCCCTTCTAACATTATCAGTACCTCGAAAAGCTAATATTTATATTATACTTGGTAATATGTTTTGACTCTTTTAAAACGGGAGGCTAGCTTTCCCAATGGGCCAAGAAGTGTCTTAAGACAGCAATTAGATTTTTCATTTGTTAGGCTTTTTAAGAACTTGCAAGGGATGGACTTATTTATACCGTACTCGACATCTTTTTTTTACTTGTCTTCACTACTTTTTCTAAACTTTTCATACTACAAGCCTCATTGCTGCTACTGAAATTCTTCCTAGTTCTACCCCTACTGTAAACTTTACTACCACTATCACCGCAATAATTTTATATTCTACTAGAATTATTATATTTCCTTTTACTACTTTAGATAATATTATAATTTTAAAGGTGACATAACCATAATCTATCTGGCCGTAGTTTTAAATATTCCCTACAAACTGAAACATTTTTTTAGCATTTTGCTAAATTTCTTCACTTTTAAAAACTTCCGCGTACTTTACAGCTTTAAAACTTTTTTATAGAGGAATTAGTGAATTCAAGGTTTTCGCCTTTTCATTTACGGGAGCCCTTAGTTTACCTTTTACTTAGACATCCACATTTTTGTAAAGTTCTTCAACTGCGCCACATACTTTTTCCTTCGCGATCAAAGGCTTTAATTTTTAATTAAGCCACCACCTAGTATCTTAACATCTCGTTTGCATCACAACTCTTTCTTCAAAGCTTTAACTTCTCTTTTCTTACATTCACGCTGCTGCTCACGAAAGCTAACTAATGATTTTTCGCGTTAGCTAACTTTAAAGTATCTCCCGAAATATTAACGTTCTTGTTACAAAGCCTTACTTTTTTAAGTAGGGTGTTGTGGCAAAAGTTCAATTGCTACTTAGTGCCCCACTCTCATAGTCTCCCAAATAGACTGTAGCGCTCGTAACAATGAAGACGATAAAAAAAAATACAAGTTGAATACCATATTAAAAAGAGAAATTTTATTATTCTTCTTAATTAAACCACTTTACGAGGGCCTGCAAGTTTACGTTAGATAGGTTTTTTTAAAACTATGAGTCAGGCAGATAGACAGAGTATTTGCTCTGAAAAAACTTGGTTTCACCAGTGGAATTGTTTTATTTAGTGAATCTACACATTTTAGCGGATTAATCGCGCACACTTCAAGGACATATCCAAAGCTACAGTTAATGTCTTCAGAATACTTCCTTATTTCCATTAACTTCTATATAAGGCAAGGCCATTTTAATCGGGGTTTTAGCAATATACGCCCAGATGGCTGCATGAGCTATCAGGCCCCTAGCAGAATGGCACATTACTGTTCCGTGGTGTGCATACGATGTCAGCAAAAAAGGAAGAAAACGAAGCAGAAGAAGAGACGGAAGAAGGTTGATTATAGTTTTAACAACTCACAGTGTTTATCGCCTTTAAACTAATTTAATTACTTAGAAACATTATATAACGATATTACCCAAGATGATGATGACGAACAACCTATTTTCGACGTTAAAAAAACTCGCCGATTTCGGGCCAAACAAAACGCCCAAAAGTTAGCTTTGTTGTTAGATTCTTTTACAGAAGAACAGAATTTAAGATATGAAGCTTTTCGTTGCTCAACTTTTCGAAAGTCTGCCATGAGAAAAGTTTTATTAGAGTTTACTAATTCTGTTTCTAACGAAACCGTGATTATCTTTTCCGGCATTTCTAAGTTATACTGCGGTGAAATCATTGAACGTGGTAAGCTTTTTTATATATACACTTGTTTTCAAAACTTTTTAAACCTTATATTTCTAATGCGTAAGCTCGCGTCGTTCAGGAACAATGGATGGAAGAAGGACCTCTACAACCAAAGCATATAAGGGAAGCTGTGAGAAGGTTTAGCCAATGTTACTGCTGCGCACATAGATATTACTCAATCTGACTTTCTTTAATCAACAAGGCTTAAACACACAGGACTTTCAATATTGGCTGGTAGTTCGTCTAAGAAAATATTTTAATTTTTAGTTTTTATATAATTTAGTTTAAAAAGCAATTTCGTGTAAAGACCTTGTACGTATATTTTTTGTATGCTTTTTCATGTTAATAATATACTTGCTAAGGTCAAAGTAACTTTCCTCTTTCTTTAACTTTTTGTGAATTCATAGTTTTTAAAGTTAATGTTAGGATAATAGTACAAAAATAGGTACTTTAAGGGGGGGGAGGGTGTCTGAACTTAAGGAAGTTTCTCGGAAAAGAAAAACTATTATTATCTTAAGGACACTATAAAGAGGTGTTAAGCTGAAGTTTTTGCTTGCCAGAAGAGCTCCTGTTTGCAAAAACTATGTATTCAGTTGTATAATAGATTTATAGAGGCAAGATGAAGCGATCATTTTTTAAATAAAACTATTTAAGGAGTGACTAGTACAGGCCGCTGCCCATTTAGTTTAAAAACTTTAACCTCATAATCTTCTCGCCTGAGGATAAAGTCAGAAAACAGTGCGTTAAATACGTGCATAAACTGAAGAACACTATTATAGCGCAGAAGGGCTCCAGTAAAACTAAGAGCCAAGAAAAGCAGGGGACACGACCTCTGGAGTGTCTTGGCGTGGTGCAGTTTTATATACAAACCTTCTCGTGTGACGCCTCTATTGGGTCTGAGAAAAATTTAGTAACTGACAATTTTAATATAACTTACGCTGTTTGGGGGCGACCAAAGTTAAAACTCAGTTCCACGAGCTAAAACTATCATGACACACGTTCAACAAAGCCAATGCCCGTAAAGTAGGGGCTTAAAAAATGTGAACCAGAACGTTTAAAATACAAACAAAACGCTTATAGTGTCTGATACCATGCGAGGATCTCTGGGCAAAGCAGTTAATCAAAATATCGATATTGTCCTTTCCTATTCTACTCATCAGTTAAGCGGGCACTATAGTATAAACGAGAAAACTGTGCAAAAGGGCATTAGAAATAGCATTTAGTAAAATGCTTTTTACGTTTACACAAAATTCTTTTTTTTTTAAAAAATAAAGAAATTTTCTACCAGGCTATAATTTTGACCTTTTTAATTAACTTTTATTCAAGGAATAAATTTGGTGAAATTTAGATCTCTTAATTGAACAACCAATACCATTTATTAAGTTAAGTACAACATTTGTAACCTGCACGTATATAATTTCCGCTTGGAAAGTTATACTTAATTGCAACCATTTTTATTTCCTAAGTAATTATTTGCTATCGAAATATAGCTTGCTCACTTTTCTCTCGTTAAATTTGTCAAACCAGTTACTAACCTCCTCTATTTGAAGTTTATAAAAGTAGAACTTCCTGAAATACGCGCTTTTTCATAGATTACCTAGGCAAGTAAAAAACCAAATTAGTAACGTACCCCCCTTTTACCAATAAGTATTAAATTTTGACTATTTCCCGTCACTTGTACACTTTCAAATCGTCTATAGAGGCACAATTTCTAAGTCCGTTTCTTGACCTTAATTATTATCTACTTGTAAAGCAATTTTATTTAAATCTTGACAGCTTTGACGATACAACAACAAATAAAATTGCTGTGGAGTCTCTTTTACTAATAAATAATTCTTCGGACCTAGGCCAATCAGTTTCTCATTTGTTTATCTGTTAAAATTTAGTTCAACATATTCTAATTAATTAATTAGCTCGTCACCGGGTTTTCAAGTTTCTTGTTTTTCTTTGTGCCACTTAAACTTTTTTCTGTTTTTATTCAACCAAGTTATCGTTGTGACAAAAACTTTATTAAGTAACTTTCGTATGTTGCTAAATGTATTTTTTTCTATCACTTCCTTATTAGATACTTCTAATTTTTTTTTTTAAGCACTATACAACACATGCACTAACGACACAGAATATCAAGGTCCATCGAATGCATGTGTTATTGCCACTGCTACTATCTTGCATCAATGATTCCGGAATAGAACTGAAGTGTTATCAGAACATTACTCATTACCTAAATTAGTTCTTATGTACGCTTTTAGTCGAACTTAATTGCACGGTACACAAGCTTAATTTAGTAACCTAACTAGATTCCCCAAAGTTTCATAACTTTCCTGGCCGTTGGGTTGAAATATAAGCCCAACTCAGAGGCATAACCTGTAACTGAGGCCCGAGCGTGTAAAGGTTTTAATCTTACTTACTTAGCCTTTCTTAGTTCTACTTTGGTAGAACAAGCTAATTAGCATTTCTAGAGTGTTAGTTACTTTTGTTCTACCAAAGTAGAACCTTCTGCTTTAGTGCTTCATTTATGCTTTAGCCAACTATGGGCTAACGCTCCCATCCATAAAAGAATCTACTTACCAGATCCTGCTACTAGTTTAACTGAAGAGTCGACCCTCTTCATGATAAGACTTTAATAAAAATGAAAGAATAATGATTAAATGTAATGGCAAATTATCTTTAATGCTACTATTTCCTCCGTAAAAGATAATAATAGTCAATAGCATTCCTAGCATTTATCACGATACTGACGTACTGGTATTACATTAGTGCCACGTTGACACCCAACTAATGACTATCATCCGAAATTGAATCGGTATCATTTTTTTCTTTATTAATATAAGCAGTGAAAGATTTTACTATGGCTTTACGTACTTTTTTTTAAGATTGACTTTAGATATAATCTAGTTAAGAGTTGAGAGCACTTATTAATAGTATTTTTATTATAGAAAAGGTAGCATTTAGTTTGGTAGTTTATTAGAGAGCTGTTGATATTTTAACCTTTGCTCGCCTAAAAAAGCACTGATTAACGATATTACAAGATCTTTAGGGTTAGCAGATCCAAGTAAACATGGACCAGGTGCCTAAGAAGTTAACCGTATATTTATCACTCAGTGGGATTTCTATAGTTCTAATTGACAGACACGAGTTTCCATTTGCTTAAAGCACTTCGAATAAAAATAAATGAAAGGTACATTAATTCTATCTAAGCTATTAAATTGTGAACCCTAGTGGTAATCCTTCATCTAACTTTCGCAGCTAAGAGAATAGCTTAAGCGGGTAATATTTTAGGTTCACCATATAATTAATGAAGTTGCATGAAATTAACACTTGGTAGCATAAATTACTAAACCAAAACTAATCAACAATACTTATTAATAACACTATTTAGGCAAGTAATGAGATAACCTTGCTAATTGAGCAGCTTGGTAATTGGTTTATCAGGTGACACCTTAAACTAATAAGCTATTTTTTAACTTTTGATTCATAATAGTGCATGATGGGTTCTTCTAAACAAGGATTATTAATTAGTCAAACTTAGGTCGAACTTTCTTAAGTTATCAACCTGACGGTTGAAGAACCTATGGCTTTAAATTAGTTTGTAAACTTCCTATTGTTGTACTAAAATTACCAAGCAGGAAGTGCATTGTTAAGTTGTTACAAAGGCTATACTTAATAATAATCAACAGTGTTAAAAATGCTTAAACTAAAGCTTTGTTCTAACTGAATGACTATTTTCATTCTAAGATACCATAATCACGATTTATTTAACTTTTTTCGGTGCCTTAATCTTGAGGCTTAACTATACAAATAACAAACAACTTTTAATCGTTTATCTTATATAATTTTATTTTAAAATTAAAGAGACCCTAATTAAAAATAATATAACACAAACAAATATCTTTTAAATACGATAAGGATTTTATAATAAATAATACAAAATATAAGTAAAAAATTAAATGTGATTAGAAATGACATGATTTAATGTTGTTTAACAGCGTTTTATACATAATGACACAGATTGCCGTTAGCGACTATCGATTTCGTGTAGTTTTACTATAATAATTAAGTAATTTGAATTGGCCCTATAAGAGAGAGTAGCTAGTTAACTCTGTCTCGGTGCGCGTTTTCTCTTCCACGCGAAGCATCTTTTATTCGTGCAGGAACTTGTGTCAAAGCCTTTATTTGCCTTCAATCACAGTGAGGTTGGCGTCAGTTATCCTTTAAAGATCCATTTTTGGCAGCTGCTTAGGTTGGCTCCTTAATAGGGGGACTAGGCGTTGTTTTGTACCTTCCACTGTTAGCAATATCTTGGTGCTTTCGTCATTTGATGTACAATCTTCTTGCGAGTTGAACGTTTGATTTTTGCCACCAGGTGCATCGTCGTACAAATGCTTGTAACAGACAAATCCAGATATAAAATTAGCGTCCGCCATTTGGTTACTCCCCCAGGGTGCCGGTTGGCTAGGGTCTATGGTACTCAAAGGTTGCCATCCGTAGGGCGGAATGTAACGAGAATGCAGAAACATCTGTATCGGGGCATGTCACCCTCCACGGAATAAGGCCTTACTTAACTCTTGGCTAATATTGCTAAACATGGGTTATTGTAATGATTGAAAACACCTTTACGTTGTGATTACGGAGGTGCTGCGGAAGTTCAGGTTGTGTGACGCAACGTATCGAAAGGTATACTCTTAAAACTGACAAAAATGCGTCTGTAGCGGAAGGCCTGCGAACAAAATTAATTAACTACAGCTCTAAAAACGATAGCTAATTAGCTTGTTTTACCATAGTAGAACGAAAAAAGCAAGGTAAGTGAAATTACTTCCATCTTACTCTCCTGGTTCGTTGGATCGGTTGAGATATAAACCCATCTCAGGAGTAATTGGAAGGTGGAATGGGGTTTTATATATAAGCACGATTTTTTTCGTGCGCTTTTACCACGACGAACCTGGGGGATGGAACAGGCATCCTTACTTAGTTTGCTTTGTTGCTTGGTAACGAGTTAAACATAAATAAATACTGGTAAATAATACTATTAGTAACAGCGCATAATACTGCACCTTTCCAAATAAGTGTTCATTTACTTATTTATATAAAGTTTTTAATAACAAAAAAAGTACTTAGAGATCAGTTACCTAGAAAACATTAAATAATATAAGTTGTTGAGGTTAATCACGATATATAAAGGGACCCCTAAATTGAGGTACTAACATTCATAAGTACAAGAACCTAATTAATTAAATATGAGAAAAAGTAGAAAAGCTTATTGAAATTTTTTTTTTGTGTTAAATAAATAGTTAATATCATTTCAACAATATTTTCTCTTTTTGTTGCTAATTTAAAGATTAAAATTAATTTAAATATTGGCAGTTAAATTTCGTCAGAGGTATTACATACCATATATAGCACTAAGTTAATAGCCTAAAAATTCTACTTCACAGCTATTTACTTTTGAGTAATTAGTAAAACGTACAGAAAGAACTTTTTAACAAAAACATCCATAATCTTTTAGGTTGTAATTTTAAGTATGATAAATAGTGCACGTATTATATTAATTTGTTATAATCTATGCCTAATAACCGAAAAACATAATTGAAAATTTAAACTTTAAAACGCTATTTCTGTATCTAGCCTAAATTTTAGTCACTAAAGGAGTAAAAACCAATACGAAAGGTAAATTAGCAAAAAAGGGGTTTCTTAGCTTATATAAATACTAAAATAAACCAGTTTAAGAAAATAAGCTTGACATTACGGTTATCGCTCGTCATATATAGTGTAAAATTTTCTCTCTTACCGAAATAGTGTGTATTTTAATATAATAGAACCTCATGTGACAGCAGCTCTTTATTACAACATTTTTATAGTAAACAAGCTATCAGTAAATTTGTTAGATACAAAAAAAAATTAAACACTTTGCGGATCATACTGCTAAGTATAGCTTTAATTGTTAAAAACTAGCCGGTTATAAAGTCCTATAAAGATAAAAGGAGCAAAAATGTGTAATGGAGTTAACATATTATAGTGACTATTTCTATATAAAAGGGACTATCGTTAAGTTATATGGCAATAAAAGTAGGTCTAGCCGTGGGAAAAAGAAAACTAAACGAGACCACAAAGGATGCTAGGATCGTAGAAATAGAATTTAGAAGATCGCAAGAACATAAACACATAAAAATAGCGCTTTATTATAAAGAATATTGCGCAAAATCCGTTTTAAAATCCGTCCCATCTGAAAGGTAAGTCTAATTTATTTACCTTCAAGAGAAGAGGAGAAGACAATCATTTGCGTGCTCACTACAACTAATTAAGGTCAATAATTTATTGTAAACACGTGATGGGCATCAACAATACTAAATGCCCTAAAAAGAAAATTTTAAGTTAAACAGATTAGCCTAACAAGACAGTAGAGACGCAGATATGATGTCATGACATTAACTGCTTAGCTGACCTCTTCATTTCAAAAAAAACGCGTTTTTTTTATTATCTAAGAAGCTTATGCTTTTAGTAACTTGAAGAGAACGAGTATGGACAAAAATATGTTTTTTGTTTTGAGATAGCAACTTGCAAGTAAACTCCAATAGAATGTCAATGTGTACCTCATTTATTGTTATTTGTTAAAGGTTGAATTGTAATTATTTCAGAATATACTAAAATACCTTAATTTAAAAGCGTTTTTTGTTATCTTAAATAAGGATTAGAAATAGAAATTATATACATACAGTAGATGCACCCCAGCACTATCGGTGTTAAACTGAGCCCTGCTCGCCATGCTGGTGTGTTCATTTGTACTGTTAGCTTAACGTACTGGTCTTATTTAAAACAAAGTGTGACACCAGCTGTTCGTTAAGTTGTACATTAGTTACACGCTGGTGTATCGTGTGTGGTATATTCAGTTTTGTTTCAAGTAAGTTAAAGCCTAGACGTTTAAAGTAATGCTTTGAAAAGATGAAGACTTCATAATATTAATTTTTAACTATTTAATTAAAAGGCTAAGCTTTTAATGGAGGAAGTTATTACCTTTAATCCTCTTAGAATCTTAACTGTTAATGATATTTACTGTGAAGATCCTTCTCCCATTCGTGGAGGTTTATTTTGTTAAAAATAAAATTTAAACATATTTTTTTCTTTCCAAGTTACGTAGAGGCAACTTACTTTTACTTTATGCCATAACAGGTTATGCTACTCTTGCAACTATGCTGAGAATGTCTCGAGAAGAGGTTTCAAAATCCGTCACTGTTGTAGCTGGTGACGTACTCGGAGGCTCTTCCTTAACAACCTTCTTTGAAGGGTCGTGGGTAGTGGACGTTTTCCAAGAACTCAAGGTGGATTTCGCCTGCGTGGGTTTGTAGTTTTGATGTTTTTGGTAAAGATTTTAAAATTGCTGTTTTGATTTGAAATAAGGGAATCATGAATTTGATTATGGCGCAGAGGTTTTGGAGAAATTGATAGCTAAATCAAACTTTATATGGTTTGCCGCCAACGTTCGTAACAAAGATGGTATCATTTATTTTTTTAAAACTATAATTTAATTTGAAGTGCAGAATAAGGTTCGTTGCTGAAAGGCGCCCACTCCATTTGCGTACGTCACTATGAGGTAACCAACTCAACTGATCGTAGAGAAGTAGTCAGTATTGGATTTTTCGGTGTTTGTTCCGAGGACACGCCTAATCTTTCGTTTCCTGGTTATTCTTATTATAAACTATTTACTTCAAAATCTTTTCAATTTTAGTTAAAAGTTTATATTTAATGTCTTTTAGCCTTTTCTTTGGATTTGTTTATTATAATACTTTTAAGTTGTAAGGTTGATGGCATCACTTTTTTTTACTTTCTTACATTATTTAAGGAAACGAGGTTGTTTTTACCCCAGTACTCGAGTGCGTAAGGGATCAAGTTTCCGAGCTCAAGAATTGTCACAACGTTGACTACATCGTTGCGCTTACGCACTTGGATCTCTCGCAGGATATTGAGATCGCTCGCAACGTTAAAGGCATTAATCTAATAATAGGTGGTTTCCGTAAAGTTTTTATGTACACTAGCTGAATATTATATTTCGGAAAGCTCATTTGGTCATTCTGCTTAAGATTTATTATTTTACTTTAAAAATAAAAAATTCGCTAAGTATTTTTTCTTATATACTTTTGTAACCAATTTTAATGTTTACATTCTTTACAGTTTTAATAATCTTTTTGTACTTTATTTATTAGATTTATATTGCAGTTTAAACGTTATTATCCCGAAAATCCTTAATTCTTCGTTAAAATCTTTTTTTTCTTAGCTTATAATAATTAGCAAATCTTTTCAAAAAATATATATTTTTTTAAAATTTAACAAAAAAAGTTTATGAAATACAATTAATTCATAAAACAAGGCGGGCACAACCACGAGCCTTACACATTATTTGAAGGTGACACGATGATTTTTAAAGCTGGCGTCAATGCCTACTGGTTGGGCGTGGTTAGTTTCTATAAAAATATTTTACACTTTTCTGAATTTATAAATTTTTGTGCCTCATTTTTTATAAAAAACAAATTTATTATACTTATTTGGTGCAACTCTACTGTATCTACTCTTTACATTGTATACTTTATAATATTTTTATAATCTAAATTTAGAGGTCGTCTGGATGTTTAAACAATAAAATTAAAAAATTACTGCATTTTATATTACTATTGTATTAAAAGTTATTATAGTTAATATATATATATGTATAAAAAATTATTTTGCATTTGCGGTATGCATTTCCTCAATACTTCGTTTTTATTCAAGTTATTTTACCATCCAATAAGCACTAAGTTACCGCAATTAAGCAAAAATTTTTAAAAATAAGGCGCTTTTGGGTTATGCTTCTACTTAGAACTTTTTTTTGTATCCTGTAATTGAGGCAACAATTAACTGGAAAGGGGGAACATTTAAATTTTCTGTTGTGTACATCTTGATTACTTTTATTTTTTTAATTTATAATAATAATATTATTTAATTAGATTGACTTAACATTTACTGCTTCTTACAAGAAATTTTCCAACCAAAGGAAGCTGGAAGTTTTTCATAGCTGGTTTTTAATTTTTTTTTTTAATTTTCATAAATTTTTTTAATTTTTAACAGGTCTATGAAGGTAAATATTGGCTATGAACCCGACGTGTCTGTTTATAATATTCTTAAAGAAAAGTACAATGTAAAGGCTGATTACGAAAGAGGTTTACTTTAATTATTTCTGAATATAATTATTATTATAATTAATGTTTTATTATAAGCGAATGGGATGAACAAAGTTTTAGTATCGCGACTTCCATTCAGGCTAGATACCAAATTTTCTACTGTCCGTTCGAAAAGTTGTGCAATGGTATTTACTATTACCATAGCTTCGAAATGTGTATTTTTTTAACTTTAAATGAAGTAATATAGTAACAAAGCTTCATATAGAAATAGAAAAGTGATTTCAATAACTATTTTTCTTTGCGATGTTATACGTTGCCTTTAAAAATTATATATAAGCGTACACATAAAAGCAAAGCATTGGATTATATCTTTATAAACAAATAATGAACAAACATCTTGAAGTTTACACGTGCTCGGTTATTTAAACCATAAATAGTAGCAATTTCCATACAACCCAATCAAAACTTTTATAAGTTACCAATTGGTTTCACTATTACTATTATTATTATTATTATTATTATTATTATTATTATTATTATTATTATTATTATTATTATTATTACTATTACTATTACTATTATTATTATTACCTGCTAGGGAGGTCTGATAGCTGATGCCATCCGCGCTCAATGCCGGTCCGACTTGGCTTTGATAAACGGCGGATTTATACGCGGAGACAGGATATACGAAAAAGGATCGTTCATCTCCGCAAGTTTATTTTTATTATTTTTATTATTTTTTATTTTTTTATTATTTCCTTTAACTTCGCAGGAGATATAATAGCCGAACTCCCATTTAAATCAAAAGTAGTTTCGATTCTAGTAAGCGGTGAACAACTCAAAAATATTCTAGAAGAGGTCTTTTTATTTTCAATAATGTGGTGTATTAAATGATCAATGAACTTTTAAATGATAAAGATCTACATTACATTTCGATAATGTATTACAAGTCACGCAAAAAGACCTTTAAAATTATATAGTGGCATAATTGTAATTAAAATTAATATTATTATTAAAGCATCTAGCGATTCTTCCCGTGTCTCCCCGCTTTCCTCACTTTTCCTCTAATGTTGACTTTTCTTTTACTGACAAGCGCCCGCCTGGCGAACGATTGCAAGTTTTTACGGTTAACAATGAAGACGTTGTTGATAGGCGAAAGTAATTTTTATAATAATATTATTAATGATAAGAATAATAATAATGCAGCTATTCTCTGGGAGTCACTGTTTTTTCTCGCGGAAGGGGGTGACAAAATAACCGCTTATCACGGGGCTCGACGTTTAACAGAATACAATACGGTTTGCGAGTGCGTCATAGAGTTTTTTAAATCTAATCCCTTCACTTATCATAATTTACCTTGAATACCGCCAGCCAATCATACAATAAAAGTTCCTTATATTTTATTACTATATTCACCACGGATCCACATAACTGAGTTGCTTTCTTCTTCGACGGCTTTGACCAATGGAGTCTTTCTGGGTCTTTACCGAGTTATTTCTCGTTGATACAATTGGAGGGCCAGCCTCTTCTGTCTCCTCATCGTCGCCACCGGGGAAGACCCTGCAAGTTGTCGTTGATAGATTTTAATAGCAAACCGTACAAAATGAATCAACCATCTTCCAAGATTCTTATCATAATAACTTTCAAGGTTCTTACCTTGGTAAATCTAAAATAAAAAAATAACAATGATTGGTCGTAAACTAGCAATAACAACAGCCAATGTTAATATATTGACTTCAATTTGAGTTTTATATATATAAAGACCCTGCACTTATTATACGTACACTTATTAACTATATGTAGTAGTAGTATATTCTCACCTCTTTATAACCAAGCTTTCTTTTGATAAACTTAAATAGGCCATCGCTAAACATCGATTCGGACTCTTTATGGTCGCAATAGTTTTATAAATAACAGCTAAACCTTAAATATATGATAAAAACTTCGTTCATGCCGGTCCTCAGGCTTTTTAACTTCAGCAGAAATCGTGCGAGTTGGTTGTTCGGGAAGTGGAAAGTTGTCAGCCACTGGTTGTTTTTCCTCAAATGACACTTTTTCTAGACGTTCGTTGGCTAAAGTAACTTCTTCCTCTAAGTAAACGGTCCAATAAAAAGAAGAAATATTTGGAAAATAATGAACTTCATTACTCGTTTGAGTTTGTTCAGTAACAAAAGCTTGTAATTCTTCTTCATAGTAAGTAAAAAAGTCTATAAGGGATAAAGTTTTAGCAAGCGCGGAGGTTCTTTATAAAAAATAAGTGAGTACCATCATCATTTTCGTAATTCTCATTTATAAGCTCCTCAAGGCCAGCATCGAGTCGACTTATAAATAATATTGTATATAACAAACTAATATTAATGTATTTATAGAACTTTGAATCATGCGCAGGAGTAGCGCTTGTTGGTAAAGAGGCTTTAGTATTTGGATTGATGAGGGGAGTGGGTGACGTGGTTGAATAGGTGGGGTACGGCTCTGGTGTTGAAGAATATGCGTGGCTGAGCTCACTCAACTTGGCCAAATTACACATATCTGAGAAGCTCTTAAAAAGTAACAATTAAAAGTCACCTTTTTTATAGTAAAAAACAAGATTGTAAAATAAACCACAATAATATTAGAGAAACGAAACTACATGTTCTTGTAAAATAACGTTTTGATCAAAGCTTTCTTCAAGGTCAGCCACGGAAGAGGGGCTATACGATAATAATAATATGTAAACCTACCAGAAAACTTTTAATGCAGTGTCTTTTATACTTCATCTACTTATTTTATATATTTTTACTAGTTAGAAAACTTAAACATACTTTTTATAAAGCTTTGTTATCCAAACTCTTTTAAAAAAGATTAAGAATTTGTCTGCCCAAAGCGATGTGCAAATTTCTGGATAAGATAAAAATACTTTTTGAAGGTACTCGCAATACCTGAAAAACGTAATAAAAAAAAATAAAAGTATAGCATGGAAGGATAATAAATGCTTCAAGAACTTAATATTGTTCCAATAATTGTAAATAAACAGTGCCAATAGTTTTAATATAGAAACCAAGAAAAAAAAAACTGTACTATTCAGCTGCTCTCAATACTCTGTCAATTTAATAATTTAAAATAAGAAAGTAAAAATTCTCCGAATCTTTGTTACTCCCAAATTTGTTTACCCAAAAGTAGAAGTTGAAAAGTGCTTTATTTTTCTCATATAGCGCATCCCCTCCTATCGGATGACAGTCAGAGGGAGGTCGTTCTATTACCTCGACAAATCATACGGTTGCAGCGTACACTGCAAAACAATTCTGCCAATGAATTTGTGCAATCTGCCATTTGCCAGCAAATCAGCTTACTGTTTAGTAAACACAGTCTTTAAGAAAGTTTGCCTGTATTAACCGTTTGCTACTTAAAAAAGGAGGGACAGCCACCTTTTGGGGGGGGGGGAGAAGTAAGCCTTACTAAACAAGAAAACTGTATTTTCTCCATAGACTTTTCATTGGTGAAGGTCGATAGAAGCTCAACCCTCCCCCCTTCGCGTGTCCGCCTGCCAGCATCTTTAATCGGACCCCCTTTGGAGCACACTGCTGGTGCTGTCACCGAGCAAAGAAGGTAACGCATGATTACTGTAGTAGCAACCCCTTAGCAATGTGCACGTGTCTGGCAGAAGTGCGGATAACTTGGGCCTTTTTTTTGTAGTTTATATAAAAAATTTATTAACAAAGTCACCTTATAGCCAATGATAAGTTTCCTAGTTCAGCCAAGTGAATTGCATGCATGAACTTAAAGGGAAGCAAGTGAGGCATTAAAAAACTTGAATCCAACAAAGTATGCGCAAACTCCAAAATTTCGCTTTTCTATTAATAACCGGACAAAGTTTAATAATAGTAAAAAGCTTTTTTTTTAATTCGGCACAATAGAGCATATTAGAGTCTTATTATTATATTATTATTACTATAATTATTATTATTTTAAAACCTCAATAGCGGAAATATGGGGGTAAAAGAAGTTTTTATGATGAGTGCCTAAAAAAAATTAAAAGTAAAAAGGAAATAGATATTATTTGTTTGATATACAGCGAAGATTTCCTAATAACAAATACACTTGATTGCAACAATATAATAAGTAAAAATTAACAGAATCTTCACTTTTTTCAAAATTGCGAGATTATTATAAAAGTCACCCAACAAAGTCATGCGAGTTTTTTGGTGCAGCGGCTTCAGTGTATCCCCGCTAAGAAGATAACTTCATAACGCAAAAAGGTAATAGGATATGAAAAAGTTATAAACTTGTACTACCAAAAATGAGAAGCGTTAATAGATTCATTATAAAGCCGATCACCCAAAGTCATCAGAAAATATTTCAAACGGTCACTTCGATTGACCAAAAGAATAGCCACGTGCTGTTTCCAGTGGCGCAAACGGACCTCCGTTCGATCTATAGGTAAACAGGAGTTTTGAAGCAATAAAATTAGCAAATAAAATAAGCACGATAAGAGCGAGTGAACTACAATAACAATTTTATAATAAAATGCTAAAAAGGGTAGACTAACAGATGCTTGCATATTTAATTTGTCAGATTAGGCTACTCATAGCGGGCTTTAAAAAAAAATTAAATAATTTTTACCACACTTTCTCTGTCGTGATAATAAAATATTTTCAAAAAATAATAATAAATGGAAAATACTATTCTCATCAAACAGAGCGCCGGTCAACTGCATGTAAAACGTTGCAAGGGGGTGGCCCTCGTCCAAGAAGCCCCGCTAAAAATAAATAATTATTACCGATAAAAAACTTAGTAACAATAAAAACAAATATTAACTTTAACAAAGTAGTAAAGCACTTCGAGAAAAGAAGATGGGCCGTCTGAAAACGCTATGGCCAACGCGTGGTCCCAGCAGTTTCCTAGCAAATTGGCGCGTTTACATACAAAAAGGGCTTCCTTATGAACTTTATTTTCCTAGTACGGAAGGAAAACGGCACAAAGTCACCTTTCATTGCTTCGTGTACAGCCTCCTTTGTATTTCCGTACAGTAGATGCCGCGTTGTCTTATGAATCATAATAGGCTAATCAATAAAAATTAAAACCGCCAAATACTACCTCTTCAATAATTTCAAGAGAAGCTTGAGAAAAGCCTGGATTTCTTACTTTAGCAACAGTTGCCTCCTTTAACAATTCCAACACTTTTTCAAGTAAAGAATGATTCTGTACCCAATTTCTATAAAGTTATAAGTAACCACCTTACAATCTCATAACAAAAAGAGTACTCTCTAAGTAAAGCGCTATCGGTTTTAATCAATAAAAGCAGCAACTTCCACAATATCAAGGAATCCGCGTCCTCAAGCGTCTGTATCTAATTTACAATTAATTGTAATAAAAATCTCTTAATTACTAAAAATTATTACGAGCCTAATAAATTGCCTAAAAATTTAAAGTAAAAAATAATTCAAAAAAACTTTTAAATTTGTAAAATCTATTAGTTTTTCTTTGTGGCTTGGGAGCAGCGGACCAGGAAAATTAAACGAGCTTTCATCTTTAAGAACGGATGACATGTTTCTTATTATAATACTCGAGCTAGTAACACATATTTCTATATCAAAGCAAATGCAATGATTAAAAAAAGATGTAGTACTTTGTACAATCCCTTCCGAAATGAGTAATCAACTTTCCGCCAAAACCAAAATAGAGTATGGGAAGGGCTGGACGGCCGATTCTGAGACTGTAGACATCAATATTCAAAGTGAGCAGCAAAGAATACCAACCACAATGCAATATACTTAAAAGTTTCTTCTGATTTTAGTGATAATATAGAATCGCCGGACACGCGCGGCGGAGCAAACAGTAAAGAATGGCTTGGCTGAACAGGGGGGGTACCCGGCAGGCGGTGCAGGGCATAACCAAACGGCTGGCAGAGCGTTTGTACACCAGTTGTAGGGAATGCGTTATTAGTGGGATGAGGAAGGGAGCTGGTATAGCTCGGATGGTTTAGGCCGTTGTTAAAGTTTGAAGATTCTTTTACATCGTTGTGCACTACTGGAGTGGGAAGTATTAAGTTATCTTGAGGTTTATCTATATTAGCTTCGTTTTCTCTCGGTGAAAATATATCAATAAAGTTATCTGCTATAGTAAAGTTATCAAAAAATTCTACGTCAGACGCAGTGTTCTGTAGTGGGGAGGAGATTTGTTCAACATATGAAGTGGAGTTGGTAGCGTTATTCTGAGAGTTAAAGTTTGTTGTATTTAAATAAGAAACACAACTGTTAGCTTCTAAAAAGTTGCCATCGTTATTCCTATTCGCCTCACCTTTATTTGTACCAATAAAAAGTTCGTCGCTTGAAAAGTTATTAGATGGTGACGTAAAAAATTGCGAAGAAAGGGAAGAATAACTGGTTTGCGTGTTTATCGGTTTCGTTAATTCTAGGTCAATAGTTTCATTTTGACTATGAACTTTTAAAGGGGCTCGCTCAGTACCGAAATATGACTGATTTTTTCCCTTAGTTGACGCCTTAAAGTATATATATTTAAAAATTTACTTCTATTATTATTATTGTTAAAAATAAAATTAAAAGAAGAAGAAGAAGCAAATAGTTTAAATCAGTTTTCTAAGATATTAGTTGCAGAAGTAAAGTTTTGATTTATAATATTTATAATTACTTCAAGTGGATGAAAAATGGAAGAAAGTGAAGAAGGTTGCGGAGGACCAACAACGTTGCTCAAAGTGTTTGTAATATAATGGTCTTAAAACACATTGTTTAAAAAGGAAACGCATACCGTGAATCTTAAATTTGCTATATAACAAATAGAATAAAAACCTTTTTCAGAGTATTGCCTTCTCCGCATTAGCCTAAAGTTGCAAAAAATAAAATTTAAGGCCAGCTACAACAAAAAAGGAAATGCCTTCCCACCAAAGTTTTAAAAATATTGCAGCGTTCAAGAGTAGGTTTGAAGAACAAAATATTTACCTGAATACTTGAGATAGTCAAAACTTTTGCTAATAACCCTCAATTAAGCAGGTTTTGCTCACCTTCATGTTTAAAAACGGGACTCACGCTGTCACGAGGACCTTCGTTTTTTATGTACTATTCTACTTTCATTAAATACAGGCGAACTTCTCTGATCCAAGGACAGTTGGAGCTAACTCAAAATGGATAGATAATATTATAAAATAAAAAATAATATTTTTTATTTATTATACTGATAGATTTATAACTTTAAATCTATACTTTGTTGAACCTTTTTTACATCCTGCGCTTTACACTCCCAGCATCTAGATTATCACATGTCCGTAGCACCCGCAAACATCCCTTTTTATGTACATCATATTTTTTATATACCCAAGGTTTCTCATTTAAAATTAACGGAATCTACCGCTTCCAAAGGTAAATTCCTCATTAGATATATATAAATTATTATTAGTTCTTTTTGACTGTCGTGAGAGGAAAATTATTAATGAAGCAGAAGGCTAACTTCCCCTGTTCCTAGGACTTCCACGTTGCATACCAAACTTATTAACTCTCACTTGTTCTCTTGTAGTTTCCGCTGCGATTTGCTTTCTTGCATGATACTAGACGTCGTTATTTCGTTGTAAAGTTTTAATAAATTTCTTATCCCTTCCGACGGCAGTGCATAGAACAAATCCTTACTTAATCCTTTAAAAGTTGTGAGTTAAACGTCTGAAAAGACAATTAAGAAAAGAAAAAAATATAGCCATACTTTAAGTGTAACAAACGTCTGGGCCTTTTTTTATTACATACGAGGCTGTACAAGAAAAAGCTAAACCTGTTTAATATTTTCTTTTATCGAATTCAGAAGTTTATAATTGATTAAAAGTATAGCCTACTGTTACTCATAAGCTATACTATATAATATATACAGTCAGATAATCTTTAGATAGTTCCTTTTTATAAACTTTTTGTATAACTAGTACCACTTTGGGCTACATTATTATTTTTTATCTTTTGTGTAACCTTTCACAGCTCTCTAAACTTAAAAAACACTAAAACAATAGAAGTAAAAATTTTTATTTATTTTTGCTTTGTCAACAGAGACTTAATTCATTGCCAGGGGGTTAAGTTGTGTAGACTAGTGGTTTAAGTATTGACGCGTGAAGGCATCAGCTTGGGTTATGTTTGCTATTTTAGCTCAAACTTTCTAACTTATGATACGTTTTAGTACCAGTTTAGTTTTTGAAAGTGAATGTTAAATATAAAATTTTTATGAGCACTGCTGTTGCCCTTCAAAATTTTTACAGTGCTAATAAATTGTTAGTATGTTTTAAATATTCCTTAAATTGTTTTGGATTTTTTAAAAACGCAAGCTTGCAGTCACAAAGTAACCTGTAAAAAAGCATGCAATTTCGTTTATACCAGGGTGCATTTTTGTATAAAACTGTTTTTTTTTGGTAAACGGTAAAAATAAGTTTAAGTATGACTCAAAATGAAGTAAGATATCATTGGCCTCATAACAGCCCACTCTTTCCTTATTTTATGATTTAAGACTAAAGGTTAAATTGTTTACATTTTTTTCTTTTTATGGATGATAATAAGTCGGTATAATATTAGCTTATGAAGTAAATGCATTAGAATATATCCCCTGAACAAATACATACTCCTTGTGATAACAGTGCCAATACTGTCTTCTGCCCTACCTCAAGAAGCGCTATGTTGCAGGGAGTCTAGAACTATAATGGTAGCTAAAATTGAGCTAAGTTAGATCAAATATTAAACGATAGTTAGCTATCACTTACCATAATTTACATTCCGAAAAACATAGCATTTGAAGACTAAAAAAGTAAAGCTTTGCTACTTTAACTTAACGCTTATTAAAATTTTTTAAACAGCACACTGAAGACGCTTTATTAGTTGCTTTTTGACACTACTTTATTTTCAAAATTTTACCTTCGCTTTGGAATCGTTTAGCTTGTACAGACTGACTTTAGAATCCCTTTACTATATAATACATCTGTATTATAAAACAAATGGATAACAAATCTGGCTAAACTAAACTTTTGTTATTTCCTAGTCAGATGTTTGGGGTAACCCCTTATGTGGACTCAACCTTTTCAAACGGTCTTCAGTGGTGTCATGGTAGATTGTCTGAATTTTGTCTTGTAAATTTTGTTTTCTCGTTTTTTCACATCTTTTAAATAGTTCACGTTGCCAACTTTCGTACCACTGTTGTCCCAATAACATAAACTTGAACTTGTTAATGGTGCTTTAAATTATTGCTTGCCGCTCATAACGAATTTCGTGCATTTGCAATAATTTTTTAATGAATTAAAAACTGTAAAAACTATTTCTCAAAAACGATCGTAGTCTCTCTTTATAAATATTAAAGTAAGGTAAGTAAAGTATTATGCGCAACCATTATAATACACTTTTAAACAAGTGAAGGGGGTTCCTGTAATATTACCACTTATCAAATTCTGCTTTTGTCACAGTTCAGTTCCAAAGACGAAATATTTGAAATTTGCTGGTATAAGAAGTAGCGAACTTAGACCAACAATAGGAAAATAGGTGAAATTTATAAAGAGAGAAAGATCTGGTGTTGACGAGATTTATTACTTGTTCTAATAGCTATTCATACCCTTACAGAAGACGTTTAACCAATTTTGTATTTTAAATACACAATTCATGTATAAATACTTGTTATTAATTTGCTTTAAAAAGTTTATGTGCGTGCCATCGTTCCTTTTAAATTTATAAGATTAGTTTTATTATTAGCTAACTTTATTTGGATTTTTTTGCTGAACAAATATTTCATATAAACTCAGCACAATTAAAGAAACGAAGTACAAAAATACCGTTACATGCTCGCTAAGCACCACTAACTCAAGACTAGGTTAGGGTTAAGGTTTGGATTTCGGGTTAGACTGGTGCTTTTACTAAAAGTTAATTAATTAAATTTTAACGTTGGGTAGTTTTAATTTTTTATATGACTTTTTTTTACTTGAATTGCATGTAGATACAAACTTTAAATAATTCAATAGTGCTCAAGATTACTTTATTACTTTATTCTTTTAACCATCTTTTTCGCCGCCTCGGAGCTTTTCTTAGGTGTAAAGTTACTTTTAGCTTTTCTTTTTTTCTTTTCCATCTCGGCAAGATCGGATTCTTCCTTTTCAATAAGATTAAGTAGCTGCGAACAACGCTTCTTCAGCTCCTGTACGAGAATGCACGTGTTAAAGAGGCGTCCCTGACGGAAAGCTAAACTAAAATAACTTCAGCCGTTCGACTTTTGATGAACCAGTCGAAGCGAAACTGTGGGGCCTGCCGAACTTCCCGGAGAAGGCGCTCGTGCACGTCTTCGGTGTCGACGCCGAGCGTGTACAGCATGCACACCTGAACAGACAAGAGACAGCCACTGAAGGGGGGTACCCAGTTGTACTCAGTTCACCCGACGTACCAGAAATCGGTCCTCCTCTTCGGTGAAGTGCCGGCCTTTGTTGGTGCTGTAAGCTATCTTGAGTTGCTGAAACGGTTGTCGGTAGCGAGCCATCTTTCTTTTCAGCGCATTCACAGTCTCACCTTTTTTCTGCAACTGCAAGCCAAGTGTGCTCTCAATAGCACAGAAAACGGAATCGCCATCCAAACCTTAGCTTCCCCGCGTTCGATTGATGCTATATACTTCTCCCAGCCGCTGAGTTCTTTGTAGCGCCTCCAGAAGGTGTCGCTGTAGTCACGCACTTCCTTCAAAGTTTTGCCCTTTACAGCAAAAGTAAAGTTGGCGCGGCACAAGGATGGGGCGAACCTCAACCTCCAACTCAGCAGCGATGCTCTCGAGGTCTCGGCGGCCGTACTTCTCGCAGGCTTTACAGAAAGATGTGAAATCCCTGCGGCTCCAGTTGTTGTAGCCTAACTCCGAAGAATCTTACTGAAGGCGGCATACGGTCGGAAGTGGCAAGGTTACCCTGCTTGAGAAGTCGCTCCTTCTCATCCAACTCCTCCTCGGTGAGTTCCGTGCTGCTTTGGACTTTTTCCTGAAGCTTGAAAAAGTAAAGTTGAGTGGGAGACAAAAGCGTGTCTTACGCCACTTACTGCAGCGCGCTCGGCAGGGTCCTCCACATCGGCGTCCGAAACGACGTACTGGATGAGTTTCCAGTAGACATATTTTTCTTTATCCAGCAACTCATACAGACGAGGCGGATAGAACTAACAGGCTCCGTGCAAAGGTTGCGATTGAAAGCAGAAAAAGAAGAGACCTGATGGTCGTGTACGAATGGCTGCTTAGGCGGGCGCGGCTGTCTCGTCTTCCTCTCAGATGACAGCTTCAGTGTTTCCCTGCGGTGTTGTGGAGTGGTATACGGAGAGTCTCTGAATTGGCTTTGTTGCAGGTGCACCTGTAGTACTGGTCTACATCATAGCTGCCGGCTTTTACTGCCTCGCGCTTACCAATGTCAATGTAAAACCCTTTACAAGGCAAGTACTAGAGCAGAGACAGCAGTGCCAAAAAGTGCGCACCTGTTGAGGCGTCACGGCTCTTAGCCCTCCAATCCTCGCCCTCAAATTCGTACACGCTGCTGGGTTGAGTGTCCAATGAAAGCTGTGCGGAATAGTGGCAACAGGGAATGGCAACTGCGGGCTGCACGTACCCCTTTCAAGCGGTCGTAGCCGGCCTCTTTTAACTTTGCATTCAAGGCCAGAGTCTTTTCCTCGCCTGTATGGGTGAAAGGGCGACTCAAAGACTCTACACAGCCACGGGAACATGCCTCTTCTCAGAATTGCGTCGATGTCCTCTTCGGTGATTTCAGTATCCTTCGCGCTACAAATGAGGTGGCGGTAAGCGCAGAAGTGCAGTCGAGAATATAATCGGAGTACTTGAAAATACGTTCAGCGCCGTATCGAATCATATGCAAAACCTCGTCCTTTTCCAGGTTCTGCTTCTGTTGAGCCAGTCGGCCTTGCTGCAAAACAGGAGGCTCTGCTAGCGGTGTGTACCAGCTATGCGGGCCAAAAAAGTGTACCTGAATGACGAGGGCGTCCAGATGAAGTTTCATTTCGGCCCGTTCTACGATCCTTTCCTCTACGGTATTTTCCGTAATGAACCGAAAGACTTGAACCTGCTTCTTCTGGCCAATGCGGTGCGCCCTGTCCATCGCCTGAAGGTCCATCTGTAGCAAAGCATAACCACGTGACGGGAGGCCTCGCTGCGGAGGTAAGGAAGGAAGGTCCAACCTGTGGATTCCAGTCGCTGTCGTACAGAATGACGGTATCGGCGGTAGCAAGATTGATCCCTGACCAATAAGAAGTTGCATATAGAGGAGCCCATCCGCAAAGGTCAGCTGACCTAAGCCGCCAGCCCGTGTGCTAAGCAAGAAAATAAACTTCTCACTGCCCTCCTTATTGTAAGCGTCGATCATTTTTTGCCGGTCCTGCAAGGGCAGATAAGTCGCGTGGAGCAACATTAGACGGAAGAAATATGGCACCGCGTGGGTCGTTTGCCCGTCTAATCGACAGTACTTATAGCCCTTCCAATTGCAAAAATCCTCCAAGATGTCCAACATACGGGTCATCTGTGGGGGCGAGAAAAACTAAAGCAGGCCCACCACCACGACCACGAGGAAAGACCTGACTAAAGACTAAAACTCTAGAGCCACCCAGCTGCAACTTAGGGAGTAACTTTTCAAGGACGGTCATTTTTCCGCAGTTGGTCGTCAAGCCCTCGTTAGAATATGGGGGCCCTGACAAGAAGGAAGTTGAAGTGAGCAGGCAAGAAAGCGGAAAAACGGGCACCTGGCTCAGCGCCGTCAAAGAGATACGGATGGTTGCAGCATTTGCGAAGTTGCATAAGTATATTTAGAAGCCTTCAATTGTAAAGGAGAAGTGACTAATCAAGCTCTGAGAGCTTAAAAAAGAGTTAGACCGAAGCCGATCCGCTTTTCCTCCTTGAAGTACGTCCACATCCTTTTTCAGAATCTTCGTGTACCTGAAAAAGAAATCAGAAACAGCAGAGTTATAAGTGAAGAGGGAAAAGACAGACCATTCCCTTTGCATGGCTGACATGCGGACGTAAATGATGGTCTCTTTCTTGGGGGGCAAAGTTTTCTCGACGTCTGACTTCAAGCGTCTCAATAGAAACGGCTTGAGAATCTAAAATCGCAGCACTCTTAAGTATAATATGCACCATCAAGAAGAAAAGAGGAGACCGAATGCAATTTTGAAACAACTTCTTTCTGCTTGTCCTCGCCGGCATACATTGTGTCAAACCTGTGAGCAAAGATTAGGCCAAAAAAGAGAATCCTAGAAAAAAGATACCAAGAATCAAAGTCTTCTGAAGACGCAAAAAAGTCTGGAAGTAAAAAATTCAGCAAAGCCCAAAGTTCGTGTAGATTGTTCTACCATTGAAGATCGGCTGAGTGAGTTGAAGAAGTATAAGAAGCTCTCGCAGTAGACACCTGAAGAGGGGTCCCCGTAATGAGGAGCCTGTGTTTACTGGAAAATTCGCGAACCACAAGAGATAGTTTGGACTTTTCATTTTTCACTCTAAAAGTAAAAGTAAAAGCAATGAGCTCGAAAGCAGAGGCGATAAAGTCTCGACTGCCTGCCTGTGCGCCTCATCAATGACTAAATACTGCCAGTGAAATTTCTTCAGAAGAGACTTCTCTAGAAGAACCTTAAAGTAAAGTTTGGCACAACGGTGGGACGGGCAAAGCGTGCATGCCGACCAGTTCATACGAAGTAATAAGCACATCCCACGTGGTGGTCAGGAGAACTTCCTTAATATAAGCGATTCGTTCTTCTTTAGAGCCCGTAATAAAGACAGTTTGCAAGCTGGGACACCACCTTTGGAACTCGTTAAGCCAGTTGTGCAAAGTGGATTTAGGAACAATGACAAGATGAGGGCCTGTCATATATCCCGGATTACTAAACAATCCACTATGCACTAAGGCTAAGGCAGATACTTACCGCTATTGTTTTTGAAATGTTTTAGATAACCTAACAGGGAGATTGTTTGTAGAGTTTTACCCAAGCCCTTTTTACAAACGGGCAGTAAAAAATAGTCAGCAACTTATAAAAAAGATAACCATTTCGTCTGCTAGAATCCCATTAACGGCGTTCTCGTATAAGTTCACCTGTTACCATAAATACTATATATTCATCTACAAAATGGGGACAAAAAGTAAACTCACAAGCCAATTTAAGCCGCGTATTTGGTAATCTCTTAGAGCTCCCCCAGTGATAACTTTATGTATAATAACACTTGGCACATAATAGTAAACCGTTCATAACAATTTACAATGAGGAGATTCTGTTATCACTACAGAAGAAGTTAAAGATTTATCTTGAGCTGTATTTAATAGTTCCTCGTCTTCGTCCTTCTCAGAACGGCGATGTCGACTGCCTCCTATTAGTGTGCCCTTCACAGCTGTAAGTATTCCAATGAGTTATAAAAATAAAGTATTACCTTCTCTTTAGGTTCCGGTTTCCTCTCTGATAAATCAAAATTCTTTAAGTTATTAACAGTTTTTCCTATGTGCATAAGCATTAAAATGGATATAGCTACTCACACTATTAAAAAGCACAACAATTATTACCATCTTCAACGAAATGAGAAAAAATTTCTGAATGTCGAAGTAAATAATGAAAACGTTTTTTCTTTATATCAGCATCTTCCAATTTATTTTTACTTTGAGAAGAAACCTCAATTACTTTATTTGAAGTCGGATTGTGAAATTTCATTTATAGTTCATATAAGAAAGTACTTAACTCAGGACTGTACACAATAAACGAAAAAAATAGGATCTTTTATTATGATCGAAACAAGAATAGCCATTAAGTTAGTTTATCTACCAAAAAAAACTAACACAATTTAGAGCTCTCTTAACATAGGAATTAAGCCTCAAAATTTAGAAGTAGGTAGTTAGCAAGCACCAATGCACCCTCGATTGTGAATTTTACCCTTTCACACATTATAGTATCAAAAGTTGAACTCCTTCCCGCTTTATAACTTATTTCTTGCTGCCATTTTATGGCATAAAGTATTAGCGCCAAAATAGCTGCAGGATATAATATTTTTTTAAATAATAAAGCGCATAGGTCACTACAAATACACAAAGAATTTACTTCATTAAAAACCAACGAATTTATCTACTTGCACTGAGTTTTCATTTATTGTAATATAATACTATAAAAAGAATTCGGATAGCCAAAGTAAACAACTTTCGTTACATAAATAAATACTGTTAATTGAACGCGAACCCCTTTTCGGTAATTTTTTGCGGTTTTTCACCACGCTAGCCAGAATGACAAAAGTAACATCCCATATAATTCTACTAACTCTCAAGCTTTTAGTTAAACCCTCTTTTAAAAAGATAAACGTTTTTGAGCAAGCATGTTTGAAACCTCCTGAGTTAAGATATGGAATTTGAGCACTAAAAAGATTTTCAGGGTTGGGGGTAGTAGGTAGTGGGAATAAAAGGCTTTGAAGATAGCTTTAAGTATACGACTATCACTACTGGTTAACTTATAGTTTAAGAATTTTAACCTGGAGACAATAAAGGAAAAAAGGTTCCAGTGTGTTACAATGCTCTTGGTTCTTGCCAAGGCTTCTTAAATTGGGAGAAAAAGTTTTATCATTACCTTAGTGTGGGGATTAAAGAAACAGAAATGTCATTATATAATGCTATCGTTGCCAACTTTATGGCTACACGCGTGAAAGGAAAGACGAAGAGCAAGCGTCTCTCGAATGCTTCAACATTGAAAAGTCGCCCGGTATATATGTAAACGTGGTGAAGGTCACCAGAAAAACTACTAAGGTCCCCACCTGAAAAGATGCAAACATAGAAAAGATACTTTTTTTCGTTTCAGTAATCTATTGACACAAAACTGCTAGGGCTTAAAAAATTAATTAATATATATAATGAAGTACTGCAAATGAAAGTTAAAATACCTTAAATTTATATCATTTCTTTGTTCAACTATATAACCAGAGTTTAATGAAACCGTTAAAAAGCTAATATATTTATATTATTATAATATGAAACCTAAATAACCTAAAAGACTATTACTTCGGAAAGATGTATTTCGAAAGATGGTTGGTAAAAGGAAATGTTTTAATGGCCTATGTGAGATCTGAGGGTGAGCGCACTATTTTACGTATTGTACTGCGTTTTGTCCTAACAATAAAAAACTATAAATCATGATGGCAGGCGTGCTACATAAGATATAATATTGTAAAGAGGATGAGACTACTTAAAAACCCAAATTAGTAAATAAAGAAATTTAAACACAATAGTCATATAACTCCTGGATATAATCTTGCTAGTAACTCAGCCAAAAAAAATAATTTATAAATAATAAACTTAGCCGTTATTTCAAAAGAACATTATTCCGCCAATAATACTTTATTAAAAGGTAGCGAACGAATTTTAAACTCTAGTTAACTTAGTACAAAGTGAATTTTGAATAGTGTAATAAAGTCCAGAATTTACCTCGGAGATGACCTCTTGTAAGTTTACCTAGACAATGGATCGGGATACGATTAAGCCATGTCGCTTTAAAAGGTATCCAATATAAGATTCTCCTTTCCCAACAGCAAGTCAGGTGTGTAAGCTCATTGCTTCTAGTAGTTAACTAAATAAATAAGGACCCGCAATGGAAGCATATAGACAAGCAGGAAAGAGCTCATGTTCTAATTACTTAAACAAGTTGTTCTATAAATCACGCAGAGTCACTCATCAGGTGCAAGGCAAAGCTCTACTTCCTAAGCGAGGTCAGTTGAAAAACTAAAAGACATTTAATCTATTTGCTAACACAACTTTTAAGAACACAATCTCGCTGGAATGCAAAGAATAAGTTCCTTGTCACATGTCAGTCCCTTTTTAAATGTAGCCCCGGATAAACTACAAAAACGGTTTTTTTTACTTTTAATAAATGAAATGTATAAAAAATTTATATAATCCTGTCATTTATATTTGTAACCCTCTAAAAAAAAAATTTAACGTTCTGTCTAATTTTAATTACTAAGAAACATATACTTTTCATCATCATTAGCTTTCTAAAAATATCTAGCAGTTATGCCCCTGTGTTGACTAAGCTACTAATACTGGTGGTTATCACGGGTTCAATGATTACGTAACCACAGCTTTTGCAAACTTGCAAAAACACTTCAACTATTACGTGGTTTCATGGAAACGTTGCCCAGACCGAAAACGGCTCTTCCCGTTTCGAATCCTAATAACCCCATTGTGTTTTTAGATAGTATAGTTTTATTCAGCTATAAAGAAATTAATTTATTTAATTTTATTTTATATAGTAACCATCGGAGGGGTGGATGCTGGAAGAATTAAAATAGAACTTTTTTTTGATATCGTACCGAAAACTGCTGAAAATTTTAGGCAATTTTGCACTGGTGAATTTAAGTATCTCTTTATCTTAATTTATATATGTTCTATTATTTGTTGATTATTCAAGAATTTCTTAGTTTTTTGCCCTTCATGTTAAAATATTAGACTATTTTGTTGTACACAGGAAAAATGGAGTCCCACAGGGCTATTTAAATTCTCACTTTCATCGTGTTATTAAGTCTTTCATGATACAAGGAGGTGATTTTATAAAGGTATGATAAGTGCTTAACGTAATATTATATCTATTATATCATTCAATTTTTTATATTAAAAGGGAGATGGAAGTGGCATGACCAGCATTTACGGGAGTAGTTTCCCCGATGAAAATTTCGAAGTAAAGCATTCGGGACCCGGTTTCTTTAATTCCTGCATTTTTCCTTTATTTTTTTATATACTTTGCTTACTTATGGAGGCCTTGTTTCTATGGCAAATAGCGGTGAAAATACGAACGGATGCCAAGTAATTTTTTGCTTTGAAACTTTTGAACTTTTTTTAGCTGTTAGATACAGTTTTTTATAACCTGTGCTAAATGCGACTTTCTGGATGGAAAACACGTTGTTTTTGGGAAGGTGGTTGATGGTTTGTTAACTATGAGAAAAATAGAAAACGTTCCTGTAGGTGCGAAAAGTAAACCGAAACTTCCTATTATTATTACTCAATGCGGAGAGATGTAGTTTCTTTTTTTATTATTAAAATCTTTATTATATTTTTATTTGTGGTTTGCTTATTATTATTTTTTTAAAAAAGGGAAGATCTTTGTATTAACTATTGAGAATCTTGCTATATTACATTGAATAAAAGCTTACATTGGCCAAGCAACTCATTTTGTAAAATCTCACAGCTTGTTTACTACAAGCTTCGCGTACAATATATTAATGTCTGAGCCTCAAGAGAATATAAAACATCCTATCGGGTAGTTTTTGTAGGCTCTAGTAACCGTTTTGTCTCAAGTAAACATCCGTTGCGAGCTAGTTTCTTCGGTCATTTTATTCGATAGTACCTATTCTGTTGGTTTATTACGTCTGTTACTAGATTGAATACTATAAAAACAACCGTTCGTTTCGATGTTTTTTTTAAGATGGCCCTTCTGTACTAGCTCTTAAGGTGTAAAACATTTAAAGTGGGTTACTGACATCAGCTTTGTTTGCCCTTAAAACCCCAGAATTTCAAGTAATAAAAAGGGGACACTATGGGTGCCGATAAAATAGGAACTGTGATTAATGTCAGGCAAGCCATATATATATTAAAAAAAATACTTAATAAAAACTAAACAGAAAATGTTGTAAAAGAATCCCTGAGAAACTCAAGCTGGCTTTTTTTTTTAAGGACAAAGGCTAATTTATTAGCTACTGTTAAGGAACTTCTCTGAAGGCTGTGGAATTAAAGTTTCAGGACTTTAAAAAAAAAATGTCGCTTAATAAAGGAAAATAAAAGACGAAATGGGCCGATGGAATTTTTTTTTTATAACAATTAATGGATAAACCTTTCTACGCTCTCCAAATATTAAAAGAGCCTAGAAGAGAAAAAGTCATAGGGGAGAGCGAAAAATTGCTTTTGAGAATAAAAGCACTAAAAAAAATAACAACACTATTAATAATAGTTTGAATAATAATAATATTGTTAATACAGAAAACCAAGAAAGTAGGAGTAGTATTAGTTTAGTAATAATACTTTTGCAATAATTTTAATGGCTGTTAACACTGGAAGCTCTCTATTTAGTGATAGTTTCATAGATATAAATTAGCAAAGACACAGAATTGCGTTTGGGGAGCACGAGGGATAACCTTGACGTGGAGATGGAACAACCTCCCGGTGCCTAATTACCTCCGGTCGCCTTCCACGGCTGCATCTCCTCATAGGCGAAATAACTTTGTATCAGAGGTTTCTCTGCGAAAAGCAGAAGTGAAACCCATTTTATAAACTTCTAATAGCCCATGGCGTCAAAAACATTCCTAATTCCAGGGACCCACGTCAAAAGGTTGATGCAACACGGAAGCATTGATTTCTGTGTTAGCAAAACTCATCTTTCCCGCATTTTAATTAATCTCTGCAACTTTTTGAAGTACCCCTGGAACACCTTAATAGAGGCGGTGGAGGCGCACTTATAATGGTTAGACGAAACATTCAACAAAGTACGATATTTTTCCCAGCCCTGCAAAGCATTGAGGCGGTTGGTATTAATCTCTACTTGATCAGCCAGGGGCCTATCTCGGTAAATGGAGCTTACACTCCCCCTGCAGCCCACTTATTACCACAGATTTTAATGACCTTTTTTATAAATTGTTCTTCAGTTGTTGTATGTGGGGCCTTAACTGCCAGTAAATCGCTTGCAACAGCCGTGCCGGTAATCCAAAAGACCGAATCCTCCCACAGTACCCAACACCCAAGGTAAAAACGAATATATCAAATTACCCCGTTTTCATAAATATTCATATTTCAATGACAAGGGAAAATTAAGAACTCTCGAGGGACCATCTGCCAGTTCTGCTTTTGAATCGAAAAAATAAACCAGGACTTTTACAGACCGAGTTAATTATCCAATGCTTTTGGTATTTAACATCTTCCGCCTTACACGGGATGTTCGCCCTACTTGTTGTTACTGAACTGGAGGAGGCATAGTTAAGTAATATATCGGAAGATAGGGCTAACGGTGACCTTCCTTTCCGGAGGTTAACTAGGAATCACAAAATCGTGCACATTTATCATTTATTATGCGAGGCGGCTATTATATGAAGGAAAGTTACAAAGCCACACTTCCTGCTGATCTCCTTTCTACTCAGTATGTGCCACCTGCTTATTTAATGGCAGAAAAATTGCTTTTCGTAATGAAATTCACCGCTGATGCCGAGGGACAGCTTGAGCCAATCCATAATCGAAATCGAGACGAAAGGCATTTGAACCCGAAGGTATCACCATTATGAAATAAAGCAATTATAAATGGGGGTAGTGAGGTGTATGCGGCCTGAAAAACTCTACGGTGGCTCTCGGCACCCCCCATTGCCCTGGAAGATTCTAACGGTTGTGGTGCTCCCGGAGAGACCCCGTCCAGTATCCACGCCAATCAAGTACAGGTCTATCAGCCTTCTGTCAGCCGTTGACAAAGTAGGTGAGGTGGCAGAGTTCCAATTTAGATTTCGACAAGGACACTTCACGAGGCAACAGCTCCTGCGCTTGACAGAGTGGACGACCCTTGCGCCGTCTTTCTTGCTGTCGATAAGCGTACTACTACTTATGAAAACCTATTAAACTTGGCAAAAGTATTATATTCTACGTTAAAGTCTAAAGACGAGAACTTACTTTTTTTTAATTTAAAAAAATTTGGATTTTTAAAATAAATATTTATTATTATCTGAGTAACCATGGCAGCAACGTTCAAACAATATTTCTACGCCATTAATTTGATAAGTGATTAAAAAAAAGTAGAGAAAAACGTACCTTTATCTTTATTGCCATGAAAGTAAAGTTTTTATTCAACCTATAATAAAAATTAAGAACATAAACGAAATTTATACTGATAAAAATATTATAATCTGTTAGCAAACCCTCTTTACCTGCTACTCCTTGTTACCTTTGGACTAAACCTTAATTTATTGTCAGTGCTTTAGATGTTAGTAAAGTTTACAAAGACAATCACCTAACCCGTTTTAGTCGGTAGCACAAAGAAATTAGACTTTAAAAAAGTTACAAGAGATCAAACTTGCCATACTTGCTTTTAAGTTAAAAGCTTAATAGAAATCCGCTAATACCGTTAATGAACAAAAAATCAGTTTTTAAAAGTTGTGTTAAAAAACTATGAATGGAAGTGACGTTCTCAAGTTTCCAAAGTATCGATTACTATATAGGGGATTATATGTAAAAATAATAAGAATAATGAAAATAAGGGTGCGATATTAAGATTTAAAAAAAGAGTTTTTAAGTTGCAATAAACGGTTAAAAACCTACTTGTTACATTTAAGTTAATTTTTATCTTTTACCACAAACCTATTACAAGTGTTCACACTAGGCAAATATCACAAAAAAAAAGGGTTATACAGGATAATGCTACTTGTAAGCACATTTAATATTGAAGTTTTATACCAAATATGGCGTGATCTCGGCCACTCGCCCGAGCCCTCTTGGACCACGATTCATTGCTTTGCCTTATTTTGGCCCTGATGGCTTTGTTTGGGGGTGTACTACTTAAAATTACAAAAACTTTTTTTCAACGTTTCATTAGGTATTACATCATCTTTTTATATATTTTTTTATACTTTTTTTTTATCTTTATTACGTAAAAATTAACAAATGATTTCTTCTACTTCAGTGAAATTTTTATTATTATAGTTCCCTTATAATATTATTGTACTGGGTTATATAGCCCTTCTTATATAATCGAGGTAATGGAACATGCTACAGACAAACTGGACTCGAAATTTACTTTTGTAAGGGACAATGAGAATTTGGAACAATATTGTAAGAGTTTATTTTTCTCTTTAGTTCATGGCATTCAGAAGTCGAATGGAATTCCTACCGAACGAAATGGAGCCTTTTGTATAGAGCTTCACACTTTGTTATAATTCGTTTTAACAGTAACTTTTAATTATTTGAAAAATAAGATCGCAGCTTTAGTTTTTTTGATTTAAAACTCCACCGATTACAAGAAAAACTAGCGAATTTAATAGATGAACTTTTTCTTTTGGTTCCAAGCACCGAGAACGTACTTATAACCATACTTCTTATTTATAGTCTAACAATATATTTTTTTAATTTCATAATAAAAAAAGCTTTCCTTAAGCTGCCAAACTTTCTTCGACGAACAGTTTAATGTTGTGGTTGACTTTCTAGACCACTTACTTGAGCAAGTGGTGCCTGTTTTTTTTTTAATTTATTTAAATCTTACACGGGAAGGGTTTCTTACAAGTTATCTTTAACAGGATACAACTATCGACTTAAATATTAAAGGGATTAAAAACAATCCCTTAACTTGTTCAGGGAACCAACAAAGTTTTACTATGAAGGTTGACTTCTTGTATGCGCCCTAAATCTTCGTTTCGCAGTTTCATCCTCCACTTTTTCATAGACACATTTGAAGAAGCCAATTTCGCTTAATACAAAAAATATACCAAAGCCACAAATTTTCTTTCCGGGTAATTTACTAAATTACTTATAAAAATGTTTTTTTTTACTTTCGATTAATAAAGTTTAATTTATTTGCATCTAGAAAAAATAGACAATAGCAACAGCCCTTTCGTACCCAAACTCAAGAGGAAACTTAATGCGGCTTCTGAAGACTTTAGTTCATTCTCTCTCAATATTAAATAATATTTTTTTAATTTTTCTGCTTGATACGTAGCTCCTATCTTTGATGAGGAAACCAACTCGTACGCCTTTTTTTACTAAACTAGCTCATGTAATTTATCTATTTTCCTAAAAGTTATGCGCATCCGTACGAATTCGAGTTAACTACTTTTACGGTGTCTCAAAAGCAAATGCAGGAGGTTGTTCCACAGAAATTTCAAGATTTAAAAGGTTTAAAGCCATATTTATTAAATATTTATTTGTACTTGCACTGATGGTATTCTTTTACAAGGCAGTCCAATTTTTTACGTTGACACTCTCACAACGTTGCAAGAGTTGTGCACTTATTTACAGTCTGTTTCTGAAATTGCTGTGGACTTGGAGGAAAAAAGCTTTTACCCTTTTAAAGAACTCATCTTATAAAACACCGCTTTCTCTATAGGCCCATAAACAACGCTCGTTTTCGGGGTTTGTTTGCTTGATGCAGATCTCGACGAGGTGCCAGCTCCCTTTATCTTTTTTTTTTGTTGCTTTCACTTTCAGTGCTGCGGATTATATTTTTTTAAGGGAGCGCGATTTTCTAGTTGACACGCTCACGTTGAGGGCTCACATCCCTCTGCTTCTGGAAGTCTTTACTGATTCCAACATCGTAAAGGTTTAAGAGCATTACTCCCCTCTATTCCTCGAGGCCCAACTACTTAGCAGGTCTTCCACGGAGCCGATATGGACATTGTATGGCTCCAGCGAGACTTCGGTCTTTACGTGGTGAACATGTTCGACACCGGGCAGGCCGCCCGCGTTTTAGGTGGCGATGTATTGTAGCTTTGCCTTCCATTCCTTGCTTCCCCTCGTGTTGAAACGAGTAGGATATCCCCGCTATTCTCTGGCGTATCTTCTCAAGCATTTCTGCCAGGTCGATGCAGATAAGCAATACCAGTTAGCTGATTGGCGGGTCAGGTTGAACCTTTGCTGGTCGCGGGCTGGCTTCCTCCAACTAACCCGTTTGCAGGCCACTTCCAGAAGACATGAGGCGGTACGCCCGGGAGGTTCTCTCGTTATTCCGATCCACGCCTGCCTTGGTTTGTTCAGTTTCTGTAGGACACCCACTATCTGCTTTACATCTACGACTGTTTCAAAAATGAACTGCTTTTGAGGTCGAATGAGTCCGGCAACCTCCTCCGGGCTGTGTGGGAAAGAAGCACATCCATATGCTTGAAGAAGTACGAGAAGAGTGTGTGGCACGAGAAGAAGTATCAGGACTTGTATTTGAAGTACAATCGGCGCTATACAAAGCAGCAAGTCGCTTTATGGCAGTTGCACTGCAAAGGAATGGTTACTGTGTCAATGTTTTTAGATGAGCGTTTTTAAGGCCCTTTACGATTGGAGAGATCAAGTTTCACGGGAAGAGGATGAAAGCCCGAGGTTAGAGTACCGTCACTGCTGCCTGTAAACGCCATAACTATGCTCTTTAGCTATATCCTCCAAAACCACCTGCTCTTCCAAATAGCCGAGCATCTCCCTGACGATAAGGTGCACCTGCTAATATCCGATATTAAGTTTTTCTTACAAGCTTCACAGGCGAGTCTCCTACGGCTCTGTAGCCCCGTTCCTCTTCATGTTAAGACCCACGTCAACCAGCTGATTACTATTATATCCCGAGCCAGAAAGCATGTCGGGATGCCCACTTTCAGACTTTACGCAAATTATAAGCCATTCGTCTGAAACAGATTAATGAAGAACAATTGCGTCTGGTGTCGGAAGAGCCGTTACCCGCCGTTGGGCATTCTGCTAACAAGAGAGATCAATTTCTGCCCGGGATGGATCTCACAGACTCATTAAGCCCCTTTGGTTTTGGCGTTTTTTGCGATATACTAACTAAACAAACCCTGCCCCCTCCCCCTCCTTACGGCGGGCTAAAGGTGGGCGACTGGGGAGATGCCAACCAGTCTTTGAAAGTGGAGGAGAGGGCTCCAGGGTACTAGCTCTTTTCCATCCTCTCCCCGAGAAGGTCGGCTATTCCTACTATATAAAACCGCCTGCCCCACTGAGAGACAGTGTTATGCAGGCGCCATTCAAAGGTTCTGTCCTTGTTGATATACTGAAGGGTTTCCAAGACCCATACGTTGCTTATTCTGCTGTAATTCTACTTGCCTCTGGCTACAACAGAGCGTCGATTATTTATATTCAGGCCCTGGTGGACCGCTTGAGATACGAAGGAAAAGATGCAAACATTAAAAAAAATAACGACAGTGAAGTCGCTACTTTGATGGCAAACAATGGAGTTAAGGAAAGGCAGATGCAAGCAAAACTTGAGGGGGATAATTTAGAAACGAATATCATGGTAATGGTATGATTAATCAAAAACCTCCGTCTCTTAGTCTTCGCTGTGTAGTTAGCGGAGCAGGGAAACTATTTTACAAAAAAGAAGCAGAAGAGGCGAGCTCCTAGCGTAGAGCCATTTGATTATGCAAGGGCTGTGAGAATTAAAGGTTTAGTAATAATCTGCGTTTTCTGCGTGTGACTCAATCGCTTTAGTAGGAAATGCTCTATGTAAAGTCGATTCGGGCGCGTGTAATAAGAGAAAACCATTAATTAAGGCGAACTCAGTGAAGATGCTTAAGCATTTTCGTAAGACATCAAGCAAAGTTATCGATGTTAACGTCAGAGGGGACAAGAGGCAAAAAACTGGTGGCCATGAGACATGGCCCTCCCAATCGAAGCCTCAATAAAGCGTACTTTATTGCAGGAGGGAATGATAATTCCCAAACTTTCTAGCACAACTACTTTCTGAAAACAATAGTTTGGTCCTTCGAGCCGCTAGCAATGATGCCGTCATCCGAACAAACTACGCATAGCACATCATCGGAGTGTTCTACCAACCATACTATACTAACAACTTTACTATTCAATAAGATAAGAGAATCGTTAAAACCGTTCATTTGGTGAAGCGGCAAAGAAGAGCGCAAATCCCACACGTTAATTTTCCTGTCATAAGAGCCGCTAACAAATTGGTTGCACTTTGCAGGATCCCAGGAGACGCACGTCACCAGACTCGTATGTCCCGCAGGAAGCGTGAGTGCGATCACCGACCCTTTTATATGTGCATGAATGGCAGACTTTCCGATAAAAGCTGCGCTTGTACCCTGGGCGCGGGGGTCCCATACTCTCACCGTAGAATCAGAACTTGCAGTGGCAAACAGGCGGGAATCCGGAGAGGCTGCCAAGTCGTTCAGTGCAGTGGGTCCCACCTAATCACGGCGTTCAAAGGACAGCATATCCACTTAAAAAAACTGCAACAACCAGTATTTGAGTACTGGTGGCGGCTTCAACATCCCAAAGTCGTATGGAGTGGTCCCAGCTGCAGCTCGCAAAAGAAGACTCCTGCTTGCTTAGAAATGAGAGAATACTCTAAATATGACTTCTATAAAACTCGACATCCGTCCATAGGCAGCCGGTCACCGCCCCTGAGTGGCCTTCGTACAACGCTATGCTTTCCTGCGAGAGTCACGTTAAATCAATAGAACAATTTGGCAGTGCAAGAAGGACTCGCTCTGGACATGAAGAGGGGATCTTTGCGTGAGAGCGTTTGGCTGCATAGCTTTCGTACTTTTCTTCTTCAAAGGAAGAGTCCCACAACCGCAGAGACAAATCCCAACTGCTGGTGACTACCTGCGTGGCAGTGCTAAGTAAGTACTTCATAGTAAGTTAACACTTTGGGTAAACACGTGAGTTTTCCTAGGATTCACAGCGACGTCCTCCACGGATGCCACATGGCCACTCAAAATATACAACGGGCTAACGACTTGAGTCAGAGCGTCGTACTTTCGAAAATGAGTAGCTAGGAGGGAAGTTAGTCAGGCTTTAATAACAATACTTCAAAAATAGTTGCAAGCTGGTCCAACGAAGAAGTAATGCATATGTATTTATTTGCATCTAAAAGGAAACACTGTGAACACAGATTAAGCTCTAAAGTAAAAAGTATTACCTGAAGAAATTAACGCTACGGACTTAATGCAATTTGTATGGAATGAACTTTTATGCACTAAAACATTGGTATTTGTATCCCAAATCTCTACTGTGCTATCATACAAACCAGCAATGCATAGACTGTGGTAGTAAAAAAGAAAAATTTACAAGAAATAAATTAAAAAAAAAGAGAGTCAACTTTGAACTCAGAAATGCTATCGAAGAAACCCAATCACTAACGGATGCTTGAAATTTTGCTGACGGCGCTCGAAAAGCTTCGCAAAACTTAAGTGTAATAACCGTCTCCTATAAAAGAAACCCCAAGAGCCAAAATTTTAAATATTTTTGTACATAAAGGTATGAATTAAAAGTGGAAATAAGCGTACAGTAGAAAGACCATGCTCTTCTATTGCTGAGGCTAAAGTTGAATTAAGATATTTACCGTTCACAAAGATGTCAAAAGGGACAATAGGATCTTAAATAACAAATGAAATATATGTAAGTAAAAAAATATATAAAGAATAAATATAAAGCACCCAGTTCCAAAAGGTGATTAATGATCTCACTCAAGCCATATCTTTTTAACCCCAGGGGCACACTCACAGGTAGTTCGGTAACGGTATACTGCTTCTGTAAAGCATGAAAACTAACTCGTACTGTAGTAATATTATTTTTTAATTCAACCATGTATCATATTATTTACTAATCATGTATAAATAGGCTAAGATATACAAATATGCAGACTCACAAACTAAATGGCTATGTGGTTAATAACTCACGCCATGTTTTGTTTGGGCAAATCAGATACACGTGGAATTTATTAACAAAGCGGAAAACAGCCAACCCCTACTTTCACGCAGTTGTAGTTTCATATCAATTTATCATTAATCAATAGTGTAATATTATAAAAGATTGTCAATTTTCATACCATTTAACACAGAAACTATATAAGTTTTACTTGCTTATGATAAGGATTTCTGTTCCGACCTAGCATGCTTTATATAGATTTTACTTTTTGATTGAGTTCTCTACACTCTTCTACAAATGGTTTTAGTTCTACACTAAATTTGTTTAAACTTAATTAGCTTTACCTACGCTACAGTAGCCTTCTTAAAAAGTAGCTTTACAGTGAACCTTATATTTAAATTTTATAATTGGAAAAATTACTTTTTAACTTCAAAGATATAAAAAACTAAATTCTTTATGCTTATTTATAGTTGAATCTTTATAATTAACCCTTTTATTAAGTCATTACCTTCTAAAGAGGTAGCATGTGTAGTGCCTTCATGTTTTAACTTAGTAAGGAAATAAAGTTCAGGCGCCGCTTATTGTTTTTTATAATTTTTGTAAATTCAATAACCCGTTGTTAATGTTTAAAAGTTTTTTCTTTTTCTGTTTAGTATAAATTAATTTTTAATACTTTAAATGGGTCCTTCTCAGGGTTTATCATTTCATTTTATATTATTTCTAATGTTACTTTGTTCATATCAATTTGTTTTCTGCTATTTACACGAGGACTGTTAAAACCGCAGGTGAATACGTTAAGACCATTAGAACGGGATTGAGAGTTGTTTCCGTGGCCCAACGATTAAGAGCACTGATGTGCATATTCAAGGTTGTAAGTTTGCGGTTATTTTGATTTCTTGTTCCGAAGGTCCTTTTTTTCTCAATTAGAAAAGCTTGTCTCTTAGTTCAATTGTGTTATCTAATTAAGTTTAAGATCACAAAATAAATATGGTCGTCGCATATAATATATATTATTCATTTGTAAATATCGTTAGTTTTTTTTTAAAAGTAAAAGTCTACAGGTTGCACCTATTATTATTTCTGTTAAATGTATACTTTCACACTATTGTGTTCTCTTTTTAAAGGATTAACGATGAAAATTATTGATTTTTTTTTTTTTTAAAAAAAGAATATTTAACAAATAACCGCCGACATTTTAAGATGGAGTTTCTAGAGTGGTAGTAATATTCGTCGTCTAGTGGTAGATAAGAATCGGACTGAAATAAGCTGAAACAAGTTTGTTGATGCTCTCGGTAATCGCCTAAAGGATGACCCTGAGCACTGAGGAAGAAAATACGGTGCACTTACTGAAGGAAGAGGCAGATGCTGCTGGTCAATATCATTTGTTTGAATTTTGGGATAAACTTGATTTCGAAGAAAAGAATAAACTAATACAATCCATTTCCAAGTACAGACTTTTAGAAATTAAGGAGAAATTTAATAAGTATGGTTTACTTAGAAGTATAATATTTCCTCCTATACATTTATAACAAAGTAATTTTTTTTAAGAAACTAATTTTTAGTGCTCTGCAAAAAATGGATAATAATAAAATTCCTTACAAATTGGAACCCGTACCCAGTTTGAATACTCAAGTTGTTAAGAACACCTCAAAGGAAAAGCTACAAGAATGGCACTTATTAAATCTCTTTTTATTAAACTTTCTATATTTAATTCTCCTTCTATCCTATTTTAAAAAGGAGAGAGCGTGGTTTAAGGGCCATCACTGAAAGTAAGCTTGCGGTTGTTCTTTTAGCTGGAGGCCAAGGGATTTTTTTTACCGACTTATTATTGTCAACACCTTTTAACATACTTATATAATACAGGAACAAGGTTGGGATCTGATCTTCCTAAAGGTATGTTTGATATAGGACTTCCCAGTAAAAAGACTTTATTTCAGATTCAAGCAGAGAGAATTAAAAGAGTGCGTAAGTATTTGAGTTTTTACTATTTTTTTATATAGAGATTGAATGTACATCAACAGCTACTAAACTGTAATATTTAGATTCCTTTTTTCAACTTTATATTAGAATTTTTAAGCGGCGGCTTTCTTATCCCATTTTATATTATGACTTCCCCCAAAACTCACGAGGAAACTAAAAAATATTTTGAAAAAAATAACTTTTTTGACTTAAATCCCTCAAATGTCTACTTTTTCAGTCAACATACACTGCCTTGCTTTAGGTATGGCTTGAGCACTGCTTTAAAATTGCAAACACAGCTGTTTAGTTGTAAATTTATGTACAGTGTGTAGGTAACTCACTGCTTTATCTCGTGTGTGCCAGAAAAGCTAATAAGTTTGCTACCTGCTCTTGTTACTCACTGCAATAGCTTTCTTTTATAATTTTATTTAATATTCCTGAGAAATAAGTTGGTGTATAAACACAGTAGTAAAGATTCCCTTTTTTAAAAGCAAAAACTTGTAACGTTTACTTGGTTTCGTTGAGACCTTCGCTAATATGATGATATTAACACCGTTATAACAACATCAATAGTTTTGAGGGAAAAATCTTATTGGAAAGTCGAACGAGCATAGCCGAGGCTCCTGACGGAAACGGCGGCCTTTTTAAAGCTCTTGGTGCTCTCTTATGCAAAAGATTCAACTAGCTGTTGAGTTTTAGTAGTAAAGCCAGAGACTTCTGGCTAAAGATTATATCTATCCCTTCAAACTTTAACCGACGCGTGTTTACTATTTTTATAGAAACTTCCGGAGCGTTGGACGATATGAAAAAAAGAGGCATTTGTTATCTTCACGTTTATTGCGTAGATAACGTGTTGGTGCGTGTAGCTGATCCGTGCTTTTTAGGTAGTAGCGTAAAGGGCTTACGCTTTTTCCTACTATTATAGTGCTTTTCCTTATAAATTTTTAAGGCTACTCCATATCCTCTCGCGTCAGTTGCGCGGTTAAAGTTGTCACAAAATCTTCTCCTCTGGGTAAGTTAAACTTCAACAATATTAAAACAATGTACACAAATTTTTTTATTAAAAATATTTTTTACACTTGAAAATAATTAAAGAGTTCATCTGAAACTTAGTACGTAAATGTTACAAAACTTTTATAAACTTTGAATTTTTATCATTGCTATCACTTTTCTTATAAGAAAAAATTGGTGTAATTTGCAAAATAAACGGAAAATTTGGTGCCGTGGAGTACAGTGAGATTCAAGAAGGAGACGCTTACGCTCGCGACCCTGAGGGTGCGCTTGTTTATATAAGACTACAAGTAGTGATTACGCACTGCTCTCGTCTTTACAGGAGAACTGTTGTACAATGCAGGCAACATCTGCAACCACTATTTTACGTTGCAGTTTGTGGAACGGATGGTGCGGGAGTGCGAGCTTCCTCTACACGTAGCAAGAAAGTCCATTCCTCACGTTGATAGTCACGGCGATGTTCTTCTCCCTAAAGAACCCAACGGCCTCAAACTAGAGATGTTCATATTTGATGCTTTGGAATTTTCAGACGACCTGGCAGTTTATTTAGTTGAGAGGTCAGAGGAGGTTAGAATAGTTTCTATAAATCTTCTTTAGAAAATTGCTATTAATGTTATCAGTTTTCACCGTTAAAAAATGCAAGCGGTAGTGCGGAGTCGACTCCGGAACACTGCAGGAAAGATTACTTGTCTCTATGCGAAAGGTAATAAGCGTCAAACTTCTTGTCGAGTTAACGCTAGTCGCTTGGTTTATAATCTCGAAAGATATCTTACTCGAGCGGGTGCTAAAGTAGACAAGGCCCAGAGTGACGAGTGCGAGGTGTCCCCCCTGACTTCCTACGCTGGCGAAAATCTGGAAGGCTACAATAATAAGAGGCTTGTTTGCCCCTTTGTAATATAAAGAGTCTTTAGCTTTTCTATAATTTTCTTAACGCTGCTGCCTAAGGGTAAGAGGATTACAGTCTTGCGTAATTGAGTTTGTGCTTTTTATGGTAAATTATAACACACTGTACTCAAGCACCGTTTTTTAGATTATACCAAAATATCGCGACCTTGTTTTCTACAGGATAGATTTATATATATTAAATTTTCTTTAAAAATTGGTTGTTTACTTGAAAAACTATATACAAGGTACAATATTATTGTGCGTAGGTAGTATAAACACTAAGGCGGAATCATAACATTTTAGCATGGAGAGTAATACACTACAGCACATAAGCATACCTGGATTTATGTGCCGCCCATTATATTGGAATTTATTGGGGCCCGATTACATACGCAACCATCAATGACCTGAAAAGAGAATCGAGTCGGCAGGAATCCAACCCACGACTTCTGGTATGCGGTCAATAGTTTTAACTGCTGGGCTACAACGGCAGCTCTTGATCTCGGTTTGAAGGTTTACGTATTTAATCCTTATCTGGTTAAGGTGAGTCTGTTGGACCCTTGTCAATACATTAAAAACCATATTATTCAAAACTTAATATTTAAACTTTATGGATTTGTAAATGATAGTTGACGGACAAAGTATCAAGCTGTATAATTAAATTTTTTAAAAAAATATATTTATGTATTGGGAAGAATCCAACCGACTCACGTTGATCAAATAAAGATTAAGCTCTTAGAGCTTATAGTAAGAGTTGAGCGCTTTGTGCAAGGCCAGGGCAAAGGGTCTAGGAAGCTATGTTTGTAGTCAGGCGCTTTTTCAACTTTAAAAGAACGGCTTCCATCGCCTTCTGCTGAAGGTGTGGTCCGCCCTGAAGCCTCTATAAGTGTCCTTGCCAAAAAACTGAAACTAATAGGGGGTGTGAACCTCGACGACTACTCTTTGTGGTACGATTAAACAACTACGCCATTTTGCTAGCAACCAGCAAGAGGCTGAAGAACCTGTTAACCCTTTAACAGGCAAAACTCCGGGGTTTAAAATAAATTTTTTTTCTGCGAAATCACTTCCTATGTGGAAACTATACTTTAAAGTCCAATATATTTTTTTAAAATTTGATTCTATATATCCCAACTAATATTTCAAAATAAAACAGTTAAGAAAAATGTTTACTTACCTATCTAACCACAAATAAACTTCTTACATCTAGAATGAACACTTTTTTGTCCAACAAAAAGATCGCGCAACACATGCTTAACTTAACGTTTACTGGTAACTAAGTGTACCACTTTTCTTGTTTTTTTTACTGCCTAATCCGTTAAACTATGGTACCCAAACTTACTAGAGATTGTTATAGAGACCGAGGCTGTCTTTTAGGGTCAGTTTCCATGGTCCTACTCTTGCAAGTTGAACTTAGGTGGCAAGTGGTAAGCAAAGTAATCATTAATCTACAAGGGGTTAAAATCTGTTAAGAATTTTTATTTGCCCCACCTCGGGGGCCTCAATTAAAAAAAAAATTCTCCAAGTGCAAAAGAAAAGGTGCTCTTAGGTGAACCCCCATTTGGGCAGGTTAATCCGTTAAAAAGGGTACAAAGGTTCGACTTTTCCACAGCGCCGACAAAACGCTTTTATTTCTTCTAATTGTTTGGCCTATAGGGCTTGATAAGCGAAGTTAACTTTAATAGCCAAAACAAAGATTAAATCAACTACCACGTGTCGTTGGTTTCAACGCTGCATACACCCCAATACTTAAGCTAGAGCATAAATGAGTGCAAAGTAACTTAACTTTAAATTTCTTATTTTTGGCCATCGCAAATGCAATTGTAAGAACTTCCTTGAATGGACAGTATTTTTCCCTTAACTATTTTTCAGCTTTTCTAAAGAAAAGTTAGTAATTTCGGGTAAGGTTATATAGTTCCTAGTCAAGATCATGCCATTTGAATAACAGGGTGTAATAAGACAGATCGCCTTGCCAGCTAATGGTTGTCACTATCTTCTAATAAGATAAAATTAATTTTTTTTTAAGATTATCATCATGTATAATTTTTTTCTATGTTCTCGACATTTTTCTACGCGACGTGCCTCAGCCGAACGACCCTTACACGCGAATTGCCTTATATACGGATAACTTGGCGATTTACTTCTCGACAAAGTCACCTGCCCTATAGTTGTTAATGCGGTTAACAAAAATATTTACCAGAAAATTATGTATAATGACTTTTCTCAAGTGTTTACTTGGAGCCCATTTTAAAGAAAGAGATTTACTGGGCGCCGCTCAGCCAATTGGAAGGTTTAAAGCTTACTAGCGAGCAGTAATGTTATGGTTATCGTGGTGTCGCTTTTAGTTAGTTTATATGCGCGTAAACAACTTCACTCGCCCAAGATGTTCTTAAGTCCGGGTGTAAAACAGTTCAATAAACTAGTTTCCCTCTCTCTTATATAACACCTTAGTCACAGACAGTTTAACTTTAAGATTAAGCGCGGAGGGGGCTAGAAGTAACACCAGTCAACACAATTATTTTATATTAGGGTACCATTTGGTAAAATGAAAAATATAAGTTGTCGAGAATAAAGGCTTTAGTAATCGACTACAACTTGTTATAAGTAGGATTTTATAAAAAAAAAAAATTTAATTTCATTTGCCTGAAACAAAGTTAAACACTGCATAAAGATCTGCTAGGATATATCTTCAATAAAGTGTAATTTAGTTTAACAGAGTTTCAGATCTGCTAGAATATATTTTGAATAAAGTGTAACATAGTTTAATAGAGTTTTGCTTAGCTAACAATTTAGATAATTTACTATTTGACTTGGTAATTTTTGTAGGATCACAACTACTGAAAATGTAAAGTAGAAACAGAGAAGTTAGACGTCTTGCGAATACCAGTTTTTGATACAAATAAAACCTTTATTTTGCAGTAAAAAGATGTAAAGTGGAGGGGTGAAAAGTTTTACTAGAAATTTATATATAAACATTAATATTTGTGGTATTTAACTAAGTTAGTAATATAAAAATCACACTGGTGACGTCATACTACTAACCTTGCGAGGATTAGATTAGGCTATGCTCTAGTATAAAATTTGATATTATTCTTTTAATATAGAGTTCTTGTGTAGAATTATTATCTTAATAGAATATTAGTAGGGTTACTTAGCGTCAAATTTTTCTCTAAATGAAGAAAATAATACTCAGTACTCTCGTATATTTTACTATGGTAGGCTCGAGGGGAAACTAGAGTGTGCTTTAATAATAAATTCCTAAGTAAACCTACAAAAATAAATAAATTTTGTTTATTTGGTATAATAGCTATTAGTAGAAGCTAGTTTGATTCTAGTGCCCTCAAGAGAAGATCTTATTTAAGATAAAGACTACACAACTTTTTAACTAAAGTACAATTTTTAATAGAGCAGTACATTGACTACTAACTGCTAGGAGCTATTTACTATTGTTTAGGTTACTAAACTTTAACTGGTTCCCTACCTTGTTATAATACTGGCAGTTTAAAATTGTCGAGATCAGATCAATCAACTTGGAGAGGTAAATGCGATGATCCAACCTAGAAAATTGGATTTTAAGGAAAGTGCTTTCAGAAGACACCAAATCTAAGTTTAACGTAATTGTAGTAATAAATATTAAAAAGCAGCTTCAATTGTGATGTAAATATGGGAAAATCTCTTCAAGTGGCCAACGATAGGAAAACTTTGATAAGTAACTGAAACTGGTAAAGAAGCAATTTCATTTAAATACGCAATAACTAAAGATGCTCTCAAACCAGTTACCCAAACTAATAACTTATGTTAAGTAATAATGGTTTCTTACTAATATACCTTCATATTAGTAATGGTTTAATTAAGACAAAGAGGTGATAGTAAATCTGAAATAAGTATTTAAATTAAAAATTAGTAAGGTGTTCTATTTAAAAGGTTTTTCAGCACTTAATAAATAATTGGCTTGATTATATAATAATTATGTAATTTAATGATAGATATTTCCAATGTTAACAGGATACACAACGCTAAAAAATCTTATTAACTAATTATCACTATTGGTGACTATAGCTAGAAATACTTTATTGGTTTTTAGGTGTCACTTATTAGATTTTTATCCTACATTACCTACTAAAAATTATTAAATATAGAAGTAACTAAGTGTTAGCAAAGTGGGGGCCCTTTTAGGTTTAATTCTAGTGTATTTTAAGAAGGAAGAGCAGTAATACAACAACTAGACCATGAGACTGCTGATAAAGACTTCGATGATATGTATGTAATGAAATTCATTCATTAGTGGTTATTTTTTAACTCGATTATTTGGGTGAATGATTTAACAAAAGAATTTTTTGGTACAAAGTATATAACCCTTCCGTTAGAATCTCGACACCCCTCTAGGTAAAAGATCTTTAATAAGGTAAGGTATAAGCATGTATAAAGAACAACAGCCGTTCTTATGGTGTATACAAGTTAGCAGCACTATTTCCATACCATCATTTGACAATAACGCAACAGAACACTAGCGTATTACTAGCAAATAATACTAATGGTTCATCAGCGACCGTAAAACAGAATTTTAGGTCTAAATCAGAGAAATAGATACAACTCTTAAACTAGAAACACACTTTGTCGGCACTACAGCCAGAACTGAGTGTATGTAAGTAAATTGCAAACAAATAGTACTATTTAATACCACTGATCCTAGGGCAGACAGATGACACTAGTTTCATACGCGACTAGTTACCTAAGTCACTGTTTCACCTAGAACTTAGCATGAGGGCCCCACAAAGTCTGCAAGCCCTGTTTGAACCTAAGATGCCATCGTTAAGGCTAAAGGCCAAGCAATGCTGCTGGTATATCAACAATAGTGGTAGCAAACCAGGGTTCAGACAGTTATTTCTTCGTCGAATCGATTGTATGAACATTACTTAGTAAAATAAATAAGGGAAGTCGATTTTTTAACCTTAAAGGTAATCTAGACTTTGTAAAAGTTCTACGGCCAATTTCAGATTTCACCATTTCTGAGAGTAGTTATCCCGAACCGAGCGTACTAATTGTCACAAATATCATTCTCTGTGGTGGTTCCTGGCGTCCCCTGAGCTAAGTCACTAAAGTATGGCGATCATAATTGCAGTTCTAAGGTACCACTTTCACGCGGTCCAAAGTTTAAAAAAATTACTAGCACGAAAAATATAATTTAAAAAAATTGATACCCTGAGTCCTAAAACTAAAGTGGGTTAATAAACCACTCTTCCTCTTATAACGGATTAATCGCACTTATTCTGGGAGGTGAGCCGCGTTATTTCGAAGTAATTAACACTGCGATGCTGCAAACCTCCTTTTATTAAAAAATACCCTTATGGCTAACATCAACACCTCTTACAACGCGAAATCAGGCTGTGAAACTTTACTGTATTATAGCTATTGTTTTTTAACTATTAGCTCAAGCCTTTTCGAACCACTTCAAAAAGGGTGCCTAGAAGGAAGCTACAAAAACTGTGTAATGAAGAAACAACCCAAGAATACCGCTGATTAGAGATACCCTATAACAAAAGATAATACGTATTACATCAACCAGAAGTGCGAGTTATAACCGTAGCTCAGTGGCTATAGCATTAACGCGCAAGATCAATATATGAGTTCAGTTCCCGGTGCAGCTCTAACTTTCTGGTCTTAGCACTTATGTTTACCGTTTCCCCGAAAACAAATTTTGATACACTACGCCCCTTTGACTGACAGGTTAAGTACAATGCTCTAACACCCCTTAAGGATGCTTGGAGTTAATCCATAGAAGTGTTCAATGCATAAGAAGCGACCCAAGAAAACCGCTAGGTAGAGGTACATTACGTCCGGATGGCTGATACAGCCTTAATACTGTACCTTTTTAGCAGGCAGAGAAGTCAGCTGCAGGCGAGCATAGAGGTCTTGTAGAGGTTCCCACTAATAATCTAGGGCATAGGTTCATTCGGGGACATAAAGGCGAGAGACCTAACGAAAGAGTATACCACTGCTACTCTACACTAATTTCCACTAAAGATAGTCATAATCAACTTAGTAAGAACTATATGGACAAGGCTCAACTTTATGTTAAACACAAAAAATGTGTCAGTACGGTGAGATGACCGTTGAGTACGGCTCCCTTTATACTACTTTTATAAAGTTCTTAATAAATTTCCAGTTAATTTTTTTTAGTACTGTTTACTATTAAGCTTTATATGAAGTTCTTTCTTTTATAGACCTTAGTAAGAGGGACGCCAGTTTTAGAATTGATTGGTAGATATAACCAATGTACTTAATTATAATCCAATCCCGAACACTAATTAACTGCTTTAATAGTCTACTGGTGTTAGCTCTCTAACACTTTTATAGTGTTATTTCCTCAGTGTTTTTTATAATTCGCTAAAGTTCTATAGAAAGCTATCAAAATCAGGCATATTCGGTTCTTATTCTCGATGAGACCGATTTAAGTTTCAAAAAAAATTCTTTTAGTACTTTTCTTTAGAATCTGGTACTTTTTACTTGTGGTTTGATGTTTCTATCATTAAGTTAACTCACCATCTTAAACGAATTTTTAATATGTTAGATAAATTTATTTTTCGGTATACTTACTAATTACCCATCTGGCGTAAAATTATAAAATTGTATACTTTTTTTATATTTATTCAGCATTTCTTCACCTTAAATATATGTAGGGGATTCCCGCGTGCGTTTTTGTACTCTAGAGCGAGTTTCTTTATGTAAGAAATTTAATGAATTATACTCTAAAGCTGATATAATGAATGAATTATTTTTAACCATCATAATTTCAAGGTGACCTTGTCCCTAGCTTACAAGTGCCTCTTTGAATAAATTAAGGCCCTGATTCTAGTTCTCTTTAACACAAAGACCGTAGCTCTAGTCACCAAAAAGCACTGGTCTAGCAGTTGAAGAGGAATTATGATCATATTACTTCGCTATAGCTGTCCAATTTCAACCCTCTCATTCATTCTACCAAGGTTTATTTTCATTAGTAAAGGATAAAGTTATTATATCACTCTGTTAGAAGTAAGTTACTAACTTATTTCAAGATCGTCTTCCAATTTCTTACTCTGATTCCATGAGACTAAAATATATTATTTCGTAGGATTTACCCTATAAAAGCAACAAAACTACAACTTAACTACAGTATAGAGAAATATTATTGTGACTAATTTTAGTAGCTTGAGCTAATCAACTCCAACATCTTTATAAGTAACTGTAAGTCCCGGCTCCATCCCTCCTAGGTTACGCTTCTCGTAGCACACAGATTAGTTCACGTAATAAGTTAGTCATTTTGATCAAACTTTCACAAGCATGAACACCGTTTACAGGCTCGAGGAAAAACCCAGTGGTGTTCAAATTCTTCATGGTCTGGGGTCCCCTTTCCTGCGGGTTCAATTCTGATCTATTTGTTTTCGTATGATCTGTACAATACTGTTCCAGTCGAGCTGTTGTTCTTTCCTCTGTTTTTTCTCTATTCTGCTGTCTTCTTGTTCTTCTATACTTGTACTGTTTCTTTAACTTACTTATTTCTCAAATATTATTCTTATACACTACACCCAGCCTTCTTCCTAGAAGTGACGTTACCTTTGGTGCGTCACAGCAAGTACTGCAGGGAGTACAATGGTTTAGGGCTAATTTAGTAACAGCAAGCGTTACTATCGGTACCAAGTTAAAAAAACTAGGTATAAACTGGGAATTTCTTGACCTCTTTTTAATTAGCCTATTAGTAAAAGCCATGTAGTCTTCAGACCAATTTTCGTACCTAATAAACTGCTGTAAAAGAAGTTAGATCATAACACTGAACTTTAGAATATGATCTCAATTTAGATCTAACTCAGATATATATATATATAAAATGTTCCTTTTTTTTTGTTTTAGGTACATACTTAAAAATAAGTCACCCATTTAAGCACACTCTTTTGCCTATTACTTAGGTAAAGCACAAATATGAGATTTACTCGTAAAGTGCTAGTGTTATTACATTAATTTTTAAATTGATACCCCAAGTCATAAAGTACTTATATATAGATCACTATTTGTTTAGTTAATGTTGTAGTAATGTTTATATAAATGTTATAGGCCTTATATTTCTAAAGCACCTAGTTTTATGTAGAAGTATACTTATATGGGTTAGTCACCTTGCTAGGTTTTTAAGTAGACCATCAAGTTGCTGTGGCACCTATTGCAATAAAGTTAATATAAGAAGGGGTAACAGCTTAATTATAGGTTCACTCATAACCACAAGAATATATGGATTCGTTATTGGTGGGTATTAAAAGAATATAATAATTCGTTAACCAAAATAGGCAATTAGTGCTGGGGTATTAAAAGAATATAATAATTTGTTAACCAAAATAGGCAATAGGCATTTATTCCTCGCACATTTCTACAAATAAGTCCATTCCTGTTAATGGAGTTCAAGTAGGTAGTAAGTGTTAGTTGGGAACGATGGACTCTAGTGGTGTTAAATCAAAGATTTCTTTAAGTTTTAAGTGCAGTAAACTTTTAGACCTTGATGTTGTATCTAAGAGCGATCCCCAGGTTTTTGTTGAGTTAAAAAATGGAGAAAGCAATTTTCAGTTAATAGGCAAAACGGAGATAGTAAAGTCTTACCTTTATTCGCTCTCTTTTTTTTTAATTTCTTTTAATTGCTAGGCGCATTTTTAGTAGTGTATATATCTTTTAATTTTTTTTATTTTCATTCATTACATATCCCCTCTAATCATATTACAAAAGAAACAACCTCAATCCTCAATTTACTAAAACTGTTGAAATTCCCTTTAATTTTGAATGCTATCAAGTTCTTAAGTGCTCTGTCTATGATATAGACGAAAAAAAGAAAGAGTTTATCGGTAGCGTAACTTGTACGATTGGTGAGCTGTACCGGTAACGCTTATGTTAACTTTTCTGCAAGTTCATCGTTCGCTGCATCTCTAAGCTAATAAATTTTAACTTTAGGTCCCCAAACTCAACTCTAAAGAAGACACTTTTGTAAGTAAAAGGATATAACCTGCAGTAGAATGTTTATTTTAGTATATATGTGTTAATTGAAAAAAAGATGCTTGTTGAATAAGTTTTCCTCAAGAAAAATTAGTACTTGTTTGCCTTACCCCCTTTTCTGTGAAATAAACTTTGCAAGGATTGATGAGATCTTTTTTACGATTGTTGCTAAGAAACATAGATTGATTTTAAAGTAATAAAGATTAAGACTTTTCTAGTTTTTCTATTTGGCTCGGTCCATGCTTACTTTTAATAGTTGTTAATGTTAGTAGGGTCTACTCTATAATTATATTTCGAAATTAACAATGTGCTGGTGGTTTTTTTACTTAACAATTTGTCGTTTTTTATAGGAATAACGCTTTAAAGGGTTATGATTGCGGAAAGATTGAGATTAGGGCCGAGGAACTAGCCAACAACAACGATGAGCTAATCCTGAACTGTTCAGCAGTAATAATTTATTTGCAGTCCCTTTATTCGAGTTACTTCAATAAAGTAAACTTGTTATAAGAGTCAGCTGGATAAGAAGGATCTTTTTGGTAAGTCGGACGGCTTTCTTGTCTTTTATAAAGAAAACAAAGATGGATCGTGGACGGCTGTGCATAAAGTTTGTTATGCTTTAATAAGGTCAAGATTGTTACACACTAGCTATTGTAATAGACGGAAGTCGTCATGAATACGTTAAACCCAGTTTGGCGGCAACAAGTTATCCCCGTTCGTGTTTTGTGTAACGGAGATTTCCTGAGGTCTTTCGGTGTTTATTTTCACCAGGAAAAAACTAAAAAATTACTATAAGAAAAATAAAAGTAACTTGTTTTGACTGGAATAAGAGCGGCGTCGAGGATTTCATCGGGTCTTTTGAGGTGGTTATGTTTTTGGACAGTTGCTATTATATTGAGAGCGTGTGTGGCTCTTTAGACGAGTCTCTCCGAGCTGTTGAGAAGGCGCAACTTTACACTTATAAATAAGAAGAAAGCCAAAAAGAGTCACTATAAGCACTCTGGCTCTGTTGACATAGAAGGGAAGCTCATCAAAGGCCATACGTACGTTACCCCTCCACTTGAGCTCTCGGCGACTGTCACTCCGTTTCGCACACTCTCAGCTATCTGGACTACATTCGCGGGGGGATGGAAGTTAATCTCAACGTCGCCGTGGACTTCACTTCATCCAATGGGTGCTCCCTCCTACACTCCCCTGTATGCGCATGTTTGCTAACCACACTCTCGTAAGACCATTCAACGATCCTAAAAGTTTGCACTTTCTAGGCCACAACGGCAGCTTAAATCCGTACCAGGTCACAGTTGTTGCTTGCTGTTTTTTAAGTCAAACCGAATATGATCATCCATAGGTTGCTTTGCTTTCCATTGCTCAGGTCCTCAACGATTGGGACAGTGACGGCTTATACACGGTTAGTCTAAACTTTCTGTGTGTTCCACGTGGTAGACACCCACATGGTCGCTTAGGCGTACGGTTTTGGGGCGAAACTACCAGATGGAAACGTTTCTCACTGCTTTGCTATGACCGGAGACCCTCTACGTCCTTCGGTGCTTGCTTGTCAGGCGTTCCTCCCTTCCATTCCTCACTCGGGGGTGTGCACCGTTACTAACAATAAAAGGTTTGTGGGATCCAAGCGCTAATGGAAGCCTATGTTAATACAGTTAGAAATGTGGAGTTTTGGGGACCGGTACTTTTTCTTAGGTTAGCACAAACTTTTTACTTTTTTATATTTATTCATTTGGCAGACTAACTTTGCTCAGGTGAGCGACCGTCATTGGATGTTTCATCGTTTTTTTTGTTATGGTCAATATAGTATTTTTATGATCCGTTTCGTCTTTCTCTATCTCCATCTGTAAAACATTATTCCCGGTGGTTTGCTCTTAGATTATTAGGACTGTCTCTTCCCTTGCATCGCAAGGCGCTCCCGGCTCCAAGTACACCATCTTGCTCATCTTGACTGACGGAGAAATATCGGGTACTGCAGTTCTGCGCACTTTCATTGGTCTATGTCTTACCATGCACTCCCGCGAATAGACATGGAGGAAACCTGTGATGAGATAGTGAAGGCATCGGACCTTCCCGTATCGGTGCACTCTCCTTCTTCTCTCTTTGGTGTCATTTTTACTCTAAATATAGATAGTAATAATTGGTCTGGGAAACGCATGCTTTGACAAGATGAAAGTTCTGGATGCTGATATATCTCCCCTCATAAGTAGAAGATACGGAAGAGCTAAGCGGGGTAAGGGCTCTACACTTGATCGTCGCAACCTGCTTAGCTTTCTTTATTTGGATGCAGATATTGTGCAGTTTGTAAACTTTAATGACGTCCGAAGAAGAGGAAGAGACATTACATCGGCTACTCTAGAGGAAATCCCCGACCAGGTAGCTTCCCACCGTTTTGTTCGTCCCTAAAGGCGCGTTAAAAACTTATCGATAGGTTGTTACCTACTTTAAGATGCATCATATCCCTCCTGCTATAAGAAACTTTTAGTTAGTCGACCCTCTAACTTTTGAAAATTAAATTTTTTGACTACTTCGAGCTTTTTTGTTTCCGTTAAGCAGACATGTTACATCGCATTTCACTTAACATACTAACAGGAGGGCAACTTGGTATTAATTAAGGAAAAGACAACGTTGGTATTTAGTGGTGTGTATAGCGCAATCTCTAACTTTGCCTTTTGATTTTGTTATTTATCCTGAAAGGGACTGGCGTCGTTTTAATACTTTTTCTTCACTTATAAGTGACCTCCAGGAGTAATGCGTAAGTTCATAGGCCTGCTCTAAAGCTACCAAGATACTTGACCTGAGTGCATTCCCGAACGAACGTTTCAAAGGGGCAAGAGCTAGATTTGCCTTCATTCTTTTTCTCATGTTTTGCATAGTGTAGCTTGGAAGGGTTACCCGTTTCATATTTTAATCATTTTTCAAGTAAGATAAGTTAGGAAAGCACATACTTAATAGCGGCAACCTATCATTTATCTAGTGCTGAGGAAGCCTTAATATAGGAAAGGGGCACTCGTACACAAATAGTTCGGTAGTTTACAAGGTTAAAAAGAATTAAAAACGGACTGACCATCCCTTATTCGTACAGCAATGGATTAATAGTGGAAAGTGTCACAGCTATAATACTTTTACCCACACAAGAAAGTAAAAAGATCAATTTTTTAACCAAACTACTAGGGCTAGTGATAATTAGTAAAAATACAAAGGCTGCTTTCACTTTGTAAAAAAATAACCCCGACAAGAGATAAAATTATTTTTTTTACAAAGGTATATAATCGCTATTGAGACTAGAAGTTTTAACGTCAGAATAAATATTGCCAGAACCCGAGCGTTTCCTAAAGAAATATTTAAAATTGCAAATAGTTGATTTGAAGGGTATGTGGTTAATACAGTGTATATTTATTCTTTCTTACAGGAAACCAAGTAATGAAGGTTCTTACTTGCACCTTTGCTTAAGCAGGAAGCTTAAACTCAGTTTTGGTTACAGAAGGATTACTTAAAAGCCTGATGAAATACTAAACGCCAGTATATTTAATTTCAGAAAATGATATAGAGTTAGTTAAGGCTTAGAAGAGCTGCAACAGTAAACCATTTATTTTAATAAAAACACGGCTATTTATGTTAAAGGCTTACGTATCAATTTATTTATAAAACATATACAACAATGTCAAAAATATTTAGATTTATCCCCTAAGTTTATTTTATAGGATGCTGAGTGCTTTATAACTTTACCCTCAAATTCCTAGAGAATATTTTTTATAAACAATAAAAAAAGTTAAGGATGGAAATGTTAGTCTAACACAGTTCTAAAGGAACAATTATTATTATATCTACCACTTTTACACAGATTTAGTTACTTACAAAACCTTACGAAGAAAATTTTTAAAGACTGGGCCTACTACTTTGTACGCTCTGTTTCATCATTTTTATAATCCATTTTTGAAATTATTAATAAAGTTTAAAAAATAGCTTTAAAAGCTATTATAACATTGCTATGTATATAATCGCGGGCATAAAGTTAGTAAGTCAACAAAGAATATTTTACAAGTTTTTATTTACTTATTTTAAGTGTACAAAGATCGTAAGAGTACGTAAGGGAACGGCCTCGTAAAATTGTAGTATTTAGCTTTTTAAAAATTTAACTTATATGCAGAAAAAATTTGACAGAAAGGCGCAACATAAGGATATAATAACTTGATAATTCAACACAAAAAATTTTAAAAACTTGCAGTACTTATTGCATAGTTATGCTATAAGTTTAAAAGAGACTAAAACAAAACGGCTCAAGGTGAAGTAGCTTATAAAAACACAAAGACTGAAAAGAGTTAATTCAGCAGTCTCCCACATTAGTATAACTGTTTTCGTTAATATAAGGAATTGAGGTGCTATGATTTATTATTTTATTAAGGGGATTATATATCGGCACGTCAGAATAAGGTCTTTTGCACGACAAGAATTCACATAAAATATTTAAATAACGGCGGAAATAATTCTATTCACGCCAGAGTCCATGCTCCAATAATAGTTAAAACCAACGATAATTAAAATATTTCAAAAACGCCAGAAAAGAAGAATGCACAACAGTTTTAATTTTCGGTCAGTACTGCGCTTGCGTCCAAAACCATTGGTTGCGAACTGTTGTAGTGTAAGTTAACCTTACGAAAAAGTATTTGTAAACTTGTGTGCATGTTAATTAAGGTATATGTAATTAGTTATTATAATTTTTCAATTTTTGATTATGCCTTTGAGAGTGACCACGCAAACAAAGGCAGAGTTAATGTATGTCGTTGATTTCGAGGAAAATGAATCAAATGATGGAGAAGTGTTCCAGAACCTAAAAGAAACAGTAACCAAATCGTGTTCGGATTAAACGTCAAGAATTTGAATCACCAGAAGAAACACAGAAAGTAATTTTGTCTAAAAATATATGGGAAAGAACATTCAAAAAAAATACTTAGGATGGATTTCAAGTCGAGTATCGTTTTTCTGCAGGAAAATACAGAGTAAAAGAGTCTCCGGTTTGTTTATACTTGTTATATCATTCTGCGAGTGATAAATTTTCGCTTTTTACAACACTATGCTGTCAGAAGCATGACGATAATACGAAACTAAGTAGTAGAGGTTTAGGTCATGAAGTCAAAAAAGTTATATTAAAGAAAAATATGGAGAAGGATTTTAAAAAACCCCAATTTTTATATTAGCCTTTATGAGAACAGGAAAATGTTATGGAACATCCAAATTTAAAGTTAATAAATACTTAAAACAGTTAAGACTTAAAAATATGGAAAATACAGCCATACTTGAGGCTGAAATTAACACATGGTGTGAAACAAGGAGAAAAAACTCCTGATTCTAAAAACGAGCTTTTTGTGCTGAACCATACTGTTTGTTGTGACCTTTTGATCCAGGTGAATGACATAAAAATTATATTGTCGACTCCAAGGTTACTGAAAAATTTAAGGAAATCAAAAATGGTTCAGATGGATGCTACATTTAAAAATACGTTGCAGGGATATCCGGTAATGATCGCCAGAACAAGTAGCAAAAATCAATTTGTTTCATCTATTTGCTATCGCTGTTTGCAAGGGTGAAAGTGCAGCTGACTTTAGCTTTATTTCTGAAAAGCTTTACAAGTTGATTCATCTTGGAACCCATTAACACCCCTTGCGAAACCATTACTCAGGGATTTACAAAGGGATTTACAAATATTTTTGGTACCTGAAGTACGCATAACGGTTTTTTTTTTTTCTTGTTTAATAAAATTAGTGCCGGTAAAGATTTTTAATGAGATATCTATGCTTTACAGATATGTAAAGACGAAAGCATGTATCTCAAAGCAACTCAACTTATCTTAGAGAAATGGTGCGCAACAAAGGACCACCGAATTACCGATTTTTCATTATTATTTTATGTTGCAATGAATGCTATTGAATTCAAACTGTTAGGAAGGAGTTGCTCCTGGTTACCCCAGTACAATAAATGGGCTCGAAGCAACAAACGCCATTATAAAAAGGAACACATTTAAGAAAGACTTCCAGTGGGCCGGTTTTTGAATAGTGTTCAAGTATTATTATTAAAATGGTCAAAAGACAAAGAACCTGAGTCTCCGATATGTAATATATATATAGTGAAGTTGCACAGCATCTTTGGGCTCAGAGTTCACACCTAAAGAATTTTCCACCTTTCATGGAAAGGTTTTTATCCTATTTTACTTTTCAGTAGCTTCCTAAAACGACAAGTGCTAAAAAAATGTTGAACAATAATATCTGAGCATGTCTCTCAGTTACTGAAAAATTTTGAACACGCAGTGACAATAACTTGGAAATTGATAAACAATCTCTCGAGCAACACTTCACGTGTTTCTTGTGTTTCTATTTGTTTAATTCTAAAATCCAGCTGCATATCGATTTCTAAAACCGAATCCTAACCAATTTCTAATATAGTTAAAATATACACTTTTTTTTTACCGTACGGTCTCAATTCGCTGCGACCACTGTAGAGTTAATTTTGTCGCTAATTTGTAATATTCTATATTATAGATCTTGTTGTTATAAAGATTTTTTTTCAATGCAATACATATTTTTGTCGTAGTCGTAGAAAATACCTTGTTGAAAACATCTTTTGTCGTGCGATATCCTAGTTTGACGGTAAATATATTTTTTTGTTTGTCTGTTATGTCCTGTATACTAGCGCTTCTAACTTCTTTTTTTAAGGCACTCGTATGAGAAGCGTTCTTCACCGCACCTAACACAATGTAATAACAGCTTTTTTAATGTGGCCGAAAGTATTACTTAATAGAGTTCTTTAGTTATAATGATTCAAAAGTTGCTCTAATTCTACAGACTACGATAGTCTCGGATATTTTTACTGTCAGATTTTGTTAGCTTAACTAAAAAAAAAGAGGTATTTTTAAACGTTGTGACCTCTTACCGCTTCAACTGAGTTAGGTTTTGATGTTATAGGACGGAATATTGCTTTAATTTAGTTTTGTCTTTAAACTTCTTTTACTACTTTAAAGCCCTTACAACTTCAGGAAGCTCATGCGGATAATATTCGCGTTTCTTAGCAATAAAAAGTTTTCTGATATTATGTTTACCACTTAAAAAAAGGCCATTTTGTCGCTTTGCTGGTTTTTTTAAAAAATAATGAACCTTAAACTTTTTCAAAATTAGAAACTTAATCTAGGATTGTTAGAGTTGTATAAATCAAACAAATTTGCGACAGCTCTATGCTTTTCTTATTTCCCCAACTAACTGCCAGTTATTATTTTGAAAAATTTCATAGTATCGTTCTCTTTTCTTGGAGTTAAATTCTCTACTTCGATATACGACGTAAAAGATTTTTTTTAAAAAAAATGGTGGTAAGTCATTTCCATTAATAATTAGCTCTCACACCTTTCTGCTCTTGCAAAATGTTAAAAGTATTTTTAATAAGAAAAATAAGGAAAGTTGACTGTTATTAGTTAAAATAAAATTTTGTACTTATAGTTTTCCACTGGCCCAAAATATTCAAGCTGCTAAAGGTTTATAACGTTAGCAACATCTCGTAACCTCTCAGGACGCGAGAATGCGAATGCTTCTGTTTTCTAACATGTCAGTGAGCATCTGGACCAAAGTGGTCACATGACATAAACTACAGGGAAGGTGCACGCTTTTGATAACCGCGTTCCCTTTAACGCTCCACTCTTTTAGTTTGTATTGATAAGACTCGCAGGCTTGGCTAAACCAAGTAGTCTATGCTCTAACTTATCGTGTATCTGCACAAATCATTCGTAATAATAATAAAGCTTCAGGAACTAAATAGGTATTAGGCTGAGGTGCTTTATTATACAAGTTATAATAAATATATAACTACTGTACTAGACATAATGCTTATTCATATATTTGTGGTCATATTCCTAATAAGCGGTTAAGTTAATTTTACCTGCGAGCTACTATTCCTAAGTTACGGGAACTTGGGGACCTAAGTAATGTGAGGCTTAATTTTAACTTATTGAGCAACGCGATATTGCAAGTGGATTAGCCTTTTAAAGATGCTACAGACTTGTAATATTCCTTTTCTAGGGATATCCTGTGTTTAAAATGTAGTATGCACCCTTCTAACGAATATCCTTTGGTGCTATAGTTTAGAGACTTCTTAAGGTAGCGGCGAAGTGTTTGTATTTATCCAAGTTCGGTCATATCATGTAGAGGTAACCGGCGCTCTAAGTTGTAGGGGTAGGGGATATGTACCCCCTTTTTTAAAGGCGGGTTCACCTTTTCATTACGGACTAAGTGCAAGAAATAACTGATAAAAGAATGAAATTGTTGCATAATCAAATATCTTTGCAAATTTTTTAAAAGGTCGCTTAAGCCAAAAGAAAAAGCGATCAATATTAATTTTACTATCTTTAGATTTACTTGAAACATAACCTAAACGGTCCTAACCTTTTAGTATTAATTTTAGAAGAGGGAAGCAAGGGACAAATAAAAGCTGGAAAAAAGGCTCGCAACTTTACTTACTAGAGTCCTCTTATCATATCGATTGATGATTCACCGTTAAAGATATAAATATATGGAAGACATGTTATACCTATGAGAAAAAGGAAAGGATGATTTAACGAATCCTGGTCGCCTTTAAAACTCCCTAGAGGCTGAAATTAATTGAAACGTGCAGAGCCAGCACGAGAAAGAGCATATACCCTAATAATAAGTAATCCTCGATAAACACAAAGCTGGTTTTAACTCTTTAATAAACCACGCCTACTAAAAAAGTTATTTTAAGCAGAATGTTCACCTCTTGTCCTAGCGAGGAAAGTCAAGTTAACAAATGAATTTATACATTTTTGCAAGTTTCTATAAATAATTTAACTAAACCTTTCTCTTCCAGAGAATTACAACTCTATTGAATTTTACAGTAGCAAGACTCCACGAACACATCAACGGCGTACTAACACAAGTTAAATTTACAAACTAAAACTCTATTAAATTTATTTTTTTAAGCAGGCGTTTGAGGAGTTCTCTTATCACGCGATCGTTCAATAGCAGACAAGTGGCCGCCCAATTCCTTAAAAGCTTTCTGAAGTTGAATGGTGATATTATGAAGGGCTGCCAATTTCTCGGTAATGACACGTTCACATTCTTCATAAGAACCGAGAGTTTCAAAAGATCTCTATTAAAACGAGTTATAGTTAAATAAATAAATTATAATTTATGATTTATAAAATACAGCAGCAGGAAAAGAATTTTCCTTGAAGCCCTCAGAAGGAGCCAAGGGTTTAAAAAAAAGATCGGAAGGGTCTAGGGTGAGGCTGCTGCTAGCCGAGGAATCCCCCGAAGCCGAGTTCTCATTACCCTCAGACTTCCGGCTTTCCTTGATTCGGCGAAGGAGGTGCTGATAAAATTGCGGTAATACAAGCTGCTGAGGCAGTTGGGGGCGTCCACTTCCTGCTGCTTACAGAAAAACCTTTTTAAATATAAAAAAGATTTGATATATAACTTACTCGAGATCCCTTGCGGAACCGACACTGGTAGTAGAGGATTCGGCCGCCGATCTGCTTGGTTAGAGTATAACACTGTCAGGTAGAAATAATAGTATTTGAAAATACCGGCCAACACAGAGAGACGGCAGGTGGGGCAGGTCTGTTGTCTTTCCAGCCAAGACCGCAAACAGTGCCGATGGAAAACGTGCCCGCAGGGCAGCCTACAGAGAAAAGTAGCTTTGATCCCGAATAAAACTTTACAAAGGAAGAAGAGACTTTTTAGCAGCCGTCATTTCTTCACGGCAGATGATGCACGTGTTGTCTACCAGTGAAAGGTCCTCGGGAGTTGCTTCGGGGTATCTCTCGTTCATGTTCATAGTGGCCCGGTTGTACTGTATCTACAACGTGATTTCTTGAATAAAATAGAGCGAGTTGAAAGAATCAAAGGATTGCCATGTCATGCAGGCGTTTATAAAACGAGCGGGTTATCAAATAAAGATCCCGCAGAAGATAAAGAGGCACTCCGTAGTAGACAGTGACCGAGTAAAAGAAGGAAAGATACAGGACTAAACGAGCAAAGTCTATTACAGTAGGATAAAAGTAAACAAAGCGTGTTCTGACCCACAATATTAACACAAAAGTAAAATCCTAAATTAAGCAAAAAAACTATGGAAACTTTTATAAATTATAATAATTCAAAAAGAAAAATATGAAAAGGAGAATAAAATATATAATGTAGAACCACTAACCAATAACCAAGTCAAGATAAAAATTGTACACGGACTTGTTCTCCCAAGGGTCGGAGAACCCGGCGTCGATTAAATTCAACATAAATTTAAGAAAGACAGAAAGTAAACTAGTTCCCAAGATTAAAAACTACACGAACAGAAAATTATAAAAGAAAGTAAGAAGGAATCTATGCATATGCTTCTAGCGTAGTACTTAATTAATTACTTCAAACATCAGAAGTATATGCATAGACGGACCATAAGTCATTATGTTCTGAGTAAGGAAAGTTAATAGAAATATTAGTTGCAGTACATTATTAACAAGTATACCTTCTTTGAGTAAGTAATAAAACTAAGGTCCACGATACCCAAAAGAGTGAGTAGTGTGACAACTTTTAGATAAAACGTACGGCTAAGAGAAGGGCACTGCTCCATCTTTAAAAAGATATAATAAATAATAAACAAGGTCCCGAGAATTAATAGTTACAATAAATTAAGTAAAAATTGATAAGTACGTAGTCAACTCTGTCAGCGACAAGCCAGTGAAATATTTTGAAAAAAAATAGGGTTGTGAAAAAAAGTAGAAAACCACCAGTTATTTCTTCTCGAAAAATGGTCATGGCAAATAACGTTTCCGTTACAGAAACCCATGACTGTTCATAAATGTGCTTTTATAAAGACAAAAGATGTAAGGGCACCAAGTACGTGAGTAAGAGAAGATCAAGTAAAAAGTATAACATCTAATTCGGAAGCTCGTAATGATCCCAAAAAAATAATTCGCATTAAGTTCCCAAAAAATGCAGTTACGGCAAAAAATAAATTATACATAACCTTGTTTAAAAGTTTAATATATAAAAAGACGTCTCAAACAGTAAATAAAGAATTGTATACTAATAGTTGTACCAACAAACATGAATTGGTATTTGTAATCCAAATCGCTGCAGGGTAATATTGCTTACGAGTAAAAAATGCGTAGGCAACTGTCAACACTGCAATCAGTACACTAGCAAGGACATAGCGTACTAAACCCATTACGGAAAAATATGCTGCTTTCATAAAAGGTTTGAGTACTTTCTAGATATTAACAAATTTGATGGCAACAACATACTGTGCACAAACCTCTATGATTGGCAGAAAACAAAGGTTTTTCATTAGCACTATTAAACTGTAAAGTAGGAAGGGCTTCAGAAATTTGAGTGCTACTGCAAAAAGTTATCATTTGTAAAATTTTTAATTAACTTTTATAAGAAACTTTTATATGTTTTAATGTAAAAATTCATATTCACACCTATTCGGTATAAGTCGTCGGTGTAAGCTCAGAAATTTAAGTTGCTGAGTCTGATGGATTAGTGCAATCAAAAGTGGGGCGCCCCTACAATAAATTTAGTCGAGAACGACAAAATTTTACTCTTTCTGGAATAGAAACTTAAATTATGTTATCAGATGAAAAGTTTTAAATTTAAGTATTTTCAGCTTCCCTTTCTTACTGCCTCTAATTGCCTAATAATAATTAGCACTTTGAAGATGAAATATTAATTATCTTCACATCACTAACTAGCCCATAATTGATTAATACAAAAAAAGACAAATTAATTTATGTAAATCTTTGCTTTCGCTTTTTTTTTATTTTTATTTTTTTACCCGCTATTCTTCCAAGTTATCCTCTTTACTACTGTATCTAAGTCTAACTGTCGCTGCTAAATAATACCAACATTCAGGTCTCGTTAACCTGGCGGCTCCTTTTACATAGCATAAAATTTACCTTCCAACATATAATTTTACCACAGTCAATTTTTGACTAAACAATGCGGTATTTAATAGTGGCATTAAATGGGCCTAATGGTTAAATCACAAGAAGACCTTATTAGATCTATAAAAGCAGTAAATTAACCTATAGAGGCAATCATTACCAAGGAAGGGGCCCTTTAAGGGTAAAAATACCCTTGTAAAAACATGAAATTATTTCTTGTCCCATTGAGATGGGCGTCCACTTTTTGGTGTGATGAGAAATCTTAGAGGTTAACTCCTCCTACCAAAACAATTACACCCCTAAGGTCGAGTTGCTGTTACAATTGAATCTTTGCTACAAAAACACAAATTTAATAATGCTTAAGCCAACTCTAAGGGCACACTCAAAAAACTGTAAGATAAAGTCCTATTATGAGAAGTGCGGTTTTGTTTATATATAATACTGTTTTATTTCATTTATCCAATTACTAATATTATAATTATTTACTTTTATCGGATTTTACTACGAGAGTCTGCCTATCGATTATGACCTGACCTTACATTCAGAAAGTTAAAAAAATTTGCTAACAACTCTCGAGCAGTATAGATGGGATTATAAGATCACGAAAGACAAGACTTTAAAAACTTAAGGACGCGTGAAAAAAGTCCCTATAAACTTTCATAGACTGAAAAGCTCTCCTACCGTCTATTCTGATTCATTTTACCGCCTACAATTCGTAACACTAATAGAATGACATGGAGAGAAGTTAAGAAGTAAACGATCACAACAAAAGTACTAATAACACTAGCTATATTACTAACCTTGTACATAATTACAATAAAGAAACGATTACAAATTATAACGTTAACTTTTACGTTAAAAAAAAAAACTGTTTTAAAATCTAACTTTTCTTTAATTAAAAAACTAAATATTATATTTTAAAACATTACTCAAGTGATAAGAATCTTCCTCTTACTAAAGAGATGATTTTAAAAGAATTAATTTTACCTTTGTAATTACTTGCATACTATACTTGTTACCCTACCCTCGGGAAGAGTACACGGAGTATTTAAGGAAGTACAGCCGCGGCCATAAAGCCAGAGTTAAAAAACCAATTTTTGATGCAAATGAAGTGAACTAGAATGAGAAAATAGAATACTAAATACAGCTTTCGCTTAGTAAAATTAAACTAGGAAGACGTGATTTATAAAATTACCTCAAACATAGTAATTCTTTATTTGTTCATCGAATGTCATAATCCTAAAGGGTTTATACTTTGTACCTAATTTGGCAGGCACGAGGACTTTAGTTGGGTTTATAGCAAGCCTCCCACCTGGCGGAAGGTCTTCAGGTTTTGTTATATTCTTTATAACAAAGGGCTTTTCAACTTTTTTTCATAACTAATTTGCTTTAACTGTCCTGCATAACTTTCCGTGGTTTCCTATTTGTTCTTATAGTTTTACTCTTTTCATATTTTCTGCTTATCTTTATTTTTAGTTTTAGTTTGCTTTATTATTTTTGTTAAGTTTCTGAAATTCTATTACTCCAAGTGCTGTTACTTTCGCGCCTTTTATCTCCATAGAACTCTGTAATTTTTACTTCGGTTATAACATCGAACCACTTATGAATGTAGGAATAAAAACTTGTCTTCGCTGCCAACTATTGTATGATATCGGGTGAGGTCATCTCAGCACGTGTTGAATTGGATCTCCTCAAAATCCACTGTTTTTTTTTTTAAAAATTGTTCCTTTCCTTTCAAATATCTCAAAACCTACGCCGCACATGAGAAGATTTCATACAAGATTCTGAATAGAAAATAGCATCTATTGCATGTCTTTTGCTATGTAAACTAAATAATCCTTTAAATTGTCCCAGAAAAAGGACGAAAAGTCGGTTGCATCAACTGTCAAGGGAGGCACATGGCGAACTAAAAAAGCTGATTTCAGAACGCACCTCTTCATAGAGTTGTCAAGGCTAACAGTTCTTCCCACCAACAAAACATTATTTGCCCCGAGAGTTTATACCTACAAGCAATTGAGATAATGTAAAGCGGTTGTCACCTCCTTGTAAAAGGCGATAAATATTTACATTGCGAAGAGTATTATAAATCCATTTGAAAAACTAAATTTTGAATGGCTCTAGAACACTTCATACCCGCAAAGTAAGTATACTCTTGTAATTGCATTTGGATGCAAAAACAAAAGCAAGTGATACAATTATTTTAGCCTTTAAGTTTAAATATTCATTTACTTTCGAAAAGGTATTAATAGAAGGGGACATAGTAGATGAACCAAACCTTTTAATTTACAAGACCGCCAAAACGCCAGTAGTGTGCTTTGCTAAGTAAACAATCTATCGCCTACTCTAGCTTGAAATATTCGAAACACTATTACATCAAAGTAATAAGAATAGGCATTCGTGCCTAAAATTTAAGAAAACGGCATATAACCCCAAAGCAAAGAACTGTTCAACGAAGAACTAAAGTTATTTCGTGCCTCTAATCAACCACTCTTGGTGGAGACCTGATTCCAAAAAATTTTCATGGAACTGTAGAATCGTGATAAAAGCTAAGGATTTCTTGGACAAGGGAGTAAGAGTAATAACTGCCCAGGCATAGACTTAGTAAACTTAATTATCTGATAAAATGAAAATTTAGTTTAAATACAAAAAACCAACTTATAATTTGCCAATTATAGAATTGTAACAACAAGAGAGATCTTTGGTTGAGAAAAAATTAATTTTTGTATAACGCAAAAAATTTTTAACTGAAATAAGTACAAAACAAAGAAGCTTGGCTATTTCGAAGTTCATTGGTCGGCAGTATCCGATAATAATTTAGTTATATAGAGAGGGGTAATCCACTAATAAAACTTAGGGGGAGTGCACGGAGGGAAGCACTTCAACCCGTTCGATCTGAGAAGTCAAATCCCAGGAACTTGGTTAGTACTACGGTGGGTGAACCAGGGGGCTGACCACACCGCGTTCTTCTTCCCCCTAGAAAACAAAAATAGTCATGCGCTTCTCGTGGAGATGTACGGGGGTCTACTTACGTCCGAATAAAGATTAAGCTATCTCTGCTCAATTCCTCGGACACCCGCAGGTCATTAATAAAATAAACAAAATAATAAAACCTTTACCAATTCTTTTCACTTAATTTTTTCAGTATCCAGCAACTTTTGGTAACCCTAACCCTAACCCTATCGGTCCCAAAATTTATTACTAATTTAGATGTACTCTTCTTAGATCGTAAATTGCTCTGGTAGGGGCGGGCGACGAACTTTACGGATCTGCATCAAGGTTTTGACAAAACCTAATTGGATGTGCTGCTGTAACTCGACTTCGCTACCCTTTGTAGAGGCTCCAATCGCAAACCCTGGAAAGGATTTAGAAAAAACGCAGGCACGCAATAAACGCGTGCTGAAGACTCAACGGCAGGCGCGCCGGACGCGCATGAAGTAACATTCTCTTTAGACATTCAGTTGCCGATAATGATCGTGCGAACTGTAATGTAGCGAATACCTGCCCATCTTTCTCGTTGGGCGAATGCAAAGCCAAAATTTTCCACATAATCATTTACAAGTTGAACGAAGTGGGTTCGCATCGTACTTCAATATTACTATTACTGTTTTCGCTAACCCCTGTGTAGCGACCAACGTGAATCTTTTAGCCATCGATAAAATATACGCATCCTCGTGGGGACAACCAATTGGTTCAGATTAGCAGGGCGTGGTGATCAACTAAGCGAACTGTGCGCTGTCTTTTTAACAGCGCCATACGCTATCCTCTCTTCTCTCTTTTCGTTTAAATATTTGGGATCAGCATAATGAAGAAAATATTGTAGGCTTAAAATAATTTAGTTAAAACATCGTTTATTTTTAAAATTTCTTTAAAAACTCAGCTTTTTAGTCCAGAAAGATTTTTAGCAGTCGCTTGTTTTTGAGATGTAAATTTCTATTAACAATTATTGATTTAATTTGCTAATATCTTAGTCTCAACTTTAGCCTTATCAATAGAAAATTTATTAAACAAGTACACTTTGTGGTTTTAATGTATCGCAGGGATAATATTTATGGATTGTATTTTCAATATAGGCTTTTATTGGGAATGCTAAATTATTAATAAGGTCCTCGTTACTATCATATTCAAGTGAGGGTCATACTTTCTTGCCCTGTATTTGTTTTTAAGAAAAGTATGAGAAAAAATCTTTCTCAAGCTCTCATCTTCTTTTTTGTGATATACCTCTCTAATACTGGTTATAAGTCACCTTATCGCAGTAGTGAGTAGGGGGAGGGTGGTGAATAAGCTTTTTAAACAATTCGCTTAAATACTTAAAGTTAGGGTTTTCTAATAATATAAATCCTTTCCTTTAGTTAATTACTGAATTGTGTTCACAAAAACTTAACTTAACATAACCCTTCTATATATGGAATAAATTCAAACTCGCTTACTGGGTAAAGCTAGACAGCCTTTGGTATAGAAACTGGCCATACACTTAAATATACAATTGTAAAGAATTTCTCAAGCCCGACTTACTTCGCATTTTATATATTCCATGTATTGCGGAGATTCTTCGTTTCCAGTTAGAAAATTAATACCTAAAGAAGAAATTAATAGCGCAATTTTCTTAAGACAGAATCCCCAGTTCGATGGAAGAGGGATAGTTGTTGCTGGTAATATGACAAGTTTTACTTCATTTTAACATACTTTTCTATTATCAACGATACTCTTTTGTTATATAAAGTATTAGATACAGGTGTTGATCCAGCGGCTCCAGGGTTGCAAGTCACTTCTGACGGCAAACCAAAACTGCTTGATATAATCGATACCACGGGTTCAGTAAGATTCTCTTTATTTTTAAAAAAGAAAATATAAATAATCACTGTCTAAAGGGGGATGTTGACACCTCTAAGGTTGTAACTCTTTCAGAAACTGAGGACTACCTCTTTTTACTTTCTGGTTACTCTACCTTTTAGTTATTTTCGACAACAAAATCAATATTTCTTACAACTTACAATAGTTTTTAACTTCAAAACTTATCTAAAATCTTTTGTTTTTTTTAAACAACTTCATAATATATAATAATCATAGTTTGTATTGATTTCATACCATATTTTTTATACTAAAGGTAGAAAAATTAAAATACCACCTCACTGGAAAAGTTACAATAAAATTTTTTTTTTGGGGATAAAGCGGTATATATATATACCCTTGCGTGATTTTTAGCTCTCTTTTTTTTGTTAAAAAGTCTGTTTATATGGCAACAGCGCCTTTGAACTTTACCCAGAAGACTTGGTGAAACGCTTGAAAGACGAACACCAAAAAAAGTGGGATCGTTTTCGCTACCAGGTAGTAATTCTGCTCTTTGTTGGGTAGCAACGCGGTACTAAGAAAATTTTTTTGTGTTTTTTTCAGGCAAAAGCTAAGGTTGTTGGTAAAATTTCTTTTTGTAAAAAAAAACAAAAAGAAGGTCGGTCGACTTTTTAGGGCAGTACTAACATTATAAAGTTACTTACTTTCTTTAAGCCGATAACGATAGCGACCAGACAGCGAAGACTTTAGAGGATTACAAAGCACGAAAGATAGTACTGGAGAACTACGAGTCTAAGACCTACCACGGGTCAGATGCTTTTTACACCTCTCTGCTGCTTGCGTCACTGCTCTTTCAGCCCCGTTCTCGACTGCATTGTCTTCCATGATGGAAAAGAGTGGCTCGCTTGCGCTCTATTGGAAGACGAAGACCCCTTCACCGCAAAAGTTTTAGCTGTATAAACTATTTCTGGTTTTCTTCTGCCATTATTTTTTCTCTAATGAGGTCATGGCAGACTACAAGATCCGCCAGGAGTATTCCACCTTCAGCAACCAGGACATGCTCTCGTACTCGTTTAATATTTACAACGAGGGCTCACGTATTATCACTTACCGAGTTTGTGTGCTGGTGGTTTTCTGCACTTTCTCTTGTATGGCAGGTCTATCTATCTCCGTGTGCTGCGGGTCGCATGGAACCCATGTGGCTGGCATACTGGCCGCCTACCATCCAGATAATAGTGGAGTGAACGGGATCGCTCCGGGAGCTCAAATTGTCTCTGTGAAAATCGGTTCCGCTGTTTTATTGCTTTAACGGCTTGTTCAACTCGGGTTCATACCTATCTTCCTTACAGGAGACACTCGGTTGGGTGGCATGGAAACTGGAATAAGCGTCATACGAGGCCTTTCGGCCGTATTGAAAAATAAGGTTTTTGTGGAGAGGCCGAATGCTCTACAATGCTGTGTCCTGAGCATCCTTTATCCTACAGTGCGACCTTATCAACATGAGCTTCGGCGAGGATGTCCACATGGCTGACGTTGGTCTTTTCTCGGCGTTGGCCAATGCCGTAGTCAGGAAACATGGCGTTGTGTTCGTCTCCAGGTGGCCCCTCTAGCTCCTCTCGGTAGCCTTTTACTCGTTCCCAATGCATTATCGTGCCCAATAGCGCGGGGAATCAGGGCCCTGCCCTGTCCACGGTTTCTGCGCCGGGAGGCACTACATACTCACTAATCTCTGTCGGAGCTTTTGTTTCTGTACGAAACTCCTTGTAGTTTTCTGTTCATTCATTGTAATACCGAGTAGAAATCCATGATGGATGTGGATCATTCCATGCGAGAGTGTGTCAATGAGGGCTACTACACCTGGTCTTCCCGGGGCCCAGCGTACGCCTTTTCTGTAGTGATAGCTCGTTATCGTAAAGACGGAAGAAGTTTTATCTACTTTTATTACACTGCCGGTTTACTTCAGCTATAACGGGGACTTTGGCGTGACTATTGGGGCCCCTGGCTGCGCAATTGCCTCTGTCCCTGCGTTTACATTAAAGGGTAAACTCTATGGGACGACAACTATTCTGCGAAAGAGTAGATTATTCAACACTTACCTATCTCGAGGGGGGCAGTTGATGAACGGCACATCTATGGCAAGCCCCAATGCCTGCGGAGGCATCGCTCTTCTCCTCTCTGCTCTTAAAAACAATAGTGTAGAGTATACTCCCGAACGGTGACTTTTTTTTTGCCTCTTATCAAGTGGAGTCGAGTTTCCTAATCCGCTGTGACGCAGAATACGAAGGGCAGTAGTGAACACCGCCCAGCTTATGTCAAACATGGACGCTTTTACTCAGGGCTACGGCTTGTTGAACGTAAGAAGACGTGCACTGCTTGGTATACACTTCGTTGTGATTGGCCTTAAGGTACTCGGAGCTTATGACCATGCAGTCAAGTATCGAGACTATAGAGGGCATGACGTTTCCTACGAGGTTGATGATCTCTTTAATAACTGTTGGCTTTACGGTAAAGCGGTGTAGATAAGAACATCATGCGGTCATGAGGCACGTGGAATCTATATAAGGGAGCCCTGGCAAATGGCCGTAGAGAAAGAGGTGATGAGTTTTTGATGCTCCTCTTTCCTGTTGTTCATTACTTGCTCCGCGTAGGTAACAGTCAGCGTGCGGCCCGTATTTCCAGAGAACACAGAGAACATTGAAAAGATCAACTACAAAGTTCTTTTTGTGCTCGATTGTGAGGCCGCGTGGATAAAGCTTCCCAGGCACTTCGCCCTGATGAACGAAGGTAATCACCAGATTCCGATTGGCCCTCCCAGCACTCCCATTGGCGCATCCTAGAGCGCTCCTTCAAAGTACTTTTAAAAGCCAGTTCGGCTTCTCTTCCTCCTGGCCCTCACTTTACAGTGGTTATTTTTTTTTTAAGAGTAGATGTAACCCATCCAAATCTCAAACCGTAACTAATAAGATTAAAGGATTCGACTCTGCGGCTACAGAGGTGGGCCCTCTTTTTTGCATTTCCGTTACGCTTCTCGTCCCTGTGTAAGTACACTTTCCCATTGTATACTGCACGTCTACTTTTCCGCCTTTGCTGCAGCCCCTTGTCTGCCCACCGCCATCAATTTGAAGTCGACTTTTATCCAGGTTACATTTCCCGCCACTTCTATCAAGTTCCGGACGGTTCTCGCTGGGCGGGTTCGTGCTCAGCTCCATGCTCTTACTTTTTCTAAACTAACCTTGCAGAAATCTGCTTGGTAACGACCATCCAAGCGGGAGGTACTAGGCAGTTTGCTATTCAAGTGCAGCAGCTGGAAGCAATGAAAGGGCACACGCACTCTGGGTTCAAAACCCACATTGTGGCTTCGGACAAGAGCCCGTGGGTCAGAGTTATACCAGTTCTTCCAGGTTACCTGCCTATGTACTGATCATATACTTCTGCTTATAACTTGAGCCCTTTAGGATTCACACTGGAGTTTTGCCTGGCGCAGTACTGGGCCAGTCTCGGCAACTGCCGAGTGAAATGTACCGTCCACTTCCACGGCGTTGAAACTGGTGCTCTTTCTACTTGTACTACCCGCCCTATATTAACAGCTCCCCCTGTAGAGGGGAGTGTTTTCAAAATTCCCAGCGACGTGGCTGCATTCCGTGTTTCCTACACCTGTCGTTTAGGGCCGGAGACCATCAGTATCTTCCCGCTCTCCGTCGAGTCTTCCTTTTGCAGTTTGATTCGGTGTTATAGAGCCTTCTGGCACTTTTAAGGCTGTTGAGACTCGTATGGCTCCCACGTCTTATTCTCTCTCTCCATCCTCGCACCCGTAAGTTTGCTGTTTTGGCTTCTGCCTCTCCTCTTTTAACCAACCACAGTCTCGACGCACTCCCGGATGACCGGTGCATGTATGCCCTTTGTCTCGAGTACCCGCCTTTCAGCGTGGTATTCTTTAGGCATTTCTGGACGACTTTGCGCACGACTACCTTGCTTATAAAACGTCAGGACAAAAAAGATGACTTAACGCCACGTGTCACCAGCCTTAATGGAAGGCTTTATGATTCAGTGTTTGGTACGTAGTGTTCTCAGTGACTCAGGCCTTCTTGTCGCCATCTCTGCTCTATTGTACGGGCTCCCCTTATAAATGTAAACTTCAGCGGCTCAACTCCTCGCGATCTGCGATAAGTTTAACCGAGTCTTGTACTGGACCGATTGCTACACCCAGAAACTCACCTTGCACAAAGTAACTCTCTGGCTACCATAGTGGTCTTGGTAAAGACCATTTCTTTTAGGGAGAATATACCGTGCGTGTGTGCGTTATGGCGGAGAGTTTGGCCCTTCTCGAAACCATGACGGGCACTATCCTTGTGCTTGAAAGGAAGCTTTCGGAACCCCTAAACTTCTCTTTCTTCCCCACTTACAATGATGCGAGTCCGTATAAATTTGCTGCTACTACCCCTGCTATGACCACTGCGCCGTATTATCGTAGTCCTCCGGAAAAACGAGTGGAAGAGGACGTTGCTCCATAAAAACGAGCGCGGTGTCATCTTTATCGCGCCGCCACCAATAAATAAAGTAACTCATCTGTTTTCATGATCACCTCCAACCTTTTTTTTACGGTTATGAATAGTTGACGTTATTTAAGAATGGAGACGTTCTAGTCGGGAAGCTGCATCTTTGCGAGCTTCCTTCAAATAAATCACTAGGGACTATACACTTCGTTGTAACGGCTAGAAGGCGTTAACTAATGTTTGAATAGTTGTATACGAGGGGATAAAGGTCCTCTACGAAGTTCCACCCTCTGCGAAGCCTGGCAAGAGCGAGGTGCTTGCACTCATAAACTCGCCCACCACCTTTTAATTACACCCACAAAGAAAACTAAACTGAAGGACGATGAGCAAAATTACGAGAAGCTAAAAGAGGAAATCCTGAACAAACAGATAGCTGCGCTGGAGAAACTGAAAAAAGAGTACTACATTGCACGTGACTTTATTCATTATATTAACTGCTGCTTGAACCAGTGAAGCGTTTCGATTGTTCAGCAAACTGGAGCGGAAACACGGGGATTATCTGCCTCTCCATGCCGCCTACTTGAGAGTGCAATCTTCTACCATTTTCTTCCTTTTCTCTATTAAACTACCAACAGAATATCGACGGGATATCCTTGAAGCGAGTTCTCTTGCCCGCCGTAAGCTCCTTAAGTGCAGGTAGATTACACCAGCGTGCCGTTGCAAGTTGAATACCAACGGACCCTCAGGCAGCGTTCTTGAAACACATGTTCTAAGTCTCGAACTTGACCGGGAAGGCGCCCGCCGGGAGCCTGAGAGGCTGAAGGAAGTGCTCAACATTTGCGATAAAATTATTGAGAAAGTCGACCAGTCTGGTCTCGCAGCCTTCTACGGAATAAAGCAGCCCGTAGACAACAGCGAGTCAAGAAGGCTTAAAAAGGAAAAGGACGAGACGGAAGCCATTTTCGTCGAAGCCCTCATCCGGAAGGCATATGCGCTCCTTGAGTTCGAGGATTTGGGCTGCGAAGTAAGATCGACCGTCGAAAGACGGGAGGAGCTCATGAAGCTTCTCAACCAATGGTGTTCTGCGAAGAGCCCTCAACATGAGGCCAGTCAACTACTGAACGCCGAGGTAGAATTGCGCAGGGGCCAATATGGATTGGCCATGAAGACAATGGACGGCATCTACCAGGAACTGACCGACAGGGATCTGAGAGCAAAGGCAACCGCGTGGAAAGTGTGCACCCTTCACCGTGCTGGTTGGCTGCACTGCTCTCATGTCGAAGCCGGCATGTACTACGCCCAGTTTCCGGCGACAGTGCCGCTCATGTACTGAGGGACAAGCAAATAAAGCCACGTGGCCAGTCCATACAATGGTTTATTGTTGCCAATATCCGGACGGATCACTGGACTTCGTACGGTTAAACATCAGTAGGAGATTTCTATGAACTTGCCCAAATTTTTATCGATAAACGAGGCTATCGCTTTTTCGGAAAACCCGAGCTTCCTCTGCATGTCCTCAAACTATAAGGATAGCAGTGCCTTAGGGCAGGTAGCGCAGCACTGCACACACAGAGAAGGCCGACCGAATAAAAGCTGCCGTTTTTCTCCTTAAACTCCATGATTTTTTTTGAGTGAACTTTGCCGATCCCTTTTAGCTTCTAAGTGGGCGTACAACTTGATTCGTCATTAACAAACAGTGATGTGATATAGGATAACCTGCAACTCCTGTTCGGATGCAGAAGCATTCACGAAGGCAAGCAGCTTTTCCTCAAGTTTCATGCGAATGCCTGCCGCACGCAGCACATACTTTATCTATTCTAAATAACAAGGGGAATATAGAGACCGTTAACTTGAACTCTCACCCGATCACTCTTCTCTTTATCCTTTTGTACATCGCTATTACCGCCGTCCTTGTATATAGGGAAGGTTGCCAGGGGAATTATAGGAGGCGCCCAGTCACCAGCGCTCTCCTCCTCTTCCAGCTTCTTGTTTTTCTTTTCGTAGCACTTGTGCGACATATCCATGCGCTTCTTATCGGGGCAACTATTTTTCTTTAATTCGAAAATTTTTCCTGCGATGGCTGCTGCCTGTTCCGAGCTGCAACAGTAGACAAGGGCTGCACGAGCATTGATTATTTATGGGTTATAAGTAGAAAGAGGGAAAAAGAAAGCCTCTTTGGTAAGAAGCAATAGCGTCTTCCTCGTTCGCCGCGTGCTCGGCCTCCTTCACAAACGAGCGCATGACTAATGCTTTGTAGCTGTCCGTCAGCTGCGAGGGAGCTTTCAACTGGTCCGCCAGAGTATTAAACAAGCTATTAACCTTTCCGCTAGTAAATTCAGCAATGCTTGGGCTCCTTTTCCTCTCAGCACCCGGGCAAATATTTTCTCTAATAATCGATAGCTGTTTTTATAATGATAGAGCTTCTCTACGGAAGTAATACTTTTCTACTAAGACCCGCCTTGGCTTGTTTGGATCCAAGCTGATAACATGGGGCTCACACTAGGTGGTGGAAAGAACAGTGCAGAAAGAAGGCAAGGAAAAAAAAGATTTCTAGAAAACACAAACAACTTTAATATCATGAACGGGGATGAGCGGTTTGTTAATATTAATGGTTTGAAGCGGCGTATTTACTGCGCAGACGTTAAGAAAAGAAAAAATATATATGAAAAAAAGAGTACCAATCTTCATCCCTTTTTTAGCAAAGTTAAGCGTATTCAAAGTGTCCTGGTAATTTCCTTGAGCCACGTTGGCAATAAGACACGAAAGGCTATTTCCTCCGAGCGAATCCTGTGCATCACCGAAAGTATAGCACAACGGTATAATTATCAAACACCAAAGTACCTTAAGCAGTCGAGTGAGGCAGCTTTGCCGGTAGTTGGGAAATCCCTTCTGTGAAGAAAGTATATGATATGTAAAAGAGAGCAGAATTGTATACGACAGACGCGTATACCCCGCTGGAGAGCTGCTCAACCAGGGTGTTGAAGGCCAGCAGCGATTTATTGATCATCCCACTTTCTAAAATGGCTTTTCCTTGGTTCCCAGTTCGCCGGTTATCTTCGCTCCCGGCAAGATCTACAAGCACAATTTTACCATGATAAGTTCGATTTTGAGCAAGCAACTGTCGTTCGACCTAACAGGGTTGGTAATGAGAAAGAAGCTACTAACCCATAATATAATGAGAACTTTGACAATTATGAAGAAGTGTGAACGCGAAGAAGCGGAATTAAGTAAAGTAAAACCCGTTGTGCGATTAGTTCGAGCGGTGTCAAATGCCGCCTCAAACTCAGAAAATGAATTTATCGGGAGCTTAAACAAAAGAGGAAAAAGATAACTTTTACTTAAAAAATGGTTACGAAACCTCATGAAGGCCAAGAACGTGAACTACACCGTTACTGTCTTGTCGAACCTTTTAATAATAATAAAGCTAAGCTTTACAGTACAGTACTAGTAAAAATTTATAATTAAACTAATAAGGTGTATACCGGCAAGCTTTTTCCCTTGACATCTATCATATCAAAAACTTCTTCATTGTATATCTCCAAAGAAGACAACGTAACTGAGTAGCTACATAATTTTTTAGCTTGGTGAGCTCCAACGAACTTAAAGAGTCTTTTTAAGGTTCTTGGAATTATACCTATTTAATAATAATTCCCTTAAGTTCAATATTTCAAATGAATACTATTAAAATTATAAAAAAATAGCCTAAATCTTTCTTAGTTCCTTGCATAGTATAAGTTTTTCCAGCTCCTTTATACAATAAAGTTATTTTATTATTAACTATACTGTAAATTGGCAGGACCTGTAGCACCGTAGGCTAAAACGCTTATATTATTGCCCGCAAAGACATGTGTAATAAGTTCTTTTACTTCCTTATTAAATAATTCCTTTTGTGAAGTTTTAGGGCCATAACAACCATCAAAGCTTATTATTCAGTATACAAGGAATTATAACGTATGCACAAGAAATAAAAACCGTTCCGCAAAGTTCTACCTGAATCTTTGTGTTTCGTTTTGGCATCTAACGTTAACAAAGTCTATTTCTTTCTGGTTTATAATGGTAAGAGTAGAAGGTTGCGATGACTCTGAGGCCAGTTGTTCTCTACATCGAACATTTACGCGAATTCTCGAGCCCCCTTTATCTTTTTCTTCGATGAGATTACGAGTCATTTCTAGTGCAAAACTAGACCATTCAAAGTAAAAATAAATTGTGGCCACTGAACTAAGTGAGGTCAGAGTAGCGTTAGTTATGTATCAAGGAAACTTAATCTTTAAAAACCATTTGTTAACATTCGGAATGAGGTCTAATGCGATGTTGTATGTACAACAACGTATTTCTTATAAATCAACTTATAAATTTTCGTTTAAGTAATAAAGATTTTTTGCGTCTAATAAAAATAAAGATGTGTGAAGTGCACTAGTAAATAGGTTGTGCTTTTTGTCGCCGGATTGTTTATTTCCTAACGTAGCCCAAGACCACGTGCAAATTAATGTATTGACTGCCTCCGATTTAGAGTAAAATCTCTAAAATATTTGCTTTGTCCGGCAGCAAGGAAGAGCCGTAAAGGTAGACTAACATACAAGTTGAACAGCCGAGCTTGGAGAGCCCCGTTTAAGTGTTAACTTCAAAGAGGAACGTGTCCTCTTTCCATCATATTTCTTACATATGCTATTGCTAACTCACTTTGCGAACTTTTCCGAGGCAACTTATACACAGAAACAAAATCTTCTGCACAGGCCCCTTTTTCTTGTCATTAGGTTTAATAGCTTTTACTTAAGCCTATATTTTTAAAAAAAAATTATTTTATCTATTTTATATATGGGTTACTTTTCTGGCCCTTAACTCTTGTATGGGTTTCATTTTTATATAATACTTAGCTAGGTTTTTTCTATAATGGTTCTATGTAATATTGCTGGCCTGTAAAACCTTAATGCTATTTAGTGTAGTCTTTCTTAAAAACTAAAACCGATTTTTTAGCTTATAGTTCGTGGTTGAGACAATGAGATGGTGACTTAGTAGCGTGATAACTGTCAAGAAATAAAAAGACTGCCTTCTATGAACCGTCTTGTCCACTACCTTGCCAAGAGGGGAAACATAACTTTATACCTTTTTTTCGTTCTACTTTTGTAGGACAAGTTAATTAGCATTTCTAAAGTGGCAGTTAGTTTTGTTCTCCAAGAGATGAAAAATAAATCGTAAGAGAGATAAACTTAGTGTTGACGAAAGAACAGTTCCTTGACCGCGAATACTAAATTTTTTAGAAAGGATATTACAGCCATATAAGATAGAAGGCACCTATTGAGTTAGATAATAACAAGGTTACTGCCGAATCTAACCCATTTTCCGCCACAAGCTAGGAGGTTGTTTGTATCACCCCAAAGATACGCCGCCTATAATTAACAGCTATACCACTTTCTTTATATCTCAAACTCGAGCTACTCTTAAGAAATAACTGGCGTATTGATCAATATCAACTCTCTAACTGAGGCAATGAGTACTCATATCTAAAACTATTAGCAATTTATTTGTAAAACTTAATAGTCAATGAAATTAAAAAGTAATATGCACAATCTTTTAGTACATCCTGTATTACCGATGGTCTGCAGGATGAAGAGGAAAACTTCAGGAGTCGCCCAACAGAATGGATTTCGACTTTAAATCAGAATCTTATTTGGAAAACGGGAACGAGTTTTGTTACCAAATTACGATACATAGGGATAAGATCTGAACAACATGGAGATGGAGATGCAGTTATTTCTATTAAGTGACATATGAACACTCGCCAATCTAGAGGCTATCACTAAATAAAAACCTGGTTCAGTAATATTATCTCCTGTTGTCACTCACCGAGGAAAGAAATAAATGGCAGATTTAAATAAATTATATAAGGATACTTAATTGGTTATTGATTGTGGAGCTCTAAATAGCAAACACTCATTGTGAAACATCAAGCGGGACAATCCGAATGGCAGTTTCTAGAACACTGGGCATAAAATAATGGGGTTTTCTGTTTAGACCCTTTGGATTCCAGATATCACTGAGCTAAAAACTCCGTTAATGTGTTGGAGACAGTTTTATCTGAAGAACTTACCGATTAATTTTTGTGAAGTAAAATCGGATCGTGACCCAGTGTTTTACTTGGTTGAGATTAATTCGGTTCAAAACAAGGAGAGCGTTAAGGTAACCAACCTGGATTCTATTCAAGAACAAAATATTAATAGTACCATCGTTTTCAAATTCTTCCTGTCCCTCTGAATAACACCGATTTCTCTATTTTTTAAAACACGGTAAATTATTCAGTAAACTCGTCGACAACTCTTAAAATTGTTAACAATATTAAACGATTTATCCCTATTCCGCTAAAAAACAACGCAATAGCGAATGTAGATGTTTGCAAAGAAAAATACTGACAAGAGCACGAGCTTTTCTGGTATATTAGTCTTTAACGAAATAAGTAATGCCGTATAAGTGGACTAATGACTTTTTATAACAGCCACTGAGATATGAAGCTACGATCCTCAAACTTTTTAAAAAATCAATATGAGGCATATGACAAAATCATACTTTGAAAAGACCGACTGACTGTTCCACCCTTTACTAATACCGAGGGGGAAATTACTTGTTTTAAAAGAAAAGGCTGAGATTTTTGCGGAAACTCTATTCTCTCGGTGCATGCCCTCCGGTACTTTTAATAATGCAAAAGAACACTGCGTGTTATTAAGTTAGATCTTACGTTCGCAAAGGTGCATCCCTTAAGTATTTACGAATAGGTCATAACTGAAATCGATAAAGTTAATACTAAAAAAAGGTTGGAGCCTAATGAGATATCGAATCTATTGCTAAATAAATTTTTTTTTAGCGGCAATCGTGTATCTTCCAAAATTTATTTAATTATTTTTCTATCGGGGTTACTTTCCTACAAGATGGAAAAATTAGGTTATTCTTGTACCAAAAAGTAACCATACTAGCATCTATGCTTTAGATTATCGACTAGTTATTTTACTTTCCTGTTTGAGCAAATTCACTAAAGCTATAATACTTATTATTTTAGAAAAATACTTAAATTCTGCGAATTTTGTTCTCCCTAATTAGATTTCGAGTAGAACACTACAGCACAGAATCCTTTGAATACAAGTAGTCAACAGTTATAGTTTTTTTAACTAAAACAAAGCCTTTGATAGAGTTTAACAGGAAGTTTTTATTTACAAATTTTTATTAAAGGCATGTTGTTTAGTATATCTTGCACTCATGTTGTAATCAACTCTTAACAATAGCCTTTAACCACCTGTTGTACGGATACGAGGAGACTTGTCCGTCCCAAAGACCTGTGAAGCTGGAGCCCCTCACGGCTGGTCACCTTTGTTACTTTTCCTATATACCTGCAATATTTCATCTCCTTCCAACAAGGTTTTCCTTGCTCTATATACTGACGGACACTTCCCTACATTGTAATACCAAATTACCTGCTTTGGCAACCAAATATGTGCAGGCATAAACCCTATTTAATGCCATCTTCAGGATAAGAAAAAAGGGAGTAGTCAAAACTTTAAAATTGACTCCAGACTTAAGTGGAAGCCTCACACTACATATTTTGTTAAAAATATAGAGAATTTAAATGCAAAGAAGAAGTTAAATTATAAAGATAAACCCTACATCCGAAGCAATTATCGGGTCTATACGCAACTGACACACTACCATACTGCTCGGCCTTCCGTATTAATAGATTTCAAATACTTTAAAACGACCTCCTTAGAAGGTTCACAAGGCCACCAGGGGTTTGTGCAAAAGATGCCCAACTACGCCGTTTATGTGCGTCGAACCTTGTTTGCTTTACCTTAAAGGGGTGCCTATTAACTGTTATACTCAATATAAAGTACATCCTAACAGATTAAAGTTAATGCAATTTCCCTGCACATTTTTATAAAACAACCGACCTGAACATTTTTTAGGTAAACCTTGGAAAGAGAATACTGTGAGGTTTACCAGCTTCGTAAAATTATTAATATATGGAAAGAGGATGTAGAAAAAGGGTGCTAAACGCTGTCTTTACGTTATGATAGATGACCCTAAAGGTCTTTATAAAGGAAACAACCCCCCTTGGCCTTATGCAACGAGGGGTGAAGATTAAGCAGCTAAAGTTATAGTAAATATAGCGATTGTGCTATGTCAAAACGATAAGTAAATAGATACCTTCGTTAAAAGGGGATTACATGAAAACCCTCAGGTTAAAGCGTCAGTCCCCCATATACTTTCCTACTTTATTAAAAATTCAAGTCTCGGGTCTCTTGTATAGAATAACAGCGTATTCGCGACATGTTAGTCTCAAATTCCATGCGACCGTTTACAATAAAATAAAACTGCGAAAACGCTTTAGTTTTTCAACTGCGTTCTGTTATTTAATAAATAAAAATAACACTAAACGATGTATAGGTTTACCTATATTTCGGATTGACTTAAACTCAAAATATAAATATCTTCTTTCACCAATTCAAAACTTTTTTTAAATTTCTAAAGTTATTTTCTTTAAAGTAAGGTCATTTTCGTTCTTACTTTTGCTACCTAAAAATATTATGATGCACTCAACGGGGTAAGGTCATGTATGTATACCATAGAAGGTTTTTTTTTTAATTCGCGGGTTGGGGGGTCTCGAGTTCCAGAGTTACTTTTAACATTAATTTCATATTCACTATATGACAGAGTTGAAAGGAAGAAAAGGTGGTCACAGAATTCTATAACACAATTTGCCGAAATTAAAAATTGTGAAAATAACTCCCACGGTAACTTAGCTACCGAAAATATTAAAAATGTAGCTATATTACGTATAATGTGACCTTCCACTACTAATGAATACTAGGTAGTAAACTATCTTATTAAAAAAATTATTAATCAAAACACTTAGACTTATTTTAATGTAACTAAAGCATTAACCAAATAAAAGCATTACAGGGTAATAAATGAAAAGATAAACTTGACTTTCGAAGCAATTTACCTAACTAGTTGAATACAGCGATGTGCCAAAGTCTTATAAAGAACGACCTTGACATATTATATAGTGCCCAGCACTTTTTAAGAAAAATCAGAAAAAATTTAAGACAAAAAAGGAAAAATTACAAATCGAGAACGACATACACACCCTTCATGCATTACTATAATACAGAGCAGGTAATATTTTAATAACTTAAAATATTACCTGCCGCCTTTATATGTACCTCTAACTTTTTAACTACGTAACTAGGTTAATACTTTAAAAGAATGCTAGCTTCAGTAATAACCAGCGATAAATAAAGCTAACAATTATCAAGGAACTTATAGGGTAAAGGAAGACTGAATAATGAACCGTCTTAAAAAGATAAACATCAGAAAAAACTAAGCATAACACTGAGCTATACACTAGACCAACTGGGTGAGCATAAGGACAGGGAACCGGCGGCCTGAATGCTTTAGTGCAGTGAAGTTGATGCCGAAGGAAAAAATTCTTTTAAACTAACTTTTTTTGACCACAGAGCAGGCACGCGCATGTGACGTCAAAGTAATAAAAGTGGGTATGAAAGCGATCTACGTTTATTAAGTAATTAAACCCCGCAATCCCCTTAATCAACTTCTTCCATCTGAGAATCCTCAACTGTATCTTCAACTAAAGACGGTAGTTCCTGGTCATCACCCTGCTCCGTATCATCCTTGTCGACGGACAACCCCAATCCGGAAAGACCTAAACGAATCATCCTAATAATACGTGCAGCAAAGCTAGAAGGATTTTCAAGGGAGAAGCCCGATATTAGCAACGAGGTTTCGAACAGCAACATGACGAGGTCCTTGACCGTCTTATCGTTCTTATCTTTATCCACTTGCTGTTTTAAAGACTTTATCACACTGTGATCGGGGTTTATTTCCATAGTCTTCTTAGAAGACATATAAGAAGAAATGGATGACTCACGAAGCGCCTGCGCGCGCATTATACGCTCCATGTTAGCAGACCAGCCGTACTGCCCAGTTACCAGGCAACAAGGGGAGCTGACAATACGGTTAGACACAACGACCTTCTCTACTTTATCACCAAGGATTTCCTTAATAACTTTGCATAAGGGCTCAAAATTTTTAACGTTTTCCTCGTGTCTCTTCTTTTCTTCTTCATCATCGTCATCAAACTTAAGGCCTTCCTTGGTAACGGAGACTAAGGTCTTTCCCTTATACTCCTTTAGCTGCTGAACGCAGTACTCATCAATAGGCTCGCACATGTAAAGCACCTCCAGTCCTCTCTTCTTTAGTCTTTCCACGAATGGAGAAGTGGAAACAATGGAGGTAGACTCCCCAGTTATGTAATAAATCACCTTTTGGTTTGACGCCATGCGAGTAATGTAGTCATCCAAGGAGGTTTGCTCACTGGACTTGGAAGAAGGGAAGCGCAAAAGCTCAGCAAGTTTAGTTCTATTGGTAGAGTCTTCATGAACTCCTAGCTTGATATTCTTACCAAACTGCTCATAAAACTTGTCATAATTTTCACGATTCTCGGTTAGCTCATGAAACAATTCCAAGCACTTCTTGACCAAATTTTTTTTAATAACTTTTAGTATGTTGTTTGTCTGCAAAACTTCACGTGAAATGTTTAAGGGCAGATCCTCGCTGTCAACAACACCCTTCATAAAGTTGAGATACTCGGGAATTAAGTCCTCACAGTTATCCATAATAAACACACGGCGCACGTACAATTTGATATTATTCTTTTTCTTTCTGTTCTCAAATAGATCAAAAGGCGCTCTCTTAGGAATGAACAACAAAGCCTTGAACTCCAACTGACCCTCAACACTAAAATGCTTTACAGCTAAATGGTCTTCCCAGTCGTTAGAGATGGACTTATAAAAAGCGGCATATTCTTCACTAGTGATGTCGTCAGGGTTTCTAGTCCATATGGGCTTATTCTTGTTTAAACTCTTCAAACTCTTCAGTTTTTATTTTCTTTTTTTCTTTTTTTTCATTTTTTTTTTCGTCATCGTCCACCTCCTCAATCTTTCCCTCTTCATCTTTATCCTCATCTTTCTTTTCTTCATCCTCAACTTCAACCTCTTTTTCTTTAGTGACCAGCAACTTAATAGGATAACCAATGAACTCAGAGTGTTTTTTAACGACCTCCTTAATTTTTCTCTCTTCAAGATATTCCTCTTGATCTTCTTTAAGGTGTAATATTATTTTAGTCCCCCGACCTAAACTTGGGCCTTTGTCTTTAGCAACAGTGAAGGACCCACCGGCAGAAGACTTCCAAATGTATTGATCATCGTCATTGTGCTTCGAAATGACTACCACGACAGAGGCAACAAGGTAGGCAGAATAAAAACCCACACCAAATTGTCCTATCATGGACATAACAGAACCATCAGCATTGTCACTCAAGGCCTCTACGAAAGCTCGAGTTCCCGAGCGAGCAATCGTACCAAGAGACTTAACAAGATCAGTTTTAGTCATACCAATACCAGTATCCCATATGGTCAAAGTCTTATTCACCGGGTCTGGTATAATTCTTATTTCCAAATCCTTATTGCTATCCAATTTAGACGGGTCGGTAAGAGATTCATATCTTATCTTATCCAATGCGTCAGAGGCATTTGAAATAAGCTCCCGCAGAAAAATTTCTTTGTTACTATAAAAAGTATTAATAATAAGGCTCATTAGCTGCGCGATCTCAGCTTGAAAAGCGAATGTTTCACGGTCCTCTTCATCCTCTATACCTTGAGCGGGTACGTTCTCGTCAATAACACGAGGCTCGGTCATAGTCACGTCAGTCATGGCAACGACTCAAAGGAAACAAAGCAAGCAAGAAAGGCAGATAGATACAGAGGCCTGCCGGGAGGCTCTGGCCCTTATATACCTAAAAAAAAAAAAAAATTAAAAAAAATCTGGAATAATCCAGAACATTAATTCCTCGTGAATTAATGACTGGAGCTCTTGTTCGAGAAAAGGAGTGTTAAATGCTGACTGTAAATGTCTATTCTACCGTCTTCCGTTTAACGCGATTTGGTTTTTATTAAACAAATAACTCGTATTTAACGTTTTTTAAAGGTAACCTAGTCAGCTTTATCAGTTATAGAATAGATGTTTTTATAGATTTTGAGTATGCGCAACTCTTATTTTGTTAAACATGCTTCGGAGTCTTTTTGAATTGTCCTGGTTATTTTTCATGGTTTGTACACAATATTATATTATATTTTAACATTTTAAAGTAACTATATTGCAACCGATCTTTGAATTTTTATTGCTTTTTTCTTAACTTTAAATTTTATTTAGGAAATTGCTTTCTAAACTAGCTCTATAATTATTTTTTTTTTATGTTTATATTTACTTTATCCTTATTTGGCCCCTTCTTTGAGCGTTGAAAAAACGGATATGAAATTGATTCTATGCGTTTTTCTTAATTTTTTGACTTTTGAACTGTTATTTATATACAGGGGAGATTGGGTAGAGAGACCCCTTTCTACATAAAGTGTATATAATTATTTATTTCGGTATAATGGTTTATTATTTTTTGTTAAAACAGTTATACTCGTTAGTTCATTATTGTAAAATCGAAGTCATCGATAGAGACTGTTGACCAGCTTACGCCATTCGGGAATTTTCTTTTTTAATAAGATAGGGTTTAATATTGCCTTTTAACCCTGCTTATTTCAAAAACCTTGTTAATATTTTGTTCTATAGGCACAGTTTTACGGGGGGTTTATTAAACTATTTTATACATCTAGTTTATTATAACTTCAGGTTCCCTTTCGCCCTATATGCGATCTGTCTGTCTCTTTGACAAGCTTAAAAATTTTTTTTAATCTCAGGTGAAGATGCCTTTTTTTAACTTATTAGAGCTATTTTCACTTTACGTTTTTTACTTTAAGATTAAATAACTTTATATTGTACCCATGCACAATAACATAAAAACATTGTCCTTACAGTTACCGACTTCACTAAAAGAATTACTTTATATCCACCGTAATTAATTAAACAAAAAGTTTATGGTGATGGTTGCCGTGCTTTTAAGCAAAGGGGAGCCATAAATGGCCTTGTGCCAGTTACTTCACCGTTTATAAGAGTTGCTTTTTACTTTAGTTAACATGACATTGTATGCCATCCGAGTAATTTGCCAATTCGTTAGTATCAGAGAAAGGCCCCTTATTTGCCCTAAAACTATAAAGGTAAGACATTTATTATCCTCTCTAGAAGTTTACATTTTTAATAAATACTTTTTTATTTGGCTTATTATGAAATATATATTTGGCGTTCTTTGGAATTTTTACGGAGCGGGATGAATTGTTGAAAAAATATTTTGAAATTTTTTTAAGACCATAATAGCTTTTAAAATTTTTTTGTTATACATTGCATATTGATTAACCTTTAACTTCTGGCATAGCTTTTATATATAAAAGATAGATCTTTTTTATTATAAAAATAAATTTAAGGAGTACAGCTTCTTAACTCCTCAGTAGACAATTTATTTACGGTTAAGGCAGGTGTTTTAAATTAATCACTTGAAATGTAAGCAGTGAAATAGTGTTCAGTTAAAATGTGAGTGGCGGAAAGTTCGGGGCTTGATAAGTCACTCCACGTTAAGTTTAACTGAAACCATTACACTGTATTCAACTTATTTTTGTGCTTTGAGCAACACACTTTAGTTATTAATTTTTTATTAATACTAATCGTTGGTTCATCTCCAGGGTAATTATTTTGTACTAACTTTTAGCAGAATTACTCTTGTTCGTGCAGAAAGGCGCGCCTGCCTGCCTGTGAGGCATAAGCAATAACTTATTTTTCAATTCTAAAGCTGATCCATCTATATTAAACTATTGGATGCAATTATAACTTTTATTAAAAGTCGTTCTTAAGGGATCGTGAAAAGTAGGGTTTGCGGCTGTAAAAGCGTATACGCTTCTAACCTCTTTACGCGGCTTTACCCTTTGTAACATTAATAAAATCACTACATACCCGTGTTCACTCACGCCTCGATGTGTCGCCAGAACGTTGATTTATTATTACAAAGAATATTTTTAAGTGCTGAATCATTTTATCGAGTTATTAATAATATAGTTCTTGTTGGTGCCCGTCACTCTACGTATATGACTCAAGGCTACATTACAACTTTTATCTGGGCAATATAAGTTAAGAGCACTTTGTTTACAATAAGGTTAAGTATTTTGAGGGTTTGTTCTTATAATAGTGCATATTTTACAACTCTGCCGCGCTTTAATACGCTGTGTGCAGCGAAGGCTTATGTAGTTGGTTTGGCGGTTATATCTAGAGAGCTATTATTTCCCTTTTTTTTGCATTAATTTATAGATTTACCAGTTAACTATATTTTATAGAGACAAATTTACTAGTTGAGATATTTATAATAATGATTAACGCAGTTTAATGTTGAAATGTTAAGTAAGCCAATCCAGTAGTAATAGTCTCCTTCCAGACCAGAATATTCGCACTGGCATCGACGGAGATCGAACCCGCGACCTCGAGGTTGCACGACAACGCTTTAACCACTGAGCTACGGTGGACAACTGACATCTTTGATCGATAAACTACGTAAACGACATATTATATGTAATCACAAGGGTAGTAGAGAGGCATGAGGCCTCGGTGGTAACCCTATTTTTTATTTTTAGATCTTAGGCTGGAAGCCCTTATATATAATTAACAATAATATATAAAATAAATTATCGTTTGTAAAGTTATATAACATAGGTGATACTAAGGTTTAAAGCATTTGTATTAGAATAGCTGGTAACTATGGACCCTTTAGGAACGAAGCAACCTTACAGAAAATAAGAAAGAGGATTAAATAAAATATAATGCTAGCAGCCGTGCATGGGCTTCACTCGTATAAGCACGGATAAATACGTAAATCCATCGCACCGGTTATTGTCGGCGGGGGTCGGACTCACGACCTCGAGTATGCGCTCAATAGCTTTAATCCACTGAGCTACGGACAACCACTCTCGGTCCTTTCGTAACGTGCCTACTATCAAATTTCCCACCACCCCATAAAATTGGACGCCACTACAAGGATTCAGGAAATTATCTACTAAAAATGGGTAAGATTCCAAAACGGAAAAAAATATATCTACCGTCAAACTAGGATATCGCACGACAAAAGATGTTTTCAACAAGGTATTTTCTACGACTACGACAAAAATATGTATTGCATTGAAAAAAAATCTTTATAACAACAAGATCTATAATATAGAATATTACAAATTAGCGACAAAATTAACTCTACAGTGGTCGCAGCGAATTGAGACCGTACGGTAAAAAAAAAAGTGTATATTTTAACTATATTAGAAATTAGTTAGGATTCGGTTTTAGAAATCGATATGCAGCTGGATTTTAGAATTAAACAAATAGAAACACAAGAAACACGTGAAGTGTTGCTCGAGAGATTGTTTATCAATTCCCAAGTTATTGTCACTGCGTGTTCAAAGTTTTTCAGTAACTGAGAGACATGCTCAGATATTATTGTTCAACAGATTTTTAGCACTTGTCGTTTTAGGAAGCTACTGAAAAGTAAAATAGGATAAAAACCTTTCCATGAAAGGTGGAAAATTCTTTAGGTGTGAACTCTGAGCCCAAAGATGCTGTGCAACTTCACTATATATATATTACATATCGGAGACTCAGGTTCTTTGTCTTTTGACCATTTTAATAATAATACTTGAACACTATTCAAAAACCGGCCCACTGGAAGTCTTTCTTAAATGTGTTCCTTTTTATAATGGCGTTTGTTGCTTCGAGCCCATTTATTGTACTGGGGTAACCAGGAGCAACTCCTTCCTAACAGTTTGAATTCAATAGCATTCATTGCAACATAAAATAATAATGAAAAATCGGTAATTCGGTGGTCCTTTGTTGCGCACCATTTCTCTAAGATAAGTTGAGTTGCTTTGAGATACATGCTTTCGTCTTTACATGTCTGTAAAGCATAGATATCTCATTAAAAATCTTTACCGGCACTAATTTTATTAAACAAGAAAAAAAAAAAAACCGTTATGCGTACTTCAGGTACCAAAAATATTTGTAAATCCCTGAGTAATGGTTTCGCAAGGGGTGTTAATGGGTTCCAAGATGAATCAACTTGTAAAGCTTTTCAGAAATAAAGCTAAAGTCAGCTGCACTTTCACCCTTGCAAACAGCGATAGCAAATAGATGAAACAAATTGATTTTTGCTACTTGTTCCGGCGATCATTACCGGATATCCCTGCAACGTATTTTTAAATGTAGCATCCATCTGAACCATTTTTGATTTCCTTAAATTTTTCAGTAACCTTGGAGTCGACAATATAATTTTTATGTCATTCACCTGGATCAAAAGGTCACAACAAACAGTATGGTTCAGCACAAAAAGCTCGTTTTTAGAATCAGGAGTTTTTTCTCCTTGTTTCACACCATGTGTTAATTTCAGCCTCAAGTATGGCTGTATTTTCCATATTTTTAAGTCTTAACTGTTTTAAGTATTTATTAACTTTAAATTTGGATGTTCCATAACATTTTCCTGTTCTCATAAAGGCTAATATAAAAATTGGGGTTTTTTAAAATCCTTCTCCATATTTTTCTTTAATATAACTTTTTTGACTTCATGACCTAAACCTCTACTACTTAGTTTCGTATTATCGTCATATGCTTCTGACAGCATAGTGTTGTAAAAAGCGAAAATTTATCACTCGCAGAATGATATAACAAGTATAAACAAACCGGAGACTCTTTTACTCTGTATTTTCCTGCAGAAAAACGATACTCGACTTGAAATCCATCCTAAGGTATTTTTTTTGAATGTTCTTTCCCATATATTTTT